GAAACTTCTTCATTATTAATTGTGCTTTTTTGATAAACATTAATGTTAGCCCATACGAAATCTCAATCTAACAGTTTATTAGCACCAAACACGGTAATAAATAGTTTGGGGGTTGCGCGATAGCCCCCTGTCATAATAATGACGATAGTCTACGAAGATCAGTCGATGACGTTTCGGAAAGAGCTTTGCACGTCGTCGTCCGTTTGAATGTTACACGTTTGTCAAGGTCTCGGCTGACAGGTGTCGTGAGCTCGGACTTTTATATATGACTAGCGGACCCGACAGACGTTGTCCTGTCTACACGTCTTTAATTTGAAAATTTCAAACTTTTTTTAATAATTTTTTTGATGAAAATTATTATTCAAATTGTGAATCTAAACCATTCCCAGATCCCCTTGAACACACACAAAAAATTTCATCAAAATCGGTCCAGTCGTTTGAGAGAAGTTCAGTGACATACACACTCACAGAAGAATTATATATATAAAGATAAACGGGTGGTGGAAACGTGCAGATTCTAAAAATGGGTGCGTGTAACCTTTACGCGCGATTGTAGTAAAATTTCTTTGGCAAATATCGCAATTAAATTAAAACAAATCAATCTATCCTTTCTACAGGTACTAATATTATAAAGAGACAGTTTGTTTGTTTTTACGCGCTCATGTCAGGAACTACTAATCTGATTTGAATTAATCTTTGCATTGGATAGCCCGTTTATTTAAGAAGGCTAAGCCGCAAAACATAGAGACACATGGCGTCGCATCACGAGAGAAGCGATGGCGCAAGACTCGGCCGAGACATGACTACGACCACTCTGTCAAGTGTGAGCGACTAAGAAGAATAGGCTATATATCATCCCGGAAAATGTATAGTTAGCGTGGGACAGATTTGTTTTTGTCTAGGGACGAACCCGAAGCGAGGTTGAGTCGCTAGTCCTATACCTATATTTATGTGTTTGTCTCTTTCTACTATCGCATTTCCGTTTCGTCTAGTTTCAAATCACAACGATTCTAAAGAACTTCAACAAAGTATTCTTCCAACTTATAACGAGGTTTAGAAAATAAAATGTATTTTTGAAGTAAAACGTCTTTAGGCGTGACTGATGGGTAAGTGTGACGTGATCGATACATTGAAAAAATCAGTGTCGCGGGAGTGAGAGTCAAATTTATTATTGACTAGCAACTCACCCTCGCTCCGCTCGGGTTCGTTCCTAATTTCGTTTTAACGTTTAGTATAGATTTCTTAGAGATGACATATTTTCCCGCAGTAAAAAGTATCCTATATGTAACCCGAGCGAGGCGAGGGTGAGCCGCTAGTTATTTGTAAAAATAACAAATATATAATTATCAATAATTTAAAAATACTATATTTATATTTGTTTTAATTTGATTGCGGTATCTGCCACAGCGCTAAAGAAGTTTTACTTAAACCACTCGTAACGGTTACGCGTACTAATTTTTTTTTAAATATACTTTATTAATTTAGCGTATTGAAATAAAACTTGTTTTACCACCTCATGTCAATGTTTGCCATGCATACAATGTTAATGTAATGTGTTTGGTCGTCGTAAGTACGATTACGTGTAAACGATACGAATGTGTATACTAGTACGATTAAGTGTTGTGACGGCCGACGGGTCAATATTTTTTGCCTAATGTTAATTTGCATTTTAGAGGCCTGTTATATTACGACCGTGGTTTCTCAATTAAATGCCCATCTTTGGCGTTTTTATTCAGAGAAACTGAAACTCTTCGACAATTTTGATTTATTGTATGGTGGATAATAGTTATTAATATAGTTTATAGCGGCCTCGCTTTTCGCAAATTTCTATGATTAATTGAAAAAAAAGCCAAAATTCCGAAGCAAGATTTTAATAAAATACGCGACGGCACTTTTTTAAGCTCATGGATTGAAATACCGAGTTAATAGCGGCCTCGGAATTTGAAAATATGTATTGGATTTCTACAAAAAAAAATCCTTTTCAAAACCTTACAAACTACTAAAAATGTTCAAAATTAGCTGTAAATATATTCTTACTACGGTTAATATTATTAAGTAAAATTGATACCAGAATATACGTCAGTTCAAAAGAAATGAAATTTCATACTTTTTTTAAAACAATTTATTATAAGACTTTAAATAATAGTCATTGCAAGTGCACAAAATGCTAGAAAATGCGATGCGTCGGCCGCTTGAACTCAATACCATAGAACTCTGTACATTTTTTGATAGGCCTCTTAAATGGACAATTTCAAAACAAATTAGTCTATTTACTTGTATTCGGGTAACTATACCTGTATTTAGTAATTACTTATTTAGATCTTTTATTTTCTATAAACTACTAATTTGTTTAGTAAAATTATCTTGTATTGCAATAAATAATAGCATTTTTTTGGAGATTTATAATATACTAGCGGACCCAACAGACGTTGTCCTGTCTACACGTCTTTAATTTGAAAATTTCAAACTTTTTTTAATAATTTTTTTGATGAAAATTATTATTCAAATTGTGAATCTAAACCATTCCCAGATCCCCTTGAACACACACAAAAAATTTCATCAAAATCGGTCCAGTCGTTTGAGAGAAGTTCAGTGACATACACACTCACAGAAGAATTATATATATAAAGATATATTGCAAAATAATATACAATGAATATGAGTTACTTATTGATAATGAATTTTTAATTTATTAACTCAAAAGATTTATTATGACAAATTTTAGATAAAGAACATGTAATCGCATTTTGTGAGTTTTTTTATTTAATATCTCCAAAAATGAATTAATTGTCAATAAAAATAATTAAAAAAATTCAATCCTCTAACTACACAAATAAACTTGAAGGTTATGTTGGTTGTTAATAAACGCACGTGTAAATTAAAAAAGATAATTTATAAAAAATATACTCACTTCGATTCCGCACTAAATTTACAAAATGTATAAGTTATTTATATACACTTCAGAACTCTTCGAAAACTAATTACATTAAATATTTTAATTAGCAACTTCACTTGAATAACACAATTATAACACAAAATAACGAAATACTTTTTCAAATTGATCGTAGCACTATCTGTCGGGACAAACTAAAATTAAAATAGAATAATATTGAATGCGATGGTAGCGCCATCCGTCGAATCTGATGTAAAACATTCCAAAATCAAAAACTCCTTACAAATAAAAATTAATTAAAAAAACATCTGAATTCACAAAATTATTTATACACACTTCAAAACTCTTTAAAAAATAATTACATTTAATATTTTAATCAGCACATGAATTGAATAACAAATTTTTTTTCAAATTAATCGTAGCACCATCTGTCGGGACAAACTAAAATTGAAATAGAATAATATTGAATGCGATGATAGCGCCGTCCGCCGGATCTAATGTAAAACATTCCAAAATCAACAACTCCTTATAAATAAGAAATTAATTGAAAAAACATTTTCCAGTAGACCAAACTGTAAATCTAAACCATTCTCGAATCTCCACGAACACACACAAAAAATTTCATCAAAATTGGTCCAGTCGTTTAGGAGGAGTTCAGTCACATACACACGCACACAAGAAATATATATATTAAGATTTTTGTATATAAAAAGTCAAAGGTTTTTTTGGTCTAAGAAATCATGATTAAATTCAATCTTTTATATTTTCACTACATATTTGAATTTTATTCGTTAACTTATCATAACTTTTTACACTGTGCCTTGAAAACAGAATTACTTCTTTGTCCTTGAGTATGAATGTGATTCGGCAGATCTCGGCAGGCTTGTATGTTGCTTACGTTGATTTCATATCATGATGTGACGGTAAATCTGTAAATCCTTATATAACAAGTCTTTTCAAGTCCGAAAACGTTTTTTCGAGACCCTTAAAAATATAAAGATTTATGGTATAAACTGGTGCCAGAAAACTCGATCATAAAAAATAAAGAAAGATATTTTATCACTAAATTGGTTAAAGAAAATGATCGAAGTTGCGATAAAGAGAGCACTCTAAAAATCATGTTCTTTTTTCAGTTCAGATTTAAAATTATATTCCATATTCAGGTTCCATTATCCGACTTATTTTATTTTTATTGTCTTTCTCTATGAAAAACTATTCTACATACCATATAATTACTTATATTTAACTTTAATTATACCTAAATAACTAAAACCTACCTGATACCTCTCTCTGTAAAGAATATATTAAGGAATTCCATTTTAAATAAAGCTAACTTTTCGGATTTTTTCGCGGATTTATTTTGATTTTTGGTTCCCGACGTTGCGAATGCATTATAGCAATCATTGCCACGGGAGAGATTAAGATGTTTTAGACATCTCAAAGCCGCAGGGCTCGGAACCGGTTTAAAAAGAAACGGTTTATTTTCGTAATGTAATAATTAATTCATCGCTCGTTCTTTAACCGGTTAATGAAAACGAATGGTTTAGTAAACCTAAATAATAATGGTTAACGGTTATTCTTAGAGAAAGGTTGGATTTCGGTTTTGATACCGAAATAAACCGATAAATTCATGTAAGAAACGTGCATGCAACCTTCTACTTAGCCATTCACCATTAGCAAAGACGTGCCAAATGTAAACACTTGACACACAAAAACTCATTTTAACCGGTTAAATTTGTTCATGGAACCTAAATTAGTGAAAAACCGTTCTCCCGAATTTAACCGGTTGAAGAACGTAACCGAAACCTTAAATTGAAAAAGCCTTTCGGTTTCGGGTCAGTGACCAAAGCCCGTTTAAAAATTGAACGGGTTTTTGAGTTTCCTCAAAGTTCATTATAAATATTGAATGTTATACCACAATGATTTTAATTGTACAACGATGTTAGTACTTATTCTAGTGTCTTATTTATAGTACACTATATTTTTATAAGGTGTCATTTTTAAGCTATATTTTTTATTTATTGTAAATGGTGGAAGTTTTTTTTAATGTAAATAGAGACTCCTAAAATAAGTAATGTAATTACTAATTGTTTTGTGCTCGCCGCAGCCCCGCAGCGTGATATCAAGCAACTTCAACGGTCTGCCGCTGTCCCGGCCCGGCTACGCCTCCACCACCTCCTCCAACACCGACGAGTACAAGGTAGCGCCGCACTCCGCCCCGCACCCACCGCCACCCTCCGCCACCCACTCATACCGCCAAGCTTTGTGCCACACACCCACACCACTCACCATCGTACTAAATCTTTAACTCATCGCGCCCTCCGATTGCTGCCGTCGACCGCCCTCCGTATATCTACCCCGTGTTCTAAAGATCTAACATTGATTTTTCCTTTCTATTCAGGTGCCTATACTCACTGTGCACTACCGTTTACAGAAATCTCTTGATGAAAACGGCAATGCAGTACAAGGATTCAGTTCACCCCTCTCAGGATCTAGTCAACACAAGAAGCCACGGAGGAAGAAGTCGTCCAAAAACGAGACGGTGATCACGTCGCACCAGATCGACGGCTACCAGGGCAACAAGGACCTCAACGAAGTGCTGCGCTTCATTGAGTCACACGCAGACGGCGCGCGAGCGCCCAAGCTGCGCGCCAAGCACCACGATTGCGACGACAAGGCGGGCAAGAAGCGCTCCACTGAGCGCCGTAAGGACAAGGAGCCCAAGCTCAAGCGCGCCACCTCGCTCGAGGAGCTGTCGCGCACCACGCTCGAGGACCTCACGGACGAGCGCCGCCCCGCGCCCGCGCCCGCCCGCGCCGGCGCCGCGCCCGCGCCGCCCAAGCCCGAGCGCCGCTCCTGGGGCGACGACGCGCGCACGCTGCTCTATCGTCCGCCCGCCTCCGCACCCACCCCCGCCCCGGCTGATGCCGCGCCGCAAGAGCTCACCGACTTCCAGACCGTCACCAAGAAACGCAAGCCCCGTCGCCGTGCCGACGACGCCGACCGCGACCCCGCCACACGCCGGGCGCGCGCCACCTCGCCTGAGCCTCGTCGCGCGCCGCCGCCCTCCGCGCCCCCCTCTGCGCCCGCCTCTGACCGCAGCAACGACTCCAACGACGACATGGACTCCGTGCACTCGTTGCCCGCCACCGCCACCACCATACCGCCCGCCCTCGCTGCGCCCCCCGCCCCCCTGCGCCGCCCCCGCCGCCGCCGCCCGCGCCGCCGCACGCCTCGTACGCGGACATCGCACGCACGCGTCATAACATACCCGACCTCATCGAGTCGTGCAACTTCTACGCGGAGGGCGAGGCGGAGCAGCGCGCGGACGGGGCAGTGCCTGCCGGCGGGGGCGGCGGTGGCGGCGCGGGGGCGGGCGACGCGGAGCAGTACCCGGCGCTGGAGGCGCGGCGCAAGCCGGCGGTGGCGCGGCCGGAGCGCGCGCGCAAGGAGCGGGACGCGCGCGCGCCCGAGCCCGCGCCCGACGTGGTGGCGGACCGGCGGCCGCCCGTTATCCTGCTAGACTCGGCGGCGCGACCGCGGGACATGGACGGCGTCACGTTCGGCTTCGACATCAACGAGCAGCTGCTGGGCGGGCCGCGGCGCGCGCGCTGCGACTTGCTGCGCGACGCCGAGCCCGCGGCGCCGGGCGCGCCGCCGGCCGCGCTGCCGGTGCGCGCGGGCTGCGGCGCTGCGCTGCGCTACGTGCCGCCCGACGCGCCGCCCGACACCGCGCACCTGCACCAGATCATAGACTACGTGGGCGCCGGTCGGTCCTTTTTATTGTTTACTTAGAAGTTCTCTGAAACTTTGAATACACAATAACTAGTAAACATTATTAGTTTCGAAAGATCTATTACAATTTAAATTAAATATTCTTAAAAATGAATTAGTTTGTAATATTAAAAAAAAATCTAAACAATTCTAATGTTATGGTACTTTGCAGCCTGGGACGATGTGGTGCGGTGCGGCGGCGGCAAGGTGCGCTACTTCAGCGAGTGACTTTCGTTGCGCGCCAAAACTACATAAACAATATGTGCACCTTGGTGACTACCGTGTATGCGCGCGGACGCCTTGATACAAACACGACACCGAGAACTTGAAAATTCGATGCTAGTGATGGTTTTGTGTAACCGCTTACTATGTTCCAAGACGTGGTCGCGGTCGCGCGACGTGTTTAGTGTTCAAAGTGAATCGGATTCAGTATGAGCTGTGCCGAGCGGAGAGCCGTCGGCAGCGACGCTGCGAAGCTTCGCTCTGCTGGTGTTCGTTGAACGAGCACGCTTTTATTTTATTCAATGTCAACTATATTATGGTATTTTTATTGATTTATGTGAGACGCTATTATCGTTGCAGCCAGGGCCGTTGGGTTTGATAGGGGTTTGGTTAAGTAATTTTATTCTATTTCTCTTTTAATTACAAAAAAAATGATTATATATTTTGTTAAAACATACAAAAAAAGCTTAACTTATGTCATATATACAAAGACCCAATTACACTGGTGGTAACTAAAATTGATTTAGTTTTCGCTTTGTTTTTAAGATGGTCTAGAGCATTTAATTATTATAATAAAATTTTCATCCTTATATTAGAAATTTTATATTACAATATGAGTTTTAGTTTTATAATTTATCGTCTCGGTGAGGTCTGGTGCCGCTTCGCCGAATGCGCTTGGTGCTAACGAATGATGCATTTATACCGGCACGAGGCTAGAGACGTAGACTCATTTCTATAAGTCATCATACGTTGAAAATCAATCTTACTATATATATAATAAGACAAGATTTATAATGCTTAGAATTAACCGCGCGGACTTTTCCATACATTAAGTATTTGCCATGACTCGTGCCGGTATTTGTGATATTGAATTTGAAATAAGAAATTTGCGCGGCTCATAATTATTGTCGAGAACAGCCGAGCGGGGCCGGTCGGTGCCGAGCAGCCCGGGGCGGGCGAGCGGCTCCGAGCTGGACGAGTTCCGCCGAGCCGATTGAGGCCGAGCGGTGCCGATTGCGGGGCACATGTTTTGTTTCTGTTGATGTTATTGTGCTTGAGTTTGTTGTAATCACGATGTCGGATGATAGATTCTCTCTAACTTCTTAGCTATGTTTAATTTGTTATGTATTTTTAAGTTATACTATTTTACAATGTAAATAGGATAATGTAAGTCGTAACTGGCCATGAGTGAGGAAAGGGTCGTCACGTCGTACTAATGCACTAATTATGTCGGCTGAGTCTTAATAATGTCAAATATATTATATTTGTTTTACAAATGGTTTATGTTAAGTTAATCGGTTAGACATTTTTATGATAAATATTTTATATTTCTCGAAAATTGGCTCTTTCATTTGATAGCCTCGATCTTCGAAGTGAACGAGCATTCTTTATTTGATATGTGAAAATATCACTGTAAGAAATGTATTGGCTAAAACATTAAGTTAAAAGCTCTGGTAGTCTTAGTTATGAACGGAATTGACGAGTACAGGCGAAGCAATATCATTGCATAATGTTGCTATACAAATGTCAATTCACGGTCATTGAACAAATACGACAGGTGTCCAATGAAATTTTAGTTATCGATCGACGTTGATATGTTTTTATTATATGTTTTAATAATTATATTACATCAATCAAAAGTTTTTTTGTCAAATCTCATTATTTTATTCGTAACAAATAATAACTATGATGAGGATAATAACCAATATAATTATGTTAGATTTGTTTTTTTTTCTCTATTTTATTCATTTATGTACTGAATACATTTATATACTGCGATTACATTTACATAAATAAAAAAAGAAAAATACAGTACTTTTTAAACGGTTTTGTTAACTTTACGCTCTGCTTCTTGTAAAAATGTTGTTTATTATGTACGTAGTTTGACTTACATTTCAGAAGTCATTCCCCCTTTTGCACGTTTCTCTGTTTATAATCAGAGTTTTATTTACATTGCATTATGAAATAATTAAATGTGCATGGGATAGCTAAAATTTATTCGACACCTGCACATGGATACTAAACAATAAATACTTTAATATGTTCCCCCCAATCTCTCTTGTGTCTTCCAAATATATGTATTAAGTCAGAATATTCATTACATAGACTAGTATTTACTATGAAGTATTTAGTTTTTTTTTTATTCCAGAATGATCTGTAATTTTTTAATAGTTTATGAGCATACCTCATAGCAAATACGCATTTGCAATTATTGTAAAAATTTTGATTCTAATTAAAATATCTATGACAATATTATGTAATTTTTGATATTGTTTAAAATGTATTTAAATCGATATATGTATTAATTGGCGCGTAACGGCTCAGATAGATTTTTTTTATTATGTCACCTAAGTACGGTCATTGGTCATACACCATGTAACTTAATCATGGGATTTTTAAGAGCCTTATAATGATGGTATTTATACATTATATTATAATTGTGTGTTATAAGTCTATGCGATATTAGAAAATTACAGAAAAGTCCTGGTCCATTTTATCCTATTAGCTTATACAATTCTATTATAGTATTTCGTTATTGTATCACATGATTGTATTGGGCATACGGAATTGTTCCTAATATTTATTTTGTACCGATCAGAGACCACAAGCCGTTATACTTGCTATAACGTTTATGTATGTGATGCTCTCACACTTGCATCGATCACGCGGCAGATGCCAAGCCATTATTGGGGCTCAAATTTTTTTCCAATTTCTCACGAATTTCGGTTTTTTTTTTAATTTATATATTTTTTATTTGTGAGTCCACCTAGACTCGTAAGGCTGACTGAATTTATAAGACCCAAAGCTAGTCCAGAAAAAAAGAACATAAAACCATATTTTTGTGAACTTAATGATTAATCGCTAATTATTGTCTCGTAAGTAAGACGTACCGATTAGTGTTTAAATATTTGTCATAATATAAATTATAATAATTGTAACAGTAAGCCTTAATTGTTTGCACTCGACTGTGTATATGATAATTGTAAATAAAAATAGCATTCGCCTTCGTGTCGCTTTGCAAGTTTATTCGATGGATGTACCTATTTGGATGTATTTATTTCGTGCTTAGCTGTTCTTAGCTGATGAGTCCGTGTTCATCTTTTAATATTTGTATCTCATCAGTCATCACTCAACTGGTCCACTAGAAATTTGATTTTTGATACCTTAGGTTTCAATTATGATTTTCGTTTTAAACTTTAACTGTATGTTTTTTATTACGTTATCTTTTCCTACGTATCGTAGGTTTAGCTGAAAACTGTACCGTAAATTTCCATTTCGTAAATCCTAGAACTGATAAAAATGACTGCTTTAACATATACCATAACTCGGTTCTTAGCCTTATTTTCTTCAAAATATCAAACTCAATTAAAATATTTCTTTTTTGTGAAACGTCTAAACGATCTCGTTAAACCATTACGATGTAATAATTTATAGATACTGCGAATGAATAACAGCTATTACTTCCTAATAATTCTTTGGTAATAAAACAAGATAACATTATATTCACGCCTTTCTAGTTTACAATGAACTATGCACAGTACTTTGCTTCTTTACCGATTCTAAAATGTTTTTTTCAAAAATAACAATATGCTACTGCCATGATGTATCTTGACGCTGGCTCGAAGATCCAAAGGGGCTATTTTACACGTGATGTGTTTCGTTTACGACATGCGTTCATATTTACCGATTACTACTGCGCTTTGTAAATAATGTCGAGCAACAAAAGCTCTCGGCGCTTAAGATACGCGTAATTTGTTTTAAATACTATTAGGTATATATTTCTTACTACATAAAAGCTATCCACTCAAATCAATACCCTATTCTGGCGTCTGGTAGAAATGTTTGTTTGTACATAAATGTGCGTGTTACCACTCAGTGTACAAATTTGTCGTGTAGGTATTGTGTATTTTATGAATATTAAGGAATTATGCGGTACGTAAAATGGTGGAGAGACGTCAGATATGCACAGACTTAAAACACTCCATTATCATTCACACACATGACACAAATGTGCCCAAACAGCGATCAGCCTCACGTAGACTGAGATTAGAATAGTTACGCGGTGTATAAAATATATAAATCCAAAAAATAATATTAAATTCTAATTAGTCGAATGTAAGATGTGGTTTTACTTTTCTCATTAATAATTATTTTCCTAAAGTGTTTAGTAATATTGGAGTTTATATACCTACTGTAAAAACGCTCATATCAAATATTATTTATTATCTCATTTCCTTGTAAAATATGTAAATAGTTGTGCAAGATTATTGGAATTAGTCGTTTTTCATGAATTCTAGGTGTTAAAATTGAAAGTCTGACCCTAAAACTATTGATTCATCCGATCACCTTCCTTTCGCTTTTTACGATGTCGAATCTGAAGATTGTTTTTTGTACGAAATAATTAAATAGTACGTATATTGGAAACAGGATTAAAGCTAGAACAATGATTTAAATAATACTTATGCAACTTACAACGACGAGTTCGACAAATATTGGCAATATCGGAACAAAGTGAAAGCTCAAACATCAAACTCCATTATATTTTATTTATGCTAGCTCGCCTATGTCATTTAATAGTAAATATGTACCATCAGCGAGAGGTCAGCACTACGCTGTGGGGCTCTTCAGAGCTGCTCGTACGATATAAAATGAAAAAAAGAGTGCTCCCTTTTGCCTTTGCTTTGCGAGTTGCGATACTACTTCATTACTCTTATAGACTTATTTTTTGCGAAATGCCTCGAGATCGAAATAGATTTACTTATAATGTTCTTCTTTGAGAGTTCAGTTCCTAAGAACTGGAGTGATAATGCTTAGAAAATATTGGCAAAGTGTAAATGTATAAATAAATTATTGCTGAAACGTAAGTTTCTACAATTGTCTCTCTGTCTGATTGAATATTATCACATTATGTAACTAGAATATAAAACATAGAACTATTTACTTTAAAGGTAGATCAAAAGTAGAAGATTGCATAATGGCTGAGGGTTGCAATTTTATTTTTTATTATTCAGAAATTGAGACAATTGTCATGTATCATATAATATACGTCAATATAGAAAATATATTTATCTGCTTTACATCTAACTCTGCGAGCTACATTTTTATTCTGTTCTAAATTGAGTTTCTAATTTGTTTAACATTATTGTTCACAATTTCTTATTTAATACTTATATAGATATTTAAATGTAATAATAAAGTATTATAAAATTGTTATTCCAATTGAGTTTTGCTATTGAACATTAATCTTCGCATTTGTTTAGATTTAACATTTGTATGTAATGTGTACGTTTGTAATGTGAGAGCTAAACAGAATAAAAATATAGCTTTGCTTTAACTGTAAATTATTTGTTTATATAAACGATAATGTAACCAACTGCAATTTACAGTTATGTACTTTTTCACTGTTTCCGTTTTCTTAATAAAAATGTTGAAAATAATAATACATTTTAATTTTTACCGAGTCCATATAGTAAAAAGAAAATCTTATAATTCATAATACATATGTCTTTGCCGAAAATAACTGCGTCTATAGCGATCTTTTGAGTTTAAATTATGATAAACACGTTTTATCGAAAAGACTCATATAATTAGCAAAGTTAGAAGAACTAAGATATTCGTCATCTATACGTAAAATAAAATTGTAACTAAGCCGAATCCGTACATTAAATATTTTTTGGAAAATATTATTGAAATAGACATTATTATTAGTCGTCATTTAAGCTTAAATTAGGTAAGAATCTCGGAATTCGAGATACCCAGCTGTAAGTCTGTAAATACTTGTACATTGACACCCTAAAAGTTGTCTCAAAACCTACATAAGGTAGGGTGTACGCAACTATTAAATTTCAAGGTCAAAGGTCACAAAAATCGTTTTTTTGTGCTTTTTTTGTAAATATCTCACTTCCTATGGGTTTTTTGCTATTTGTATTAATTATCAATATTGATTTGTATGAATTATCAATACAAAATTCTCTACAAATTTTGTTTAAAAAATTTTTTCATGCGGTGAACCGTTTTCGAGATAGAGGGCGGAGAGCGCGCGGTCACAGCATCACTTCAGTTTTATATATGTAGCAATATACTCTATGACTTCAGTCAACCGGTGCCTCCGGTCGAAAACGCGCCATATATAGTTGATGAACTATCGATAAATCAATGATTATAAATATTTGTCAATTTTTATTTTTTTAGTCCCACACCTCGTGCGTAAATGAATTTCCCAACGTTAAAAAAAGGGTTATTTTTGTTTGCTTCAATAGATAATAATTATTAGATGACCTGCAAGCTGTCGAACAGTTAAATTTTATAAATATAGGAAAACTATACGAAACTATTAAATATTGCAAAATTTATTCTTCAATTTAAAAAACCTGTGAAAACAGTTTCTAACCGTGGTAAGCAACTCTGCCATCTGTGAAAATGCACTACAAATTATCCGATTGCAGATTTTTCATATAATTAGTAAAATTACACAAATTACATTACACAATTGATTTACGAGCGCATTATTCAGTTTTCCTTAACTTTTTACGCCCTGTCCGCACTGCGATATTTCACCGCACGTTTTTATTCTCGCAATTCTGTAACACATTGAATCTTATAGGAGTATCCGCACTGGCGGTTAAAAATTCACGCGGAAAAAAAATCTGTGATTTGATGCAAATTGAACCGTCGTGCACCGACGCTATTGGTTTATCGAATGATTTTGTAGTCATTCTGTAATATCCGAAAAACTTTTTACTGTATCAAGAGCTGCGAAATCTCTTGATATTTAATGTAGAAAAACATCATTTTAGATTACTAAAATGTCTCAGTAGATATAGTAGATTTATCATTTTAGACGTTTGTCTCAGTCGGGAACTGCATCAAACTGACAAAAATCGTACGAAATTTTATTCGCAGTGCGTAATAAGTACAATTTCGATCACGGAATATAATACGCGAGAATAAAAATCGCGCGGTGATATATCGCAGCGCGGACAGGGCCTAAACCACCAGATCTTTTTGGGTTCTATTTTTATCATTTGTTAATTTTATCACTTCAATAACAAAGATACATATAATGCCATCTATTGAGATTTATTCGAATTAATTTATATTTATATTGCTTAGAACATAATAACAGAATTATAATAGAACAGTATTAGCAATAAAAAACATAATTCTTTCTGCGACGTATTTTATTTTTATAATCAACATGATACAGATGTTATGGCTTTGTATTGAAATATTTTCTAATATATATAATAAAACATTAACTAATTATCTTACATCCACTGAAAATGTACAATTTGTAATAAGATCTTATAAAATATTGGAACCGTTGGCGAGTCCATACCAACTGAGCGTGTCCGCGCTCCGCGGTGAGTGTCCGCGCCGGACGGTCGGTATAGACTCGAGGTCATTTAACAACACTTACAAAGATAAACATTGCTCCTACGTTAAGGCATTGCAGACAGACGTGAGACACCGCCAGTTCGGCGGCGAAAGCTCAATCAATATTCGATTAGTTTAAATTACTAGATGAGACTTTCGCCACAAAACAAATTATCGCTATTTATATCGCACACAAGAGCAATTTCTTTTGTCTCGAATCTGTCATATAAAACTCTGATATTTATAAAAAAATAATCCAAATCAGATTTATGTCATAGAAATACTTGAACTTACAATTAAGTTTCGGACCTATTGGAGACGATACGTTAATCATTAGAAATTGTTAGATTCGCACAAACATTTTGTCGCGAGTCATATGAAAGTAATGAAAATCAATGACCGTGTTGTAGTTAAAGAATTATTTTACATATTACATAAAGATATAAAAACTTTTTTATAATAACAATGAAGTCTAGGCGATGTGTACTCGAATCAAACATCTCGCATGTACCGAGTATCGTATTCGGGCAACACTGACTGCTCCTACTCGGCCGTCGGTGCCCACTATTATGTCACTATAATATATTATCTAAAGATGGAAGCGTTATAAGCATGCTATTTAAAAGAAAATAGCACCCGATAAAACTTTATACTGTTTCTAGATTTGAATACATATTATGAAGCTAGACGTTAAATATTTCAACTGCTTCAGTTTATTCTAAGTAAAAATAAATGATCTTCCATAAGATAAGTGGATATATAATTAATGTGCTTAACATAGAATGAAAATTAATTTTAAATTACATGTAATATCATATAAACATGATGTCCTCCTGATCGATTCCGGCCACGGCGTCCAATCTCATTGAGACTAGCCAACTGCGCAGGAGATATTATAGTGCACAAGTGTACGCGCAGGCACAAGTGCACTCTCTATTCCTGTCACTCTCATACTCCGGTGTGACGACGCGAGACACGACCAGTGAGAGTTAAGGCGCAGGACCGACGGCTTAACGAGCTCTCCGAGGCACGGGGGTGAAACACCGCCAACTTCCCAACTCCGGGTTGTTATTGAGGCTTACTATACAGAAAGACTCAATAACTAAACTTGGCCCGACCCGGGACTCGCACCCAGAACCTCCGGGTGAGCAGCCGTACATGCTAGCCACTACACCACCGAGGCAGTTGCATAAACATAATACATATGTAAGTTCATAAGAATAATCGGTCAAATGCAAGCCGCCAAGTGAACTTGGTTTTTTATTTTTCATAAGCGATATCGCTATCTAAATTTCATCATTTCATAATCTTATATTCTTTTGAAAAAATAATTTATTAGTGATTTGATTCTTTCCGGATTTTGAAAAGAAGGGAGCAATTTTCGCATATTTTTTCTTTCATTTTATAAAGTGTCCTAAAAAATTATAGAAACGATGTATTTCTCATACATTTCTCAGCTATTATCTCTCGATAACTCATAAAAAATCCTATATGATACTTTATAAATTATAAGATTTTATAGTTTTCTATTTAGTTTACATTTGGGTAATTATAATGCATTTGCAGGAAATTTTCGACTGTTGAAATTAAGCTGTAACAGAAAGACACGATTTCCTAATATGTCATATCAGATGTAAGGAACCAAAATACCATTGTGTATATCATATGGAAGATCACTAAGGAATTTAAAACAACTAAATGCCTCAAGGCTAAGATCTTACAGTATATGCAATTTAATCCCCAGTCTTCAAAATTATTTACAATATTATCTTAAACAAAATATGTATATAAAAAAACATTAGTTTTCTGTGTGTGTATTTATAATGGATTTTCGTTGTACAACTCGAATTTTGTGAAATGGTCTATGGTAACCAGCTGCAGTGTTTAAAACTAAATTTAGGCCCAAAAAGCGGATAAGCTCTTTAGTCGCATCACAAGTATTAATACGCATGTCACCTACAGACAGTTGTTGATAAAATAAATTACAATTTAAAAAAAAATGGTTTTAATAATTTAAGTATAAATACATTTAGTGTCACACAGATGTCACGCTTCGATACTGTGATGTCAATCATTATTATAATCATAAAAAAATATACAATTATTATAATAATAAGACTGTAAAATTGTTACTATTTATAAACCAAAAAAAAAACATCCATCGCTAACGCCCGACAACACTTACTACATTTATCTTAAACTCATTATAATATAAATATATTAATAATCTTTACTACATAAACTCACCGAGTGATAGAAAAATAACAAAATAGAAACCAACAATAGAATGGAATGGGTACCAAAGACTGTCAGAGCGGAGCTACGCGTCGAGCCAGTGAGTATGTACATATACATTGAGACTCCAAGAAAAAAATAATTTAAATTCACACATCAGTCCGTGTGTGCCCCGCGGCGGGGCGCGGGGTGCGGGGCGGGCGCGGGGGTGTGGGGGGGAGCGTTAGAAGATGTCCGGCAGCGCGGGCCAGTCCTGCCGCCGCTTGCAGTCCCAGTAGCGGTCGTTGTACAGGTGGCGCAGCAGCGGCTGGCCGGGCGCCGCCTGCCTCGTGAACCAGATGGGCGCGGGCGGTGGCGGCGGGCTGACGTGCCGCGCGGCCGCCGCCTCCGCCGCCGCCTCGAGCTCGCGGCGGGCCACGCGCTGCTTCTCCTCGAGGCGCAGCTTCTCCGTGTTGGCCTCGTCCCAGAGCCCCTCCTCCATGAGCCGCTGGTCGGGCCGCAGCCGCGAGTCCGTAGGTGCCACGCCCGGCTCCGGCTCATTCAGCTGCGCCGCCAGCAGCGTGAAGTTGTACCATCTGTGGGGATTTCAGTATTTACATTACTATAATGAGTCACTGGTCACTTGCAATAAAGATTATTATTATTATAGGTTTATACCCCATACAAACTTCCACCCCCTTAAGGGATGATTTCCGGGATAAAAAGTATCCTATGTCCATCCCAGGGTTTCAAACTATATTGTTCAGTAGATCCAGAAATTACCCCCTACAACGTCACAAACACACAAACTTTACCTCTTTATAATATTAGTAAGTATAGATTAGGCAATCTAATTACCTAGATTCACATCAGCGGTCACTGGTTAATTGACTCAGGTTATCAATTGAATGCACTTAAACTCTCTATCTCAAATCTCTCGCACAAATCTCATTCCAACATGAAGAAAAACATCGTGAAAATTGCGTATCGAAAGTCGCATTTAGCCGGGGTGGTAAGGTATGGCCTAATATTCACGAATAACATAACAAAGCTTATTTTCGTAATATCTTTACAAATTACAGCTTATATCCTATATATATTTCCAGATAGCCAGTTTCCGTCTAATAGTTTCTAAGCTTAGCTCCAACAACACAACTATTCGGAGACTTTTAATTTATAATATACTAGTATTGCCCGCGGCTCCGCCCGCGTTCAGATGACCAAAAACTAAGTTTTTAGGTTTTACACATTAGTATACTGTTACATTTCAGTTTTTGTATTTTTTCGCAAAAATGAGAATTTTCCCGCCGTGAAAAGTATTCCATATGTTGACCCGGATAACCAGCTATCACTATACAAATCTCATCAAAATCCCTCCAGTGGTTATTCTGTGATGCGGTAACAGACAGGCAGACAAACAGACAGACAAATTCTAAAAACTGTAGATTCGGCCTCTGTGTCGATAATAATGTTTATTTCAAAAAGATTTTCCAAAAAATATCTAATGTACAGATTCGGCTTAGTTACAATTTTATTATATGTATAGATTATAGTGATAATTGTTATTGTATAACACAGTAAGCACTGACTTGTCGGAGTCGGGCGGCGCGGGCACGCGCTCCCAGGCCAGCACGAACTTGCCGGTCTTGCACACGGTGTTGTCGGGCGACGCCGACGTCACCGCCGCGATCTCCACGCGCGAGTCCCAGTGCCCCTGCAGCACGTAGCGCGGCTGCAGCCACCATACACCACAACATATATATTATTCATTCACTATTGTAATAAATATCAAATTGAAAAAGTTATAACAGAAAAAAAATAGTACTGAAGAGAATGAGCAAATTTCAATAAACGACTGTTTGGATTAGTAAACTGTGATATCGTTATCGATCGTAAAATATCAATTGGACCCAGTTATGGAAAAAACAGCCATGTGCGTAAAAGTACCAACAGAGTTATAAGCATTTTTCTGTCGATAGTTGCACTTGGGTTATGTTTTGTTTTTCTGGTTATTTTAAAATTGAACAATATTTATATAAGTATTGCTTATTTTTTATAATTATTTTAGTTTTTATAATAAAATGCTTATAACTCTGTTGGTACTTTTACGCACATGGCTGTTTTTTGCATAACTGGGTCCAATTATGTATCGATTTTCATATTAATGTCTTTAAAACCTGTCAGTTGCACACAGATTACTTCGTCACTGTCGCGTAGAATGGAGAAGACACGAGGTGAAAGAGATGAACCATAAAAGTAAGAAAAAGAGAGTATACTCTGGGGTGACTGACCACGCCCTGCGGGTCCTTGATGACGCCGGTGACCTTGCGCTGCGTGTCCTTGCTGAAGTACCCGTAGGGCAGGTACTTGAGGTGCGCCACGTAGCCGGCCGCGGGGCCCGCCTCGCCCACGATGTCCATGTCGCCGTGGTTGTCCACCCACAGCTTGCCCACTATTATGTTGTGCACTGTCGTCGTCACCTGTACACCGACATACTCACATTTAAAATATATTCATTTAAATATATTTAATTACACTCTTACTGTGGATTTTCAAATGTTAACTCAATGTACTAATATTATATTGCGTAAGGAAGCTACTAGATAGATAAATGCTATCGAAGATTTCCCTGTAGACCTTATTAAAACCTACAATTTTTTAGTATATTAATAGCGATTCACCCTTGTTTCGCTCGTGTTTGTTCCTAGGTACGTTTTATTAGTTAGTATGAAATAGTCATAATAATCTATTGCTGCAAACTGCATTAAAACCAGTTGAGTAGTTTAAAAGATCTAAATGAACAGACAGCGGAAGCAACTTCATTTTACACGATGTAAAGATTTCGACATATCACTTAAGCTTTGTTTAGTCAGTGTTAGCCAACCGTTTTTTTGAACAATTAAACGGACAAAAACATTTTTTTTTTGACCAAAAGACATTCAAACTTCAGCCAATTAGTACAAAATATTTACAAATTATCATCGTTCACGCATCAATAAACCGTTCCTTTGATTGTGTTGAAGAAGCTTCACTTCCAAGTACCTACCGTACCGGTCGGACCGGACCGGAGGGCGAGTGCACAGCTCGTACAATAGATAGACAGACACACCTTACCCCAGGAGTACGTGTGGCCACGCTCTGCCACGACGCCCACGCGCCGCCCGCGCAGTGCGGCGCGGCCGTGGGCGGCGCGTGCAGCACCTGCGCCCTCTTTGTGCAGCGAGCCGAGCGACACTCGTCCTTGTGACGGGGAGTTGGGCGACACTTGTGTCTTTGTGGCAGTAAGCCAAGCGACACTGTGACGGAGAGTTGGGCGACACTTATGTGCCTTTGTGGTGGGTGGTCGAATTGAGCAACACTCGTGTCTAGTGTCTTTGAGGTAGGAATCTCGAGAGAACTTCATTGCAGGAGTACACTTGTGCGTGTCTCATTGTTGCGTGAAGCACATCGCGTGTTCGAGTCTGGCGTAAGACTCATACGACTTATTAGCAACAAATGGAAATACGATCGTACGTGTTTCTTTATTGACAGCAAGTTGTCTGTATTATGTAAGTGAAAACTTGGTGTGACGTCATAATAGACGCCCCAGTGTGGGGCAAATGGCAATGCTCGTGCATATTTCTTTATGGCGCGAAGCTCATCGCGGGTTCGAGCCTCGTGTTGGACAATTTTTGTTTGTCTCCTTGTAATGAGAAGCTTCCACTAGAAGGAGAATTGGTATGCTTTTGAGTTACGTCATTATGGATAGAAAATTATAGCTCTCAATATAAAGAGAATTAGGATGTTGGTGATGGAGAACACCATGCTTTCGTAAAAAAAAACTAGTGCCAATCAATGAAATTAACCCCAATGACTATAGATTTGTTAGAGATTTACTAAAATGATATTACTATAACAATGGTATTTATATATATCTAGTAATAAAAGGTCTGGGTCTCATTTCATCCTACTTGATTTTGAAATGAAATAAGACTTTATTCAAATAAACTTATTACAAGCACTTTTGATTTTAATGCTTAAAAAAATATTGAAGATAACGTTTTAACAATCATTTATAAGAACCTATAATATCTACACAGTAAAACTCTTAATGTATTTTTAATGTGTAGATAATAAATATTAATTTATGACATTAGAAATACTAATAAATAATCAATTAACTAAAAGATATCTACTCCCTGCCTCAGAGTATTATTAAATTATTAAATGAATACCAACCTTACAAATCGGAGTGTATAAATTCCCAGCTGACTGAGAACTCATAGAACTGCTGTAGAGACCCAAATAATACTGTATTTTTTACTTACCGCTTGTATTAAGTATGTTATCCATTAAGTCGCTCAAATAAAATGACATATATGAAAAAATGCTTAATATCTATTTCAATAATGAAAGAGAGACATTTCCACGTCACCTTGCGCCAGGTGTACTTGTTGCCGGAGGCGGGGAAGTGCGCGAAGGCGCCGCCCAGCGGCACCACCTGCAGGTACTTGCCGCGGAACTTGGTGGTCATGGTGAACTCCTGCCAGCACTGCCAGCCCGCCGCGCCCTCGCAGAACTGCGCCACCATGGGCGGGTGGTGCGACACCTGACGCCATTCAATTCAAAGGGTGTAGCAGGATAAGTATTGTGAATCGGCCCCCAATGACAACTTCTTTTTAAATTCATGATAAAGTATCAACTCGATGTGTGTATGCAATTTATATGATTTTTTCTGCCGTATTCCACTTCAATCTAGAGATATGGTTGTATATATGATTATCCGTCAAACAGCCATATCTTAAAAAATAATTGAGCTAGAGAGATAAATCCAAAATGAGGTTGTAGGAAACGTTAAAGAGTATATTCAGTATTTTTCTTAGATTATTTAAATAATTACGAGCATTGATAATTTATAAATAAATATTTCATCTTTAATTTTTTTAGTGTTCTTGGTGATCTACAATCACCGAAAAAATATATGTTATAGTACTTGACAAGCCCTACTTACACATTGAAATTATATTGAAAAAAAGTTGGTGCAACATTTAGAAGAAAAAAAAAATTCGCTGGGCAGGTCATCATACAAGTCATGATTATGGCACAAGTCATACGTTATTTGATCGATTGAGGTTATTGTTAAAGGAAATAAAAGGATATTCGCAATAAGACAATAACTTCTATTAATAAATGATAACAATTAGTTTTGAGTAGGTTAAATGTACGAAACAACGAGTAACGTAGTGACAAGTCTGAACTTGATCGTATATTGAATGCACCGTATACTTTTTTTTTAACGTCACGCAGAGACTGCGTGGACTTGCGTATATGAAATAATAGTAGAGTGGGGATAAAAAGAGTTAGTCTAGTATTCGGCAGCGCGGTATTTTCTTCGTTCTGAAAGGAAACACTGAAAAAAAAAGATTTTAGATGATTGAGTTCAATAATATTGGAAGATTCGACTGTATTTATAATTAATTACATACGATTTATTTTCTAGCAATTATTCAAATTATCATAAAAACTTATATGTACCTGTGTCCAAGATTATAATTAAGAATATATATGGAACATAAATATATATTCAGTTTATAAATTATCGAACTAATTTTATGATTTAAACTCCACTGTAAATGGTGCATGTCACGACTGCAAAATATTTTTGGATAGCAAAAGCTACGTTTCTTCCAAAATTCTTCTGTGTCAAACACAGGTGCGTCGAATTTTTTTTTTCTAAATGTTGCACCAACTTTTTTTCAATATAATTTCAATGTGTATGTGTGTGTGATTGTAGGTCACCAAGAACACTAAAAAAATTAAAGATGAAATATTTATTTATTAATTATCAATGCTCGTAATTATTTAAATAATCTAAAAAAAATACTGAATATACTCTTTAACGTTTCCTACAACCTCATTTTGGATTTATCTCTCTAGCTCAATTATTTTTTAAGATATGGCTGTTTGACGGATAATCAATCATATATACAACCATATCTCTAGATTGAAGTGGAATACGGCAGAAAAAATCATATAAATTGCATACACACATCGAGTTGATACTTTATCATGAATTTAAAAAGAAGTTGTCATTGGGGGTCGCTTCACAATACTTATCCTGCTACACCCTTTTGTTTATCATTTTGTTCATTAGGCATACATATTTTTTAAATGTAACGTGGGAATTTCTAAGTGTTTATAGTTTGTATATTAAATTATTACTTTTTTTTCAATTAGAAATTCCATATTACTTCAATAAAATATAAGCCAAGAATCGGTATATCGAAAACGATCGAAAGCTATAGGCAGGTATTAAAGGTTAGGCGAGTGCTGAGAGGAAGGATATAGCAGAGGCAGGAAGTTAGCTAATACATAAAATATGTTATAATTTAAATATTAGTTCTAAATTAAATAAATAATATTCCCAATAACTACAATAAATTATAAAAAACGTACCTGTTCAGATATCGAGCGCCAGCCGAGGTCTGCCATACGATCGCATTCATATGTCTCACCCAGTAACGGGTTGAAAGGCTTTGTGGTTCTGAAAACATTACATCAAAATAATTACTACAAAAATATATTACACAAAATAAAACATAGAAGATATGTTACCTTAACTTACTTAACTATATATGAATAAATACAATATATAACTTCATACCGCCATCATATGAAATACCGCCAAAAAAGTCCCAGTAACAACCCGGAGTTGGGAAACTCTGGGCAGTTACTGAGACTTTTTTAAAAGAAAGACTCCAATAACTAAACTCGACCCGGGACTCGAACCTAGGACCTCCTGTGCAGCCGTACATGCTAGCCACTATACGCCATCGAGGCAGGTAGTAAAACTGATTATACATTGAATAAAAATATCTTCAATTTTCAAGATTCCAGATTTTGACTAATCTCATCGAGATTGATATTATACTGTGTGTGTTTAAAGAGAAATTCATTATCTATTTCAGCGGTTCCCAAATGGTGGTCCGAAAAACCTTAGGGTTCCGTGGGTCACATGAGTTCCGAGTTTCGTCCGTGAGTTAAATGAAACGTTGTCAGACACGAAGCCTAATTTTAGTGCTATTATTATTAAATATAAATATGTGATTTTTTTACTAAATCTATACTAATATTAAAAAGAGGAAAGATAATTTTTTTGTTTGTTTGTTTTTACCCAATAGGCTCCGAAACTACTGAACCGATTTAGATGAAATTTGGGAAGAAGATAGTTTGAGACCCTGGGAAGGACATAAGATACTTTTTATGCCGGAAATCATATCTTAAGGGGGTGAAAATGGGGATGAAAAGTTATATTTTTTGTACAATAAATATTATTAAAGTATGTTTCATTTTCAGTTTTTTTTTTTAGTTTTTTCAAGACAAACAATTAAGGTATGGATATTGGATAGTACTTACAAGTTTTCGCGAAAATCTAAATTTATCCATATCTTGTTATCGTTTTGACTCAGGACTAATAGGGACTGTAACCTCAGTATCTGGTGTAAATTTCAACTTGTTAGGTCCACCCGTTCCTGAGAAAATCGGTGCTGACACACGGACAGACAGACAGACAAGAGAGTGATCTTATAAGGGTTCCTTTTTTTACCTTTTGAGGTACGGAACCCGGCATACCTGCACGCGGTGGTCGCGTAGGAGGAGACGGTGAAGGCGGCGACGTAGGCGAGCTGCTGCGCGGGGTCGGCGCACGTGGCCGCCTGGTCCAGGATGGACGAGTACTCGTAGTCCTCCGTCAGCCGCTGCAGCATCGACAGCGGCTCGCTGAAGTTCACCGGGATAGGGATCTTTGACAGCTCCTTGCCTGGTGGGGAATGTTGCGTTGTGTTCATTGACCGACTACAAACGATGGTGGTATGTATCGTATGTAGTTCGTATGTATGACTGTTTCTTTTTTTTCATACATGCATTTTGAATGATTTCATTCATTTATATAAAGTATAGAAGCAAAAAATTGTATTTAAAGGGATTTCGAAGTTAACTGTAACTTTTTAGTTATTAAATTAAAGGTTGATGCATCGATAGAACGATTGTAAAACATTTTTGAAAAGGTTACATAGATATATAATACCTGTTCACTTTCTATTTCTATGTCAGGCGATGACTGAGTAAGCCGACCAAAAAAGACCAGAAGATATTCACAAATCCTAATATTTAACAAAACATAGTATCTACCTGTCTGTTGTAACTCAAAAATCGCTGGGTTCTTTAACATAACCTTTGTAACATGCTTTTATTAGCTGCTCCTAATGGCCGTATAAATTTAAAACCTTACCAATATGTAAAATCAAGGTAAAAATATAATAATTTAAAACCATTAAGCTGATATCATATCATTTCGATCAAAATAGATAAATGGAGCACTATACAGCTTGACTAAAGATTTGCAGTCTGCAGGCCTAAGCGATGCATGCATACACAGAATGCTACTATTAATTATATAAAAAGAACCTTTGTTTCAATATATATATATATATTAAACAAGTTGCAAATATGTAATACTATTTAGAAAAAAAATAAACTACAAAATAGGATACATTTCATGTCTGCTATAAGCCAATTAAGGTCAAATTAAAAACCAGGCCTAAATTAAACACAAGAACATCGACAGTTGATTGAGTTTAGGTGTAGACGGTAAACTCTTGAATTACTGATCCGATTATAGAAATACTTTCACTAATAATTCACTAATAAAAAAACTACATTATGTACGAGTAATATAGCTGGTACATACATAATATATGTAGCCTGCAAAACATTTATTTCGGTACCTCTATATAAAATAATTTCCGCGAGATGTTAATGTAGTTACGGTGAAGGAAAACATCGTGAGGAAACCTGAATGTCTGAGAGAACCTAGTAAGTTTTCCAAAGACATGTGAAGTCCGCCAACCCGCACTTGGCCAGCGTGGTGGACTATGGCCTGATCCCCCTCGTACTGAAGGGAGGCCCACCCCCAGCAGTGGAACGTTAAAAAGGGCTAAATACATTAACGTAGTAGGTAGTACCAGACAGACCATTGGCAACATGATTGCGATATAAAAGACAGTTCATACTCCCTCGAACTTCTGAGATTTCATATGCGAATTTCATTCAATCAGATTACCCGCGTTTAAATAAAACTAGGAGTATTATTTTATTATATGGTATTTTTTTTATTTGAAATCCAAAACCTCTAATATCAGTGCTATGTTATTTTAAATTTGGTGACAGTTTCCACTCGAAAATTATAGGTGTCGGACGGTAGCAGAAGAATTGGAAGTGTCATAATGACAGCAAATGTCATAATATTATATGAAAATATTGTAACTTTAATTTTCTATAACTTTTAACTCCTTCATTTCCTCGAACTAATTTTTATATACAATTTTTTTTTTAATTTTTGAGTATCGATATCTCGAAAACAAAGCGAGATATCAAAAAAAAGTTCTTATTTTGCGTTTTATTTTTTCGAATGCCGGGAACCAAAAATCTAAATAAATCCGCGAAATCGTTTATATCGTGATCGTTTTAATTAAAATAAATTAGTATTGGCCAAAATAGCTTCAGAGAAGCGAAGGTCGCTCATGGCATATGAAATCAGTTACAAAATGAAGGCCACGAATATTTATTATGGAGTATTGGAGTAGGTCAATTTCCACATTGTCATAACAATACCAACTCAACAGGTCACCATAATAAATTCGTGACCTCATTATTTTATTTGTCAGGCGTTTGAAAAATGCTAATTTTAACAATTACATTTTTATTAATCTACTAAAAGTATCAAATGATATGGTTTGTTCGAGTTTTTTTTTTAACTTTAACAAAAGTGTCACAATAATAATACTTAACCGCTAATAAATGGATTATTGCAATATTTTTTTCGCACTTATTTGTTCGCACGATTTTACACATTAAAATGCGTTTCAATAAAAAAAAATAGAAATTATCGTTTACACATCACATACACGGATGGTTACAGTACGTTTTAATCATGTATTATTTTATTTTAAATTATCATAAACATGCGAAAATGTGCATGCGCATGTATTCGGCGATGCAAAGCGCATTTATTTAGAAAAGTTTATCGAAGCTAAAGCTGGCATCATCCTCTTTATATTGAGAGGTGACCCGTATTTATCATCTATACATATAATAAAATTGTAACTAAGCCGAATCCGTACATTAAAAATTTTTTGGAAAATCTTATTGCAATAGACATTATTATCGATACGGAGGCCGAATCTATAGTTTTTAGAATTTTTGTGTCTGTCTGTTTGTTACCGCATCACGGAAAAACCACTGGAGGGATTTTGATGAAATTTGGTATGATGGTAGCTGGTTATCCGGGTCAACATAAAGGATACATTTTACTGCGGGAAAACCTCAAAATGTAAATAGGGACGAACCCGAGTGGAGCGAGGGTGAGTCGCTAGTTATTAATAATTTTCTCAAACATGCAGGTTTCCTCACGATGTTTTTCTTCACCGTAAGACATGTGATAATCATGTTAAAATAAGAATATCAGACGTGCAAGACCCGAGATTTGAACCCGCTTTACTTAGTTTCCCAAACAAGTGAAATACCACTGAACTACCTCTGTATTATTTTATTTTCCTTACTAAATATCGAGCCTCCGTCTTTTTAATCAATAATCATACTTTTTTTTACTAATGAATTCACTTCTTTTTTTTAACGTTGGGAAATGCATTTACGCACGAAATGTGGGACTCACCGGCGAAGCCAGTACTACCCACTAAAACCCAACAAAGCCTTCCCCCGTCTTAATGGGGCGTCGCAGGATCGCTTACGCATTCAACTACGACGCCCCGACGGCAGGTCTGCCGAAGCAGACCATCACAACCATGGGGTTGCTCCAAGGTCCACTCTGCTGTCAGAGAAGTACCAGGAGCAACCCGCATGGTACACCGCCCTCCGAAGAGGGCCACCTCCCACCGCCCACCGAAGACGGCCACCTCCCTGTGCGTTTCTTGGCTTCGCGCCCGGCTGAATTGCCGGGCATTACTGAGCCCCACCACCACGACAAGGTGAACGCACGTTGAGGGGGAATGAATTCACCCCTACCAGGGGGTAGGTTGGGCTTAATATTTCTTTTAAAGCAATTCGAAAGTCGACACCTAATTAGTGATAATGAAAACAGGCGAATTTACTCACCGATGCAGTTCTTCATGATGGACCAGAGCGAGAGCGGGTAGTTGGGCTTGTCGGGCACGCGCGTGCGGCGCGGGCGCCCGTCCACCGCGCCCGTCGTCTGCGACACGTGCGGCTGCGGCGGACGACACACGTATATATTATTTTATATATACATATTTTAAAAACCAACTTTAAAAAAAGAGGGCTTTTATAATACAGTTAATGTGTAAACACTCGCACCAATCGGATGCGCCCTTAGAGAATCTTTCCGATAGATTATTTTTGCAAATCGCTCATAATATACATATTATAAACTACCTAGATGATCCCTTCTTCTATTGGTGAACTATATGATAATTGGTACAGTAGTGTCTGAGATATTTTCGAAAGTGTATCAACAATCTGGTATCCATAACACAAGCCTCGTAGCTTACCATGGATTTTGATGAATGATGAATTAGATGGTGCTGTGTGTTAAATGTCCCAATATATTTATTTATAAGTTTCAAAATTCCCAAAAATTCACCTTCTCCCTGAAGGGGCAATAGTGTTTATATTTTTAATGGATGCCTAAAAAGTAATATTGAAATCGGTGTTAAAACCTGATTATTAATGACTAGCTAAGTACGTTTTAACGGTTTGTATGGAATAGATTGACTGTACATTATATGACATAATAATAATATAATATAGCCTTCCTCAATAAATGGGCTATCTAATGCAAAAATAGTTTTTCAACTCGGATTTGTAGTACCTGAGATTAGCGCGTTCAAACCAACAAATAAACTCTGTCACTTTATAATATTAGTATAGATATAAAAAATATATAACAATGACATCCTTAAATAACATTTTTTTTATGATTGTGATTTTAATGCAATCCCATAAAAAAACTACCTACTACCTGTTACTGTGTTTAGAAATACTATATACATTACGTGTAAATACCATTGCACTAAATAAAACAAACAAATCACTACAGCGAGCACATGTGAATTAAATTATTGATACATATAATAAAATTCTAACCGAGTTGAATCTGTTTTTCTATTAATCTACTACAGTTATACATTAAGTAAGTTGAAGAAAATCTTTTTGAAATAGTCGTTATTACCGATACAGAAGCTGAATAAATAGGTATTAGATTTTTTGTCTGTTTGTCTGGGAACGCATCACGAGAAAACCACTAGACAGATTTTGATGAAAGTTGGTTATCCGGGTCAACACATAGGATTCTTTTTACTGCGGGAAAATATCTCATCTCTGAGTAATCTATACTAAACGTTAAAACGTACCAAGGGACCCAAGCGGAGCGAGGGTGAGTCGCTAGTTATTTTAATATAAAAACCAACTGTATCAAAATCTAGGCATTTTCCCTTAGAACTATGTGAACAGCTGATAGTGTTAATTCTTTTTAATGATCCAAATAAAACAGCACATTAGTATACCATTATAAGGCCTTAACTCGACCTTCAATCGTTATAACAACAAAATTAATTATAGAGGTTCACTGTAATAAAACATAAAAATTTAAAAGTCTATACCGCCCAAATACAACACCCTTAATTTACCATTCATAAAACGTTAACCTACACTTTTCAAAGTAAGAAAGTTTATTAGAAATAGTTTTTTAAATAAAGTTTATATAATATTGAATCTAAGACACACATTTCCATCATATTGTGTATTCATTTTATTGGCAAAATAAATATATGAGACGGTTCATTAAACCAAACCCTTTTTTTTTAACGTTGGGAAATGCATTTACGCACGACGTGTGGGACTCACCGGCGTAATACAACCAGTACTACCCACTAAAACCCAACAAAACCTTCCCCGGTCTTAATGGGGCGTCGCAGGATCGCTTACGCATTCAACTACGACGCCCCGACGGCAGGTCTGCCAAAGCAGACCAACACAACCATGGGGTTGCTCCAAGGTCCACTCTGTTATCAGAGAAGTACCAGGAGCAACCCGCAAGGTACACCGCCCCCCGAAGAGGGCCACCTCCCACCGCCCACCGAAGTGGGCAACCTCCCTGTGCGTTTCTTAGCTTCGCTACTACTACTGAGCCCCCCCCACCTCGACAAGGTGAACGCACGTTGGGGGGTCATTAAACCAAACCCTAAAAAGATAAGTTTAGCTGGTATAAGATTTTTTATAAAAAAATATATAAATTAGTTATTTTTATAATAATCAATTTAATATTAATAGATAGTAGATTTTTATTTAAAAATTTAGAATCACAATGTTTTATATACAAAATACAAATTCGCAAATTATTTATGTTACTCTCTCCTGCTAGAATTTTTTATTATTGTAAGCATGATATTAACTTCCACATAACTACACAACACAAAACAAATAGTGTCAACAATTGACTTTGCTTACATGTGAACACATAAAAAAACAATTTAATAAAATTGTAAATACAATATTTTATGGTTATCTACAACAGAGTTTAAGATGACTAAAAAAATCAGTTGACCATAAAGTTTGATCTCCAAGACAAAACTTATATATACAAAAAAAACAATCAAAAACTACAATAAATATTGAAATTATAAAAGCATTAGTGTTAACTCACCCATATTTTAATATCCTGTTGCTCCTTATCCTCAGACTTGCTAACTGCTGCTGCCTCGGCACCACCCATTGTGCTTTCTGCCCTTTCCTTGTCTTCCACAAATATCACCTACAGATCATTACTTTCATTGTTTATCTGTTATTTACAATGATAAGATAGATTGGTAAGTATATAACAAAGAACATATAATAATATAAAATAGGAACAAAGAATTATGCCAACCATATTGGTTAAACCTTTAAAAAATAATTATTATTTATATAAAATTGTTTATTTGGTTTAAATAAATATAAAAATTTAGTTTAGAACATAGAATTTAGAAGATTTTTAGACAAAAACAATAATCATATTTCATTAATGAAAATAAGTAAAAAATTATAAAAAAAAAAACAGAAACCAATTTTTAAAATAAAATAAAAAATGTTAAGCCATTATTAAAGTGAATGTTAAATTTCTCTGACCTGTTGAGTTTCAGTTACAGTTTCACCCTCTGATTCATCAGAACTTTCACCACCTTTTGCTTTGTTTTTTCTATTTACCTGCAAAAGAAATCAAATTTGTAAAACAATTTCTTATAAAAAATATCAAATATATATTGTAAAATAATTTGTATATTAACTATGATAAATAAAAAAAGGAAGTTTGTTATAAACATAATAATAAAATCATTTAGTGAAATAAGTAAACTCACAGGCACTTTAATTACAAACGAAGTCTTGTCCTCCATAGCAGAGGAGACTCCCTCTTCCATAGCATCAAAGAACTCATGATCCTCATCTTCTGTATCATTACCTTGTCCGGATCCGTTGCCACCTGCCCATATGAATTGTTATTAAAATTCACTATAACTATAGTATGTTTAATGTGATTTCTAATCAGAAACCTCAGTTACTGTTACTATTACAATGTCTCCTTATCCATGACCACCTTATCATCTTAATCACTTTGATTATAAGATAATAAATTTCAAATTTTATGGTCTTTATGCATAAAAAAATAGTTTTCTTCATATATTAATACTTTTGTGCACTATATAGTTTAAATAAATTACCCTCTGTAATCTTAAATAAAAAATCAAGTGACATTAAACACTAAAGCATCAAAGATTTACCACTGATACACAGGCTATTTATTTGTGTATGTGAGGTAAAGCAAATTAAGCTCACATCCCATCAACAAAATCTATAAAGCTACCGCTTGCTAATAGTTTTGTCATTTGTGTCATCGTCAATGTTAAACCATTATACCATGCTTGGTGTTCAATGAAAGAAACTTTAAATAAAATGATAAAGCATTATATTATATGTACATAGTGTCATCACTAATGTCATGGAGACTTGAGAGGTACTTGTACTCACTTTAGATAAGCAACATTAAATGACAACTATTCCAGTTTTTGTTAGCATTTCTACATTTAATACATAAATATGGAATATCAATTCAATGTAAACATTAGCACAGTACAATAAGTGACTACAAATGTAAATGACAAAGAGGACTGCCTACATGACTCATTTATTACCGTATATTTTATATTTTCTTATACAAAAAACTGTTATCTGCTTAGATTTCAAACAATAGGTTTATGGTAAATAAATATAGAGATAAAAATTTTATGTCAATCAGGAAAATTAGTGAAATTATAAATACTCTGCATTATTTTTAGACTTTGAAATAGAGAAAATTCATCACAATAGTTTTATAAATAGTAATCTAAATAAACATTTGTTTACCACATGACAACTAATATATATTATGAGTGAAACAAAAACGAAAAGCATGAAATATTGAAAGCACTGGGTACATCACTTTGAGCAATCCTTGGTGAATAAAATATTTCATATATGTAATTAATACACCATTGAAAAAAACTGGTCATTTCCTCTTAAGTGAGTTATGGTATAAAACACCTAAAATGAAGTTTATAAATGTTATTTATTAATGTTACAAAATATTAATGTTTATACTGAAAACATACAATTGTTTAAAAATGCTACCTATCCTCTTTGGGGCAAATTTGAAAGTTACAACAATGTTCTCATCCTCTTGGCACTTTTTAACTCATTGTAATTCAAACTTCTGAAATTATTTAACTAGCAATTTAATGTTCCTAGCAACATCCCCATGCAGCAGCAAATTAATGTATAGCAAATGTATAGAATGAGTAAAGTTTCTGAATATAAAATGTATGTTCACAATTCACATTCATCCCTTGTGCTATATGACTTGCAACAGAACATAATCTAACGATAATAATAATTATTTTCCTTCTATTTTGTTGTTCACTTACCACCCATAACGTCTACTACTGAAGAATTACGTACTTGTCATTGCAAACTAACCTAAAGTATAATATTTGATTCAAGCCACTAATGACACAAGGCCAAGATCACGATACACGTATTTCACAAAATATATAATACACATTTGCTAACACACCACTGCAGAATGCACTGCTAAAAGACGACACTTGGTACCAAGCAGATTATTATTAAATAAATGAAGACACAACAACCCGCAACGTATCAATTTTTGCAATACTTTTGCAATAGAAGACAACGTTGAATTTGCCAAAGGTCGTGAAATATAAAATGATATAAATTTAAAATCATTCCGGTATTACGTACGTACCGTAATGAATTGTGCATTTAATTTTCAACTTTCATTTTTTTTAACGACACTCCTAATTTTTATTTAAATACATGGAAACAAAATAAATATGTATTGGAGATCTCAATTTAAGAAGTCGCCCATCTATTTCTGATTATCCGTCACCAGCGTCATAAAGTCATGCGTCAAATTTTGTTACGTTTCGTTTTTCCTTTTGACATTGAACTGCGTAATAGCAAATGTAATTAAAATAACTATTTTATATTTTTATATTGCCAAAAAATTATTCTTGTAATATTTTAATGTTACAAATGTACACAAAAGAAAAAATACCCAATGAGTGATAAATTAATATACACAATACGAGTATTGCCATTGTAAATATATTATTTTAATAAATTTCAATCCATTCATTGAGAAATGTGTAGGAATTTATATTAATACTAGCGGCTCACCCTCGCTTCGCTCGGGTTCACCTCTAGAAAAGCACAAAAAGATTTATCCCACGGGAACCGTTCATTTTTCCGGGATAAAAATAAAATAAATAAAATAAAATAAGTAACCTGTTGTTTGAGCTGCATTATAAGGTATAGGTATCAGCATGCCAAATTTTACTAAATTAGGTGCATAAGTTGTTGTGTACTGAGCTGTATAAGTTACTATAATTTTTTAACTATCCCACGGGAACTCTTTAATTTTCCGGAATGAAAAGTATCAAATTTCATTTAAATAGGTTCAATAGTATCGGAGATTAGCCCGTACGAACAGACAAACAGACAGAGAAACAAAAAAAAATAAAAAATCTGGATTTGTTCTATTTCTCTCCTTACGGGATGTAAGAAGAGAACTGACTCGTTTTTTAGCAATTTTTTCTACCATCTATGTACAGACATTCGACCTCTACAGTTTTATTATTCATATATGTACCTATATTCAGATAGAATAAATAACGTATAATAAAACAGAAAAATATAATAATGAAAATAGTTATAGCGAGTGTACCTTAGGAGATAGACATATACTATGTAGAACTTTTCTATAGACCTTTTTAAGACTTACAATTTTCTTGTAGAATGTTTTGATCTATCTCTTAAGGTTGAGCCAACGTTAGCCAATAAATTTCTAAGGACAATTCGATAGAACCAGTTATTGTATTTTCCCGTGGGAATGAGTAATTTGCCTGTCGTAAAAAGTATTCTAAATATTGACCCGAGCACTAAGTTTTATGACTACAAAATTAAGTTAAAATTGGTTGAGTACTTTTTGCGTGAAACGCGCACATCGATTTGACTAAGTTTTATTATAGGTATAGATAAGAATAAATATTGCGAGTGTAACTTAGAAGATAGACATATACTATTCACAACTTTTCTGTAGGACTTTTCAAGACCTACAATTTTTTAGTATATTGTCTTGATGTATGTCTTAAGGCTTAGTCAGAGGAAGGTTTCTAGGGAGGACTCCATAAAACCAGTTATTGTATTTTCCCGTGGGAAAGAAAGATTTTCTTTAAGTAAAAGGTATCTAGGCAGTGGTATCCCAGTGGTAACGCGCTCACTTGGGAAACCGAGTGATATTTTCATATGCGAATCATTTCTAACACAGTTACCACTTGTCGTAACGGTGAAGGAAAACCTGCATGTCTGACATGACCTAGCAAGTTTTCGAAAGACATGTGAAGTCCACCAACCCGCACTTGGGCAGCGTGGTGGACTATGGCCTGATCCACCTCGTACTGAAGGGAGGCCCGTGCATGTGTTAAAAAGGGCTGAATACAACATACATACATACAAAAGGTACCCTAAATGTTGACTCGAGTAATAAGTTATCACTTCACCAAATTTCGTTGAAATTAGTACATTACTTTTCGCGTGAAACGCACACACAAAAACAGACAAACGGACATACAGGCAAACAGACAATTAGGAATTTTTTTAATAACTATTGTTTTGGGGTCTATGTTGTGTACATAATACGTTACAAATAAACAAAAACATCTATCCCACGGGAAAAGTACAATTTTCCGGGATAAAAAGTTACCTATTTGTTATTCTGATGTATGAACTATATTATTGTAAAGTTTCATCAAAATCCAATCAGTTATTTTGCGTACTAAGCTGTATAAGTTACTATAGTTTTTTGACTATCCCACGGAAACTATTTAATTTTCCGAGATGAAAAGTAGCTGATTTGTTTTTGTCATGTATGAACTATATTATTGTAAAGTTTCATTAAAATCCAATCAGTAGTTTTTGTGTACTAAGCTGTATAAGTTGTTATAGTTTTTTAACTATCCCACGGGAACCCTTTAATTTTCCGGGATGAAAAGTATCTAAGATGTTGTCCGGGGATATAAGGTACCACCATGCATAATTTCATTTAAATAGGTCCAATAGATCCGGAGATTAGCCCGTACAAAGAGAAAAACAGATAAACAGCTCGCTCGGGTTCGTCCATACATACGAATATGTTGTATTATCTCTTCAACCATTTGTCCAAATTATATGCAGTAAAAGGGAAAAGTCTTTTATCTTAAACATTTTAGACGATAAACTTACTTATTTTGATAAGAATTCATAATTGTTGATAATATGACCAATAAACATGACCTACCGATTTAAATGATTTTTTTAATATAAAAAACTACTTTTTGTAACTTAAATATAAAAGTTAGACATATGCTGTCGCTGACTTTTTTGTAGGCATTATTAAGCTCTACAACTTTTCTCTAGAACATAATCATATATCTCTCATCGTTAAGGCAGCGTTCGTAAGAAACGTTTTCGTTCGACCGTTTTTTCTCCGACTTACTTTGCAAATCCGACTACCACGAAAAAGCCTTTTCATTTTTCGGGTTAATATATCCTATGACACTCAGAAAGAACGTGGCTTTCTATTGGTAAAAGAATTTTGAAAATCGGTTCAGTAGATCCAGAGATTACCCCCTACAACGTCACAAACTCACAAACCCACAAACTCACAAACTCACAAGATCACAAACTTTACCTCTTTATAATAATAGTATAGATCAAGAAATAAAAAAAAACATTGTTTTAGTTTTCAAATTAATAATAAAGGATATAGCGGGATGAGTATAACGAATCGGTCCCATAATGGCAACCTATATTGAACTTTTGTATCAATAACTAATAAGGGCTTAATGTAGAAAAACTATTCATATCAGTTTCACTCCCGGTCTCTGCTTTAAACTTGAGATATCATAAAAAAATTGTGTAATTATTAGTTTCGTTCAAAATGACATATCTCGGACATCTTAAAAGCTAGAAACTAAGACTAAACGCAAGGTTTTAGGTAACCTTTGAGAGTTTATTAAATTTATGTTTTACTAGCGACTCCCCCTCGCTTCGCTCTGGTTGGTCCAGAGGTACGTTTTAACGGTTCGTATGGAATAGATAGGCTATATATATTATACATATGTATTTATAGGTATGATATGTTGTTGTGAGTTGTATTATAACGTGTTTTCCCGTGAAAATGAGATAATCTCCCGCGGTAAAAAGTAGCCTATGTCAATTCAGCCCTCCAACTATCTCCACACAAAAAATCACGCTAATCCGTCACTCTGTTTCGACGTGAAAGAAGAGCAAACAAACACACTTTCATATTTGTAATATTAAGTAGGTATGCATTTTCATGTCAGTATGATAAGCATTTTTTATAATAATAATAATAATATTCAAAAGTTAAAATCTGTTTAACAGCTTACTACTTTAAGAATTTTACTTTAAAAAATCTCCATATTTCACCTCTACAACTAATGTTCACAATATTTACAAGATGTTATTAGTACTTCACTAATAAAAAAAAGGCACTAACCTGTGTGTGGTGTACTTCTAGCGGTGACAGTTTTCTCCAAATTATCATGCTGCCTTGCAAGTTGTTCGACTACTTCTTGCAATCTCATTTTCTGGTCGCGTTCGTGTTGCAGCGCGCGGCTCATGCGTGCGCTCGACGCCGCCGCCGCGCCCATGAATTCTGAACACGCCTGGACAAATTATATTAGCATTATTATACTCATTGATAATAAATTAGTTTATGAGTGGGTACAGATGTACTTAAAGTCTCATACATGATACATCAACAATAGAAAACGAGACGACATGAAATCTTTTTTGAGACCGAGCTGAGCGAACCTGCATCGTGAAGTTTTTTGAACCCCGAAAAATAGTAGCCACTAGGTACCATAATGTTAATTCAAACTCGACGACATATAATATGTTAGATGTGTTTTGTGAGATTCTTCTAAAAACGAATGATTACAATTATTGTATGGAACAGTAATAAGTATATCTGTTTTATAGAGCTGCCTTCATTAATTTCTATACTTATTATATCTAAACATATAATAAAACTGTAAAGGTCGAATGTCTGTACATAAAAAAAAATGCTAAAAACCGAGTCAGGGAGATGTTAGAAGACAAATAGAACAAATCCAGATTTTTTTTCAATTTTTTTGTTTCTCTGTCTGTTTTTCTGTTTATCTGTTTGTACGGGCTAATCTCCGAATCTATTGAACCGATTTAGATGAAATTTTGCATGGTGGTACCTTATATCCCCGGGCAACATCTTAGATACTTTTCACCCCAGAAAATTAAAGAGTTCCCGTGGGATAGTTAAAAAACTATAATAACTTATACAGCTTAGTACGCAAAACTACTGATTGGATTTTGATGAAACTTTACAATAATATCCATACTAATATTATAAATGTGAAAGTGTGTTTGTTTGTTTGTCTTTCATTCACGTCGAAACGGCTTGGCGAATATGGCGTAATATTTTGTGTGGAGATAGTTGGCGGGCTGGAGAGTGACATAGGCTACTTTTTACCGTGGGGAATTATCTCTTTCCCACGGGAAAAGGTGTTATAATACAACCCAAAAAAAATATTTATAATCACAATTACTTGAAACTTGGTATTATTGCTCTTTAATAAAATTAATTAAATTTTAGCATTTTTCGAAATTCATCCTATATGGAGGTAAAATAGGGGTCATCCCCTTTTTGTATGAAACTATCTTTTAAAAGATTCTTTGTAGTTTTAGCGTGAGCGAAGCCGCGGGTTCTGCTAGTAAATAAATAAAAATGTATACAGTATTTCAAATACATGCTGCACTTTCTAATAACCTAATTATGTTTAGTAATAATTAATATCTTTTTAGTATTTTTCGTTTTAAATAAAAGCTGAAACTATCTCTTCAAAATTTTTAGGAAATTTTATTTTATATTCTGGTTCCCGACATTTCTAATGCTTTACAGCGCATATGGGCTTTCCGACATCCGAAAAATAATTTTATTAAAATGTCGAATATTCGTGTAAAAGAAAGTATTATTTAAGTCACTGTGTATGGCCTTTGTCACTCGTAGATTGTAGCTCACCCAATTTATCGATGAACAATCGTTACAGTTTGTCAATAGTTTAAATATTACCCACTATTTTTGTGTCCGTCCCATCGATCAAAAAAGTACTAGATACACAATCCCATGCAAAAGTTCTCTTAAAACTGTCACCAGTTGTGTTTTGATAAGTAGTTGAAATAAATATACAATAATGTAAATTGAACCTTAAATAGAATGCTTAAAGTTGTTTTAACAAAAAAATATTTACAAGCGCGCTCAAATGTTCAAATGAGCGCTCATTCGGTGAGGATATTTTTTGTCGCTGATTGTGTATCTAGTAATTCTTTGATCGATGGTCTTGTCTTATAATATTTCCTCCTTCTTCCTTCCTCCTATAATGTATTATGCTATAACCTAAAATATTCTAAAATAGATAAGAAAATAATATGTTTTTTACAAATTAATCAGAATTACCTACCTACATTGATTTATCAAATAATCTATTAAATCATTGAAATAAAAGATAGACATAAAGGATCACCAAACAGGTATCATCTATAGTGCATATAATAAAATTCTAACGAGTCGAATCTGTACATTTAACATTTTTTGGAAAATCTTATTGAAATAGTCATTATTATCAATACAGAGGCCGAATCTAGTTTTTAAAGTTTATGTCTGTCTGTGATGGCATCACGAGAAAACCACTGAACAGATTTTGATGAGGTATGATGATAGCTGGTTATCCAGGTCAACATATAGGATACTTTTTACTGCGGGAAAATATCTCATCTCTGAGAAATCTACAATAAAAGTTAAAACGTAACTAGGGACGAACCTGAGCGGAGCTAGGTGAGTCGCTAGTATAAAATAAATGGTAAATAGTGTAGTGAACAGTTCACACATTTCTGATATATACACTATTATTTAAAACCTACTTACATATATTATTAAGCTTCGTAGTTTTTTTAATAAAAAATCTTTAAAAAACCTTGCATCATCTTATTAGGTAGGTATATTCGGCAGCATACGGACTCGCCCACGCAGTTCATTGAATTATTTATAAAATTAATGTAAGTCTGTGTCGCTTGTTGTATGATTGTTACTGTCTCATTCGTGTCCTTGATCTAAACTTGAAATTCTCAAAGACTAACTGTAATCGCTTGTATTAACAAGTGAAATGGGATTGCGCCTAGAGATGTAACATTTCTCAAGCCATTTTCTTTGCGCTTGCGATGTTTTTTTGCGTGTGATACTAATAATAATATCGTAAAATAATTGTTTTTTTTTAAAAGAACGGTTTTACTGTAAAAATCCTATCAATCAATATTCTACTACACATAATGTATAAGTTTGTAAGGATATTACTTAATTACATGTTTGCTATTGAATATACATATATTTGGATTACATTATCCACTGGTCATTGGATATTATAAGATAAAACTTTGATGATATTACGCACAGATAAGTTTCCATGGCAATATATTTCAAGTTGAGTTATTTAAACAGCATTTTAGTTCTGCTGTTATCAATAGATGGCACTACTTAAAAACTTTGTAAAAATTAACCTCCACCCTTCTTCGAAAGTCAGTAAAAAAAGAAAATAATAAAAACGACTGTATCATTACAAAACATAATATCTACCAACAATTATTTATTCTATTAAATTAATCGAAACCTAGTGAAGTTCTAAAAATATAGTGTATAATATCAAATTATTTAATATTATATAAATCATCATGTTACAGATTGCAAAGACACAATATTTCACAGTAAAGAGAAATAAAAAAATTGTTATGTATTTAAAAAAACATCATTTTTATAAATAAATTACTTACATTCATCATAGCATTACAAGATATCCTGAATAGTGTTGCTCGTTCAGAAACTTGTTTAGTTGTGTCGGTTGGTGGTATTTCTAAGTCCACAAGGGATCTTTGCAGAGCTGCCCCATGTCTGGCCACCAACTCGGAACATGTCCTGAGATCATGGAACCTCGCGGCCAATTCCCTGGCTATGCCTCCAGCATCCTCTCCCTCACCATCAGTTCCTCCGGCAGCTACAGGTCCAGATGTCATCTGATCTTCATCATCATCTGACTCTTGTGCTCTGCTGCATAAAAGTAATTAAACAAAACCATAAATCTATACTAATATCATATTTTAGTTTTGTAATACTTTCTGAGATTTATACCAATCTATACATGTAATAAAAATGTAACCAAGCCCGAATCTGTAAATTAAATATTTTTTGGAAAATCTTATTGAAATATACATGACTATCGATACAGAGGCCGAATGTATAGTTTTTAAGAATTTTTGTCTGTATGCCTGTGACCACATCACGGAAAAACCACAGAAGAGATTTTGATGAAATTTGGTATGATGATAGCTGGTTATCCGGGTTAACTTATAGGATATTTTTACTGCAGGAAAATATATCACCTCTGACTTCTGAGAAATCTATACTAAACATTAATACGTAAGTAGGGCCGAACCCAAATGGAGCGAGGGTGAGTATTCAATATAAATTTCCAAGCCAAAAATCAAAATAAACACATGAAAAACTTTATACAAATATTTTTATTTAATTTGTTTGTTTGTAATCAATATACTTTGAAACTACTGTTTAGCAGATAATTAGAACATCAATATATGATATTGTTATAAAAATAAATTATTTCATCATTACAAGGACATAATAGAGATAAAATTGAAACTTCATAGTATTCAATATGGTTTAGACTTCAGAAGATAATGGAAAATGAAAATAAATCATAAGTTGTGCATAATTGGAACTAGGGGTTGCTAATTATTAATAAAAAAGGGTTTAATCTTTTAAAAAACATACAAATATGTATGCCCAATCGTTTAAGCCCATGTGTTCAAATCATAAATAAATTGATTATATATTATTTATTATTAATATTATATATTATTTGAATATATAATATGCAATATGTATAGACCCCAAAGTTAAGGAGAAAACCCTACATGACCTACTTATATAGGTGTGTGATTTGAGACACCTTAAATAGAAAACAAAATAAGTGATTGTCAATCAACATAATTGACACTTAAAAAATGTACATATTTAAGTGACATGCTTTTTAACACTCAGAATAGTTATTAATTAAAATCCAATTATGTACTTAAATAACTATTTACTTTTATCTAAACTATTGCATTAATTATTAATTAAGACTATAAGATCATATTGTTAGTAAGTCATAATTTAATATGACCATATTTGATAATACAAATTATAAATATTTCACTCTCTTGCTATTAATTTAATTTTATATCTTACAATAGCGTATTAATCAATTATGCCTACAATTAATTTAATAGAAACATCAACAAAAAAATATGTCCACATATTGTATTGTTCTCGAAGATTTCCCAGTTAGCCCAACAACAGATCAATGTGAAATTAGCTAATAGATAATTTATAGGCCGGAATTTTATCTAACCCTTTTGTAATTTTTTAATCATATCTATTAATTATTATTTATATTATGATATATAGAATGACTCACATTGCTTTAGCCTTGGCTAATTCCAAAGCAGTGACCCAGCTTTGCCGTTCTACTTCATCATGTGCACGAATATGAAAAGTTTGCGTTCCACCATTGCTGATTACAAATGTGCATGAATCCGCAGTGTGGATCAATGCACCTAAAAGGGAAATTGTACCACGACATGTGTGCGCCATCTCTGCTTGATTTCTGAAAAAGAAAATATTTTCATTAAAAATAAAAAGTATGTTATTACTACTATACCATAATACTATTCTACTATTCTATACATATAATAAAATTCTAACTACGTCAAATCTGTACATTAAATTTTTTTGGAAAATCTTATTGAAATAGACATTATTATCGATACAGAGGCCAAATCTATAGTTTTTAGAATTTTTGTCTGTCCGTCTGTCTGTTACCGCATCACAGAAAAACCACTGGAGGGATTTTGATGAAATTTGGTATGGTGATAGCTTTTTGGTCTTCTGAATGCGGGCATAGCTGCGGGCAATGCTAGTCTATTATATAATAATTATAAGATGCTAACAAAAATGTAATAAGATAATAAATAATTACAAAGTTATTTTTTTCCAAAAGAATAGTATTATATCATAATGAGAAATAATTTGAAACAAAAATAAAGAACAAAATATGTACTTAAGTATAATTTTTTCTACCAATGTATGCATTCATATCACATACAATAACATTTAGAATCCATACAGTGTGGGGTTAAAATCTCAAAAGACCAAACAATTAAAAAAAACTATTACATAAATATTAAAATAGCCATATAATATAGCTATTTAATTTTTAACTAATGTACATCCTATATAATAAATACTTAAGAAATATATTCATTTGTTGTAAATAGCATCCAATTCCTTTATATTTATAATTTACCTGTAATACGATAATAATCCATTTGACAACACGAACCATCTTCGTTGGTATCCCTTGAGGTAATTTGTCCACTTAAAGAGCCACCCCTTTTTTTCTGGTTCACCAGGAACAGGTTGACCCTTAGGTACAATTACGTCAGACATTTTTTTATATATATTTAGCTTACGAAGATAAGAAAACCATAATATACCGAATACCGACTAGGCCACGTTCATCAACCACCATAATCAAAAATACGTAATTGTGTTGCCATTCTTTTTATTTATTATTATAATACCCAATCAATTGATTAACTTGAAATAATATAAAATAATTATGTAATAATATTTATAGAATTAAACATTTGACAAGAAACTATATGAGTTTTAGAAAGTAAAGCCTTCTAAAACATTAGTATAAATGATAAAATTTTTCTGGTTTGTTATATAATTAACTGAAATAATATTTCATATTATTTTAAAATAAGTTTATCAATTATATTAAAACGAAATGGATACCTATTCTATAACTATAAGTACGCTTATTAGAACTTTAATTATAACTGAAATTATTCTAGGGTGCATTTTCATGACTGCACTCTACGATTGAGAATTGAGATGTGGTAGGTTCTCGACTAAATGTAAGAAATGTGATTATAGAATAAAGTTAAAGACTATAAGCTATCTCTGTGCCAAATTTCATCCAGATCCGTTCAGCCGTTCTGACATGACCTAAATAGATAGATATAGATAGTATAACAAATGTTCGACGTGATTTTTAAATTGGCATAACTGTTTTATTTATGAACCGATTGACATGAAACAAACACTAAATGTTAAGTAAAGCTTACCACAAGATATTAATGAAAACCACATTTAAATCGAATGATCCGTTCCTGAGATTAGCGTGCACAAACGCACAGACAAACAGACAAAATTTCTAACAATCATTGTTTTGGCTGCTATTTGCGTTGATAAAAATCCCAATAATATTTTTTCTCATATATTCTTCCATGTACAGACAGCGATCCGCTACATTTTTATTACATGTATAGATATGGATAGATACGTAGTTTGAACTTTGAAGTATTACTAACGTCTGGAGTTATGTTTACTTCAAAGGATTTATCTATACATATAATAAAATTGTAACTAAGACGAATCTGTACATTAAGTTTTTTTTTTGATAATCTTATTGAAATAAACATTATTATCATTACAGAGGCTGAATCTATAGTTTTTAGAATTTTTGTCTGTCTGTCTGTTACCGTATCACAGAAAAACCACTGGAGGGATTTTGATGAAATTTGGTATTGTGATAGCTGGTTGTCCAGGTCAACATATAGGATACTTTTTACCGCGGGAAATTATCTCATTTCTGAGAAAAAATACAAAAGTATATTAATATGTAAATATTAAGAATTTGTTTTTTTGGTCATCTATGGCGATAGCAATGCTAGTATAAGTATAAATTGTTATAAAACTAAATTTATTGTTGTTAAATTATTATTAGTAGTCTGTTAATAAAACTAAATTACAACTTTAAGTTAAAGAAAAATCTCAAAACTCATCATTCTACTCATCAAGGACTTATTTCAAATTATATCATAGGACTTTTTCTGATCAAAAGTATGTTGTACATATATTACATTTATAGAAGTGTCAATAATACTCAGCCACATGAAATCGACTACTATTGTTTTTATTAGTATGTATTGTAATTAAATTTGCATATGTTAAGTACCAAAGTAAATTCAACGTTTTTGTATCCGTCTAATACGAATATGAATTATGAATGAACGAATATAATTTTATTTTAGAATGTGTCAGTTCTTATGAAAAAAAATCAGGGTTATCTACAGAACTTGGCAATCATTTAGATCTCAATTCTTTTGTCGCTGAAGTTGACAACCACGCTTATTCTTAATATTGAACTTGGCTTCCATTTTCACATTCATGCTTTTAATGGGATCCAATTTAAACAAATGTTTTATTATATTAGTAATTGGCGTAAGCAACTGATAATCAACTTAATTACTTAGTTACACACTGCAATTTATCTAGCATCAAGTTACTGATTTTGATATTAAAAAAGAGTTTCAGCAAAGTTCAAAGGCGAGCTTTAGCGTGTAATAGCACCCTAAATCTGTAGATTAGATTGCGATTAAATATAGGTATACTGGCAACATTAACTGAAGTGTCAACTGTCACTCTACAATGTTTTTATTCAACAGCTGTCGGGTTGTGAATAAGGTCGTAAAGCGGGTTGTTCAAGGTGATCCATTCTCTTTAGTACCTATGTGTTTTATTTCCAAAATAACCAGTTTGAAAATTTTTGAATATAATAGTAGCATGCTTAAAATATTTTACTTAACCTCTATAATGATAACCTTCTAAGCCAAGAAATAAGTTGTCGTTAAAAATATTATAACAATATATTATTTTATTTTCCGTTAAATCTATTTCTTATTTAGGTCATCGATATTTAGCTACAGGAGAAAAAATGGGTAGCTCATACTCTAGATCTTACTCTCCAAACAGTGAACAACCAAAATCGAGTTCTGAAAATCGTAAGTGATTTTTTTTTTAATTGTCGCGAAATTACTTTATAACTTTAAATACTAATCTTGCACAGCTATATTACCTTATATGCTTTTATTTATTCCATTTTTTAAATTGTGAAATTTTATATAAACTATATTTTTTTTTAGCTGGAACAATATCCCGTACAGATTCAACTACCCAATATGTAGAATCTATTGTATGTAAAGTTAACGATTTAAAAGAAAATGAGATGAAAGTATTTGAAATAGGAGAGGAAGGCAAAGTTTTAGTAGTAAAACAGAAGGGAGAATTCAGTGCTGTTGGAACTAAGTGTACTCATTATGGAGCTCCTTTAGTATCAGGAGCATTAGGTGATGGCAGAGTGAGGTGTCCTTGGCATGGAGCATGCTTTAACTTGAAGACAGGTGATATAGAAGATTTCCCTGGATTTGATTCGTTGCCATGTTATCAAGTAACTGTAACTAAAAAGGGAGAGGTCAAGGTAAGACAAATGATACTTTTTGATTAGGTAACTATTATAGAAGTACCTTTTAGTAAAATTATTATATTTAACTTGCAAAAATATTTAAAAATATATAAACTATTTAATTTACAGAAAAAAATATATATAACTATTTAACACTCTACACTATTTACCATAGTTTACGATTTTTGTATACTGTCACAGTTTATTTAATACTATACAATATATTCAATATATAGTTTAACTGGTTCTTTTTTGTTATTAAAAATACTCAACTTATACATACTTTCTTTATTTTAAGCAATATGAATCATATAGATCATCTCATCGTCTCCATGTCCATTTACTTATATGGTGTCATAGATCATCTATGACAATGTATATCGTCCCCTTTCTGTGTAAACCTCGTAACTCCATTTTTTTCGAAATTGAGATTTTTAGCGAAAATCACTCCTTAGCACTCTTGTAACGTAAAACAAAACATGCAATGTTCATAATGTTGATAGAATTTTTTTTAGAGGCTTTTGATTTTTCTCGTATCTACATGTTCGAATTCAAAAACCTCGTATCTACCGTAAGTATCGCTGAAAATGTTAAGATGGCGTTGTTGTCTTATTACTGATTGTTTGTAAACATGTTCACACTTAAGTTGACTGTATTTTGTTGATTGACATTTATTTTTTATTCATATGAATACATATAAAATTATTAAAATTTGGTAAAATTTGAGACAACTATTTATCAGAAATATTTAACTGTTGGTCATACACATATGGAGTGCGACTCTGTTCATTCATCTATTGAAAGAAAAAAGAAAAACAAGGAACTCTACGTGCCAGCAGATTTTGTTCGCATCATCAAAGAAGCTAGAATGAATCCAGAGCCATATAAAGTTATTTATGTTGATCACACATTTTTTAAGGATTTTTCTAAAATAAATTTTTACAAATCGATAAGACCCGGTTCAAAAACAGGAGATCCACAAGTTACCGATTTAAAATGTCTTAAATACGATTCAACTGGGATGTATTATAAACTCGATTACCAGAACGATTGGACCTTATTACCTCAAAAAAATCTAGAATAAATGTATATCGAAAAAATATTATCACTCCGTTATATAAAAAACCGATTTCTATTACATCAAGAAAATTCAAAGATTTGCAAAGTTTGAAAAGATTGCTACCCCAAGATTATTATAATTTCTATGATCAATTAAAAGTTGAATCTACTGTAGAAGAATAAGTTTAAAAAATTGTAAAATTGATTCTTACTTCTTAGTTCTAGTTATTGTTCAAGTTATTTCTTATTATTTATTTTTCAGATTATCCTGCTGTTAATTTGTACATTATTCAATAAATTGTAAACATATTTGAAAAAAATAATTAAATCATATTATAAATAGTAATCATATGATTTATAACACATTAAATCAAAATCAAATGAATTTGTTTTAATTAATAAATATAAAATAATAATGAATTGAATGTGAAAGCCTTGCATAACAAAATTTTTCGCCAAAAAAAAATTATTTTCAAAACTTCGTATCTGCAAAAAAGTTACCAGGGTATTTGATGAAAAAACTCGTATCTACGTTAAATTGATAATAACAACAAGGTATCGATGCAGATAGCAAAAATGATGTTTAATTATTTTAAGGTGACAAATAAAGAGTATAAATTTTAAATTAGTTATAACTTTTTATGAAAATTAAGTAACTCTAAACGTTTTTATCGATTTACTGAAAATTAAGATTTTGTAGATACGAGGTTTACACAGAAACGGGACGATATGTAAATATTATGATTAAATTATGTAAATCTCCCTTTTATTCGTTTAGGCAATTTTTATTTGTGCAGCTAACATATTTTGTTTTAATTTCAACTCTCAATCAAGCTTAATATTGGTGTAAGAAATAGTGTGCTTTACATATTATTTTGTTTTCCCCGTTAGTATGGAATAGATAGACTATATATTAGTATGTATGATGAGTTTTATAACTTGAGAAATGATTGATTCCCCATATACACTTTCATCCCCCCTTTTCATCCCCTTAAGGGATGATTTCCGGGATGAAAACTATCCTATGTCCTTATCAAACTATCTTCTTGCCTTTCATCTGAATCGGTTTAGCGTATTTTCAGTTTATCTGTTACAAATCAACATACTAACTTAAAAAAAGTGCTGGTTGGTACACGCAGCGCTCATTCTTGATGTTTTATTTTTATAGTATTAAGGTATTTTTATAATAATATAAAATAGTACCATGATATTATATAACAAGCAAAGAAGGTGAAAAATTCGTAACTTTTAAAAATAATCACTTGTCACATTCATGTGTTTTATGGCCAAAACATTACTACGTAATTCGTATGTGACTAATATATACAGACGGTGAGTAATGCGTTTAGCTCATAGCTTTTCTACACCATAATAACCTTGCCTTATATTTTTTATCAATTCCATGATATATACTTGTTTTCCTTGAACAATTTCGTAGGTAATTGCAAATGTAATAACGTTAAATTGCATTAATCTAAGATAATAACAAACGCGATAAGACAAATTTTCATTATCAAAAACTCAATCAAAGATGACATAATATATTATCCCAAGCTTCTAGTGCATCTTTTGTAAACTTTAGAAAACGCACGCTGTGAGTCTTGCTCAGAATTTATGTTTGTGTTTCAATGAGATGTGAGAAAGTGTATTAACATAACGAGGTCAGTTTGACCTTGCCACAAATATAATAGGTCTGAAAAATGGTTTCTAATAAAGAAAAGAAAAATAGTGGGTTATATTAATAATTTTAAAATATTTAATAATATTTAAATCCTTCCTAAGCATCGACTTCGAAAATATCTGATTAGGTACCTATCTCTATTCTAAATGAAAACCCCCGTTTAGTTTATTTTTTAGTGCCTGGAAGTACTTTTTTTTAAAGTTTTTATTAAAAACGGCAAAACGGTTTGACAAGATTTTTAAATATCTTTTGCATGCCGATATAATTTACATCATATGGTATTCTTTATCTTGGTCCACCATCTAAATATTATATTTAGGTAGATACCTATTATTTAATGAAGATATCTCTTACAATAAAAAAAAACATTAAAATCTATTTAAGTGCTTCCATGCAGGACCTAATACCTATACGTGCAAGCAAACAAACTATTACTTAATACTTGGGCACCAACAGTCTACGGAGACATCAAAATTATTCGATGTACAAACTTGACCGCGTTACGATAATATTGTGTTAAAATACCTAATCGGTATAATTCGCTTCGTGAAATTCCATAAGTATAATGTTTGAATACAGCCTTGAGGAAAAACCTGATAAGAATTAAAAATGTAAAAGAGGTTTCAATTCAATAATTAATTTATTATATTAAAAGACATTTTTTTCTTGTTTAAATTTATATATTTCTTACGGTATTAAATTATGCCACGGGTAGTAAATGTAATGCAGCTTGCTCAGGACGAAACGGAACGTTTACTTGAACTAGTTTTTGTCTACAGCTTTGCTCGTAGTGGGTCGAAAGGATTATTAGTAGCAACATTATTTCATCCAGAGTCTGAGGTCTCTTCCAAATTTCACTAAAATCTCTAAAGTCTAAACCTATATTATTTTCGCCTAAATTATAGAATTTACAATGTTGCCATGGCTAAAATTATAATTACCTCCTTACTTTTTTAATACTGTACTAATGAAGTCGCATAGGGTTTACATAGTATTTAAGTAGTATATCCGACCCTCTTTTCCCTCGAATAATATATAATTAATTATCGTTATATTAGTCTTAATAACAAGCAAGAAAAACTCGATTACGCAGTTGGGTTTTTCATTTTTGTAATTTATCTTTTATATTTCAGTAGGTACATGATAAAATTTAAAATCAATACCAAACTTATCAATTTTCGTAACATGACTTACGAGTTGTGACATCCTAAAGATTTAAAAAATGGGTAATAAAGGAAATATCGATAATAATAAAATCATTTTAAATAACCTAGTGACTTACCGTCGTTTCGTTCGGGTGCGTCTTTAGGTACGTTTTAATTTTTTTGAGCGGAATCTTTAATTATTTTTCTATAATAAAAGTAGCCTAAGTTACAAGTACCGTATAATTTCATATGCATTTAGCAGACAGACAGACAAAAAAATTTAAAATTGTGTTTTTCTTATAAGTACCGTTTATTATATATTGTACTAGCGACTCACCCTCGCTTCGCTCGGGTTCGTCCCTACTCCCTACGTACGCTTTAACGGTTAGTATTGAGTAGTAATATACACTGTATTGTATTGCTAAGAATTAATACCGTATTTATGTAAATAGCTTTTACATTACCGCATTATAATTGCCAATTTTATAAAGTATCAAAATGGATATAGTATGTTATCCATAAGGGATAGACATAATTATGTCATCGCGGACTTTGTTGTAGACCTTTATAAGCTACACAATTCCACCGTATTAATAATGTATTATTATAATAAAATAATGTATTATTTTGTTATAACTCAAAGGGTTTAGGCAGCGTTTTCGTTGTAAGCTCCCAGACGGCTTATTTTTTTCCGACACCTTTAACAAATATCGTTATATTTTAGCCATATTTATACAAAAACTTAACAAATTATATACTAAAACCTTCCTCGAGAACCACTCTATCCTTTGGTGAAAACAGCATGAAAATCGGTGCAGTAGTTTTTGAGTTTATCGCGAACATAAAGACTGACAGACGCGGCGGAAGACTTTGTTTTATAATATGTGGTGATGCATTTAGTAAAACAAGCTGTTACTTTGACATTACAAACAGACATTTCAATTCTATTTATCTGTGTAGATAATTAATCAAACAAGTGCATTTGTTGTGCTATTCAGCCTGATTTTATCGGAATGCTTGGATTTTAGATATTAAATTCGTGACGCGCTTATAATGCCGCCTATTTATATGAGGACTTTCCGAGGCCATTCTCGTTAAATAGGTCACAATGGTAAATGGGAAAATCTAATACGAATAGGGTTTATATTTTATAACCGTAAGTTCTAGATTTGGGGTAGCTTTATATGTACTTTCTCATCGTATCACTCACATTACCTACCAGAAAGTGTATTTTTTTTATAAATTAAACTAAATAAAGGTATAATTAGTACTTACTTATTTTAGAATGCCTACCTTACCTACCTACATTGGTATATTGGTTATGTACCTTAATAGGAAAACAGCATTACTTACAATTCTCATTTATATATTAGAATAGACGATCCCTATTATTTTAACGGTAATACTATCAATTGTAAGGATTTTCAAAATAATTGTAATTTTCATGGGGCGATTTTGGAGTTAAAGCATTGAATTGACATATCTCAGAAAGTACAGTTATACCCGTCAATCCTAAGGCTGTTTCCCAACTTTCATATTAAAATATGTGTGACAGTCGGGTGCACCTCATCCGCGTCTAATCCCGCACGGTTACTCTGTTTGTTTGTGTGTTAGACCCATTCGTTAGATTATGGATTAGTAGACTGTGCTTATACTGTACTTATATATTTTTGGAATATTTGAGATTTTTTGAGTGCGTAGTACCTAGACTTGAAGTTATTAAAAAGTACGTTTTAAAACGTTTATGAAAAAATACAGTGTAAAAAGCAAATACTTTTTTATTTTTACAAAGACAGAAAGTTCAGTGATAACGAGTATATAAATATAATTATTAATATATCAACTAATATTATACATACATACAATAGTTCATGTCTGTTACTTTTTACGCTGCAACGACCATAAGGATTTGAATGAAATAGATAAAATTTGAGTAAAATTGGAAATGGAGATAGCTTATCTATGTCCTGTATTACCACAGGCTATTTTGAATCGAAACTTCTTTAGAATTGTTGTGATTTGAAACTCGATGAAACGAAAATGCGTCACGACAAAGAGACAAACACATAAAATATATAGGATTAAGGCGACGAGAAAGTGAGATATAAATACATTACACAGGAAGTGAAAAATAATAAAAATAATACTGAATAATAAATAATATTATTTATTTATTTATGTAAAAAAAATATTAAAATACTTTTAAACTTTGTAAATATTATAAAAAAAATAACCTTACAATTATCTTAATCCTGATATAGAGATCCCGAATATAGAGTATCCATATTCATCTCATTCTCTCGTAAATTACTTTTCTGACGTTTTACTTCTACCGAGTATTAATTGCATATACACACACACACTTTATATTACTCTATACGGGTTATATCATCATAGAAAATTCTGTTAACTTTTGTTTTTATCGACGTACCTACGAGTAGTGGATGGATATTTACTACGCTAGCGGAGTCGCGGGCAAACATACATAATATGTACGTTGCTGGGGAATCTTTTATTTCAAAGACTAAGTAGGTACTCTTCGTAAGACCCTCCAGATGAAAGAAAAAAATCTGCGTGGCAAGTGCCATGTGAAGTGAATATATCTACGTAAGATAACAATATATACCTAAATAATGTTCTCCTGACCGATTCCGGCCACAGCGGCCAATCTCATTGAGACTAGTCAACTGCGCAGGAGATATTATAGTGCACAAGTGTGCGCATAGACACAGGTGCACTCTCTATTGCTATCACTCTCACACTCCGGTGGGACGACTGTTCGACACAACCGGTGAGAGTTAAGGCGCAGGACCGACGACTTTACTAGCTCTCCGAAGCACGGGGATGAAACACCGCCAAATTCCCGACTCCGGGTTTATACTAAGGCTTACTATACAGAAAGACTCAATTACTAAACTTGGCCCGACCTGGGTCTTGAACCCAGGACCTCCGGGTGTGCAGACGTACATGCTAGCCGCTACACCACCGAGGCAGTTTTGATCGATATTAAAATATATAATTATTTTAATATCGATCGAATATCTACATATTATATACATTTTTTACATAATTTATTTTAAACTCTAACTTCTATTCCATCGTTTCTTAGAAACCAGTTTTATTTACAGTACAAAACTATAGGTACTCCGTACTTGTGCATTACCATTTTGCCACTAAATTAAATAATTTTCCAACTTGACCTGTTATGGTATTAGTATTATTTTTAATGTGTAATTTGTAATATGTGTTGTAATAGAATTTTCAAAGAAGAAACTTATATTAATTAATATATTATACCTATACATATCTATTTAACATGTATGTACTCTCTTATTGATTACCACTTGTCTTAACGGTGAAGGAAAACATCGTGAGGAAACCTGCATGTCTGAGAGAACCTTGCAAGTTTTCAAAAGACATGTGAAGTCCGCCAACCCGCACTTGGCCAGCGTGGTGGACTACGGCCTGATCCCCCTCGTCCTGAAGGGAGGCCCGTGCCCAGCAGTGGGACGTTAAAAAGGGCTGAATACACACTCTTATTATTACGCTACAGTACCTACAGTATTATTCATTTAAGTTTTACAGTTTGAAAGTATGCATATAATATGTATGTATTTTTCTTATCAGGTACGAGCGAAGATTAGCGACTTGAAGTCTAACAAAAGAACAAAAGATATGGGAATGGTTTCTTCTTGTGGGGATTCAGCAGTAGTAGTAGTAGGCGGCGGGCCGTCAGGCGCGACTTGTGCTGAAACTTTGCGAAGCGAAGGATTCAAAGGACGTATCACCCTCATAGCAAAAGAAACTTATCTTCCATACGACAGAATCAAGGTTTCCAAAATTGGTACGGTAACAGATATTGAGAAACTTCAAGTCAGATCCTTGCAATATTATAAAGAAGCAAACATCGATATTCTCAAAGGTATAGAAGTAACAAAGGTGAATACCGAAAATAAATCGATAGAATTAAGCAATGGATCAAAAATGTCATTCAATGCTCTTTATCTTGCTACTGGCTCTAAACCGCGTATTCCCGACATTCCCGGTATAGATCTAAAGAATATTTTTACAGTCAGAAACTTTGATGATTCAGTTAATATTCTGTCGACGTTGGGTTCAGAGAAAGACAAAAATGTTGTTGTTTTGGGCTTAAGTTTTATTGGACTGGAATCAGCTTCGTCGTGCGTCTCTAAAGCTAAATCAATGACTGTAGTCGGAAAAGACACCGCCCCGCTCGGGCAAATATTCGGAAAGGAAATAGGGCAAAGTCTGCAAAAACTCTTTGAAGATAATGGTGTTGCATTCCATTTTGAAACCACGATAACGAAGTGTAATGGTGATAATGGGGTAATAAAATCAGTTGAATTAACAAATGGTATCACACTTCCTGCTGATATGTTAATTTTGGGTGTGGGAACTACATTCTACACAGAATTCCTTAAAGATAGCGGTATCTCTCTGACACCGAATGGCGCTGTGAATGTCAATGATAAATTGGAAACGAATGTTAAAAATATATACGCGGGTGGTGATATAGCATTTGCCCCAGTCTTCGCTCTTGACAATGCACAAATGAATATTGGACATGTAGGTTTAGCTCAATATCATGGTCAAGTCGCAGCAAAAAATATCCTAAATAAAGATACACCCCTGAGAACTGTTCCATATTTCTGGATGATGGTGTTCGGCAAATCCATCCGTTACGCTGGTTGCGGTAAGCCCGCCAGCTTCCAAATTGAAGGCGACGTATCAGCGTTGAAATTTGTCATATTTTTCTTTAATGAAGCAGATAAGGTTATTTCGGTTGCATCTTGTATGAGAGATCCAGTCGTGTCGCAGTTTGCAGAACTACTTTATCAGGGTAAAGCACTATATAGAAAAGACCTTAAGGATGATCCATTTGCTTGGACAAAAACTGTCAATTAAAAATTAAGATAAAAGAGATTCAAAACCAGTATTAACCAGTAATTTATATTTTATAATATTGATGTGGTAGTTAAAGCATATGCTTTTCTCGTACTTATTATAATTTTATATATACTTATGATAAGTTACATATTGTATGTTAAGCAGTTAAATGCAATATTATTAAAAAAAAAGAAATTGCAAATAATTTGTGTATAAAAGACAAAAAGTCCCAAATCTAGAATCTCTAATAGAAAATATTAAATCTGTCTATTCATTTTGCTTGTTGTTTAAATATTTATTATTGAAAATATACATCACAAAAGTTATGTTATGAAAGACGTTTACTTAGGTACAAACATTCCTAACATGTGATTAAATTATTTTTTAAGTATACATACATTTAGTGAGTGTAAAGAATTACCAAACATTTACCGGCATTTGTAAAATATTATGTGCATATCATGAACATAAATGTAAATGTCATGTTTTTGTATCTAATATAATATCTGTGTATATTAAAATGTTTACTGTTTACGAAATAAAGCTTTATTATTATGCATAAATTTTTTTTATTATAGACCTGAATAATAAATATTAAATACAAATTGGTCATAATATGAATACCTATACATCAGGCAGATGACATTTTAGAATATTATAAATAATATGAGTTTGGTATTAACAATATTTAAAAAAAATATTTTATTCAGATTTTACTCTGTAATAAAAGTGATTGAATGTTGTCATGAATTGAATACCTACACCATGATACAATGAAGATAGTATATCACAGATGGCTCGTCCCGTACAAAGAAATTGGATAGCGCTAATTCATACTAATCTTTGGGCTGTTTTTGTTTGCTTGAATGTGTAAACTATATCATGTTTACAGAAATTTCAGTGATTTGGATAGTTTTTAACTGTGATAAACAATTCATAAAGAGTAAAAGTGCATTCTGTGAATATGCACTACAAAGCTATTACATATTTCATTGCTGATTTTTCAATAATCTGTAAAATAATGCAAATTTAATGCTTGCAAAGCACATTGTTTCATTTTTCTTTACTTATAATATTTTTTAACCATAGCATACCTTTTTGTATTCATTATCTTTTGTAAATTTTACATAAACTTTTTATAATATACCTTATTGTATTTATTATGTTTTGTAAATTTTACATAAACTTTAACAACAAATAGATACCTATACCTACCAGCATCTTAATTTATCTTTGTTTGTGGCAATAATATGATAATATGTATTAGATTAAAAAAATTAAATAAATAAAAAACATACACTACTTATATCTTTATTAAAATAACAATTTAAAAATAATACTATTATAATCAACTAATTATCCCAGCTTTCTTTAACGCGAAGATGCTGTAGCCTTTCAAATAATGTAACATCTTCTTTGAAATATCTTGCTGAAATACTCTGAAACTTTTTCTGCCTTATTTCTTGTTTACCTAAAGCTTTTGAGTGTCCATGGCTTTCAGCCTGTGAAATAGAGGTTCGCAATAAGTATAAAGTACCTAATTAGGGTAATATGTCTAGAATGTTAATAAACCCTTTTCTAATTTAACTCTCGGAATTATTTAAGTTCATGAAAAAATATTTAAATAAGTTATATTTAGTTACCTCAGTAAGGTACGGATGTCGTAAGTAGAACATGTTTTGCTCTTCTACAGCGAAATTTTGTTGCAAGTTTCGAATATGTTTAGGTTCCACCTTTTTTACTAAACGATCTTTCCCTCGGAAAATATGTCCATTTGGGAGCCTATTACGGCGAAATAAAATCTGCGTTAATTTCATTTTAACAATTTAATTTTTACACCTTTGCACGATAAACTACAAGATTTAGGTTGTTTTTATGTGTCAACAGTCAAACTTCAAAGTCAAATGGGAAATGTCAATTGTCAATACATTGAAAAGATTGTTACAAAATATAAATACGTCACTCGTCAGAAAATAAACTCGCTTTGTAAAAAAATCTTGAGATGATTCAAAAATATTATAATATAAATAAATATAAAATGAGAAATAATTAAAATAATTGGTTAATTAATATTACTGTTTAAATAATATTAAAATCACATACATTATAATGCGATACGGGGACAGGATCGTTGCTGATAAAGTCTTAAATTGTCTATGTCTAAACTATGGCTGTCGATCGACAAGCGTAAAGTACCTAGTTTTAGTTTAAAGTGATTTTTTTCGATTATAATAATACTCTAATGTAAACTAAATATATATTGTTGGACAATCATTAAGCATGGCACTGAGAGGCTAAAGAGTGCTTAGATTTGGGGGCGGCCGCCGTCCTTGGTTCGTATATTATTGTTGTGTATTTTTCTTCCGCAAATGCTTTGCTTTCTATAAATTTCACTAATGATGGTCTTGAAAATTCTATTAATAATAAATAGTTTATTTTATAATTCATTATTTTGTTGACGCGTATTTTACTTCTACCTTTAACTGTTAAATCAGGGTTCCCTTTCACTTCAATTCGTTCACTGTATTCGTGCTCTACTTATTTTAAATGTTTCACTTCCTTTTTTCTTTACTCTTGAACATTTTATAACAAATAGAACTGATTCTAGTAAAATAATAACAGTAAGTACTTTTTGAATGGTAGGGTTATTATTGTTTTTGTGCTTGACTTTATAAGTGACCTACTTTGAAAGAGCTTAAGTATTTTGATAAGACCTGATTACTGTTGCGAAATTCTAATATACTCATAATATAAGTAAAACTTATTCTTTTAAAATATTTTAATGTTTAAGAGCTTCATGTTTTTTTATTAAGAGTTATTATGAAATTTAAATTGCTATGTTTTGATTAATTACTTAATTTTAGATCCACATTTACATTTGAAATATTCTATATGTTTTTCTTATAATGATTTTTCATAGTTTTTTGGTGTTCATAAATATTTTTTGTTGTAATTAGTTACTACAGGTACCTATATCATTTTTGTATGTCTTGTACCTATATAGTTAATTTTTTGAATATCTCATTTTCACTTAATACCACTTTTTATATGTTATTGATAATGTTTAATTATTTTATTTTAGTGACCTCCATAATCTTCCCTCTCTAAAGTACAGCTGGCTGACAATAGTAATTGGTAACGAAGATGGCACAGGTTGGGGCTAACATGGAGTATCAGGAGTACAAATGGGCTTACTCAATCATGGATTCTTCTAAGTAAGTTTATTTAAGTTAGTTGTTATTACTATTTATTATCCTCTTAGTTAGTTTCTAAGTTACTGAAATTAAAAACAAATATTACTTTGATTCTTTTTTGAGATAATTTTGGTTTGGGATTTTTAAATACTGATTGACTATTAAATCATTCTTATCTGATCATAAATCTATGTTTGACTTAGGCCTCCCATGCTATGCCATTGTTATAGTGTTTATTTCATATTATCTATTCCAAATATATTTTTAACTGACTTCCAAAAAGGAGGTGGTTCTCAATTTGTCGGAATCTTTTTATTTTATATACTGACTAGTGAATCAAACTTGCTTTGCTCAGACAGACCCAACATGGTGCCCACTTGTTTTAAATATACGAAATACCTTCTAAGATATTAAGAGAATATCTTGGAAAGGCATAAAAAAATTCTCAAAAATATAATTTACCTAGGATATAATATCTGCTGCCATATAGCAGAAAAAGTCAATAACTAAACTTGGCTAGACCTAGATCTTGAACCCAGGACCTCTATATCTGCAACTGTAAATGCTAGGCCATTAGACCACTGAGCGGTTTAAATTATATGTATACATTAGGGACTCACCCTCGCTTCGCTCGGGTTCGTCCCTAGCTTGCTTCCCAATACAAACTATCATCCCCATTTTAATTTAATTAAAAAGTATCCTCTGTCCTTTGCAGGGTCTCAAACTATCTTCTTACCAAATTTCATCTAAATCAGTTTTGTAGATTCAGAGATTACCCCCTACAACTTCACAAATTCGCAAAATTTACCCCTTTATAATATTAGTATAGATTAGTATGTTTGTAGCTTAAAATAAAATTTCCTATTTATTTCTGTTATAATGATTCATTTGTTTAGTTGCAAGCAAATTAAACAATTCAAATGTGAACAATCATAAGTGTAAATGTAAAATCGTTTTAGCTAGCTTTCTGGCTTAATAGTCTGTGGTCCTAAAATTCAATTCTCACAAAGTTTTAATGTATAAAGGTATACATTAAAAAACAGCTTGGTCATTTGATCTTAATCTACCCCTCGTCACAACATCTATAAATATAATAAAATTGTAACTAAGCCGAATCTGTACATTAAATATTTTTTGGAAAATCTTATTGAAATAAACACTATTATCGATGCAGGGGCTGAATCTATAGTTTTTAGATTTTTTGTCTGTCTGTCTGTCTGTTACCGCATCACAGAAAAACCACTGGAGGGATTTTCATGAAATTTGGTATGGTGAAAGCTGTTTGGCCGGGTTACAGGATACTTTTTATCGCGGGAAAATATCTCATTTCTGAAAAAATACATAAACTGCAATGTAAGAGTATACTATTATGTAAAACCTAAGAATATGGGTTTTGGTCATCTGAACGCGGGCGGAGCCGCGGGCAATTCTAGAATAATATAGTAATGTTGCCTACTTTTGTTATTATCCTTGATATATAAGGAAGGGGTAAGTAGGCATTTTAACTTTTTTGAATAAATGATCATTTTTGTTTAAATAACAATAATACTATTTTTTCGTGGAAAGATTATTGGTTTTTATTTAAAATTAGCAAGTTACCTTCGGTCCAACGCTTTCGAAGATTAGCCGGAACAAACAGACAGACAAAAAATTAAAAAAATGTGTTTTTCTTATATGTATCATATTATACTGTGATATGCATTTAGTAAGCAGTTGTTATTTTGACATTACAAACAGCCACTTCAATTTTATAGATATCAAATATTCATTTTAAATCTAAGAAAAGATACAACATATTTTATATCATTCTTTGTTGATGGCATTTAGGCGTTTGATTTCAGCACAATTTACCCGTCAATGGCACAGATTAGTTCACTCTTCTTTCTATAATGGCAAAATTTAGTCATCGACAAATTAACTTTTTTATATATAAAATCTAATTTTACTGTAAATGAGGGTCCATTGTATGTATAATTGACTCCAGGGTCATTTGGTTACGCATTGTTTGGCTCCTGTTTATTCGTATCATACCGTTTTAACTTGTAACGCAATCAATTGTTATCGCATATTTGCATAAATCTGTTGCGTGAATGAAATGTCGTTGAACCGATATCCTATTTGTTTTCTTTTGTCGTTGCGTTAAAATAGGAAAAAAAATATTGCTTCACGTATAACTGTTATATTAACAGTACATTATGGTATCACACAATAAACAAAATATTTACAATGCTAATGTACCATGCGGCGTCGTGCTGTGATACTTTTATTAAAACCTTGTTATTTTATCGCTGAATAAATATATCTACGCAAACCATCTGTCCATGCAAGTTAGATATAACTTTATCCGATAGAATTCACCGATTAAAACTCATCGGTAGCTACCTTTATCGAGAGCCGTGAGATCGTATTCGATCACGACGTTCTGATAGTTAGTCCGTCTTAGCAAGCTTCCTCCTTAGTGCTTTAACTAATTATTTATTAAAAAGTCTTTAATACTTTCTTAGATTTACGCGAATATTTGACATTTTAAATAAATCCGAAATATAATCATATAATCCGAAAAGATAGTTTTATTTAAAATGTCAATAATCCGAAAAGATTCGGGGTTGATTCTACTTTTTAAAAATTCAAATGTTAGAAACATATAGACTAATTAATTGAGATGTAATGCATATAAGTTTAATTTTTATATGTAGGTATTATAATTGAATATAGATTTGACTAGCGAATCGCCCTCGCTTTGCTTCGGCTTTGTCCCTAGACAAAAACCTATGTGTTATTCTGATGTATGAACTATGTTATTTTAATAGTTTTTGCGTGAAAGAGTAACAAACATCCATACATCTATACATCCAGACATCCGTACACCCTGACAAACTTTCGCATATATAATACTAGTAGGATAAGGAATTATAGCGACTCCGAATACTTAAATAGTATTAGATGTAGATGAATTTGGCAGAAAATATTAGTGGTTAAACGCAAATGTTGACAGTCCTTATACGAGTATACCTACATACAGCTACTAAATTTAAAGTAGTTTTTGATACGCAATTACTAACAATACCTAATATAATACTCGTGAGAATGTTCCCAACGAATAAAATAGGCCTTGTTAATGCCTGTTTTCCATTTTCCGAATGTAAATATATGAGGTGTTTGAATATATACTCACGAGAATTAACTGGTATACAACATACATATTATACTAGCGACATACCCTTGCTTTGCTCGTGTGCTTCCCTAATAAGTTATTCTTAAGTGGGTAATCTTATGTGTTTACCTTATCGTGGTGGAGGCTAGTTAGCATCCGACAATCCAGCCGGGCGCGAAGCCAAAAAACGCACAGGGAGGTGGCCCACTTCGGTGGACTGTGTACCGTGCGGGTTACTCCGGGTACTTTTATGATAGCAGAGTGGATTATGGGAGCAACCCCGTGGTTGTTATTGTCTGTATTTCACTCGGCAGCTCTCGCTCTTATCCCTGTACAGAATGTTCAATTGCAATCCCCTGTTTGTGATGTATATTATAACGTGTTTTCCCGAGGGAATGAAATATTTTTCCGCAATATAGCTCATGTCACTATCAGTCCTCCAATACTGTCCACGCAAAAAAACAACAATCTGTTGCTCTGTTGAGAATAGACTTTTACATCATCAGTATAGTAATATTATAAAAAGTTTATTTGTTTATTTGAAAGCGCTAATCTCAGGAACTACTAATCCGATTTGAAAAATTATTTTTGCATTAAATAGCCCGTTAATTGAGGATGGCTATAGGCTATATCATATAATATAGTCTATCTTTATTTACAATAAAGAAAATTACAAATATACTTAATATACATATACAAAACAAATGTACACTTAAGTTATTACTGTACAAGTCATGTCCGCGTGGAATAGTGGCAATATTGCTAGCCACATTCCCCCCTTGAATGGCAATGCCGATTCTTTGGGTGAAGAATGCGCCCTCTTGTCATCAGTAGAGACGATAATATCCATCCCACGGGAACCGTAAGTACATTTTTCGGGATAAAAAGTATCCTATGTGCTATTCCAGATTGTAATCTATCTCTCTGCCAAATTTCACACAAATCCGTTCAGCCGTTCTGGCGCGATTGAGTAAGTTATGTAATAATGTTCGGATGTTTGTTACTATTTCACGCCAGAATGGCTGAACGGATCTGGATGAAATTTAGCAAAGAGATAGATTGTAGTCTGGAATAACGCTTACTACATATGGCTACCTTTTTATTCCAGAAAAATATACGGTTCTCGTGGGATAGGTTTGTGATTGTTTTCTTAGAGGCGAACCCGAGCGAAACGAGAGCGAGCCTCTAGTTTTACTTATATAAAAAAGCTAGGAACGGATATAAACACCACTTTCTACATATTTTAAGGTTAGGTAGTCATTTATTCTAAAACAAAAAATCATTTTCCTTAATACTAATGTCTGCTTTGGATACTTGGTTACTTTATACATTTTAAACTTTCAATATTTACCAATTTCAAAGAAGAAAGAAAGGCTTAATTTAATTTGGCTGTATGTTTTTGTGTGTATGGGATGCATATAATTGTAAACTGGTTTAAAATGATTTAATAACTAAACATCTCTAAAATAATTTTTTTGACGAGTTTTCACTCTTAAGCTTATAGTAATTATTTTAAAGATGATGATGATGCTAATTATTATTATATGTTTTGTCATTTTCAGAGTATCTGCCTGCTTAATATCAATGCTATTGATAGTGTACGGGAGTTTTCGTTCGTTAAATATGGAGCGCGAAGCCCGAGAAAGGGCTGAGAAGGAAAGAGAGGCCTCGCTACTTGGCGGAAAGCCCGTACCCGGCACGTCTTCTTCGAACAGTAGTGAGTTATATTTGTTGTACTAGGTAGGTATTATAGTGTTTCTATAGAGCTGATGAACTCTATATAGAGGAAGTTTTTTTTTCTGGCTGAAATTGTTGGTGGGTGTGCCACAAAAAACCAGCCAGCATCTTAGTTTTTTAAAAGCAATAAATAGAGAGTATTTTATACTCCAATAGTTAATAGACTTAGCCGATTTCAATAATTTTTTTATGTATGGTTTTCCTTACTAGAGATTTGACGCTTTATATAAAGTACTGTGTATTATTTCATATGCATTTAGTAAAAATTTGTTATTTTGACATTACAAACAGACCCTTAATTTTATTTATCTGTATAGATGTAAAGTACGTCAAATTCTTAAAATTCAAATTGTTAAGTTATTGAAATTCGCCCAAGCAGAATTGAATATTTAACAAGATAATGATTATGGCCATAATAGAAAAACATACATAAAATATATATATTTATATATGTTTCGTCTAGTATTTGATACATAATATGTCAAATATGTACTATGTTCTTGTGTACATGTTATGCTCTTTTTTTTAAGTAACTCAATTAAATTGATATACTTCTAACTCAATATTCAAATCAAATTATACATTTACAAATTATATTTTATTCAAATAGACTTTTACAAGCACTTTTAAATGTCAGTTTTACATTTTAAATTTAAATTAAATGTCAGTGTAGTCAATGTACCACCGGCTTGAAAGGTAATTCTGCTGAGAAGAGCCGGCGAGAAACTCAACTCTCGCTCTTTTTAAGTATAATTATAATTTATAATTTACAGTATAACAATATATAATAATGTTTTTATACCGCGTGAGTATTAACTATTAGTAATCCGACACATTTGCATCAGCAAGGTATTTCGCGACGCATAAATATGCTTTACTCAATAATATATTTTTAATTTTTGACTTAAATGTCAAACATCAGTAGACATCAGTATTAAGGAAAATTATTTTTTTAAATTAATAACTACCTCACTTTAAAAGATGTAGAAACTGGTGTTTACATCCGTCCCTAGCTTTTTCATATAAGAAAAACTAGAGGCTCGCTCCCGCTTCGCTCGGGTTCGGGTTGGCTCTAGGAAAAAAAAACAAACCTATCCCACGGGAACCGACATGATGCTAAATTATATGATAATATTTCCAAATTCCAGATGTACAAACTCTGAGCACGATGCAGGCGCTGTGCTTCCCGCTGGGCTCGTCCGTGGCGTTGCTTATAATGTTCTTCTTCTTCGACTCCATGCAGACCCTCGTCGCCATTTGCACAGCCAGTGAGTACGAGTTTGTGCTAGTTTTTGGTTTCTAGTATTATAGTTCTAACTAGCGACTTACCCTCGCTTCGCTAGGGTGCCTTATGGGCCAAATTGGTACATTTCATAGGTTTTAATTTTTTTGGTACGGAATCCTAATTCTTTTTCTAAAATAAAAGTAGCCTAAGTTACTCCTTATAACATCAGCTATCTGCCAGTTAATATCCCGTCAAAATCGGTTAAAACAGACAAAAATTGTTAAAAATGGTTTTTTTTTCTTATAATAGTATCATATATACTTCCATATGCATTTAGCTTATGTTTTAGCTGTCAGGATATATACCTCAAGTTTAAAGATTAATCCAAAGGTGTGTCTTACTCTTATTTGTACTCAAACTTTTTTAAGAGTCACATATATGATCTTCAGTATTTTCAATTCTAAGCTAGTACAAATAAAGTTTTAGAACTACTGAATTAACAAAAACAAGTATCCTAGTAAATTATTTATAACGGCAGAGACTGACATGACGAAATATGACGAAGGGGGTTCTTTTTTTGAACTTGAACCTTACTTATAGGTTACAAGAAATAATTTTAGAAAATACAGACTTTAAATTATACATTGTATACATTTTAAAAATATATACAGCTTGATTCCCTATACAAACTTTCATCTCCACTTTCACCCCCTTAAGGGATGATTATCGGGATAAAAAGTATCCTATGTCCTTCCCAGCGTGTCAAACTATCTTCTTAATAAAGTTCATCTAAATCGGTTCAGTAGATCTAGAGATTAATTACCCCCTACAACCTCACAAACTTTACCTCTTTATAATATTACTAGCATTGCCCGTGGCTCCGCCCGCGTTCAAATGACCAAAAACCAAATTCTTAAGTTTTACATATTATATATTAGTCTTACTCTTACATTGCAGTTTTTGTATTTTTTCTCAGAAATGAAATATTTTCCCGCGGTAAAAAGTATCCTATATGTTGACCCGGATAACCAGCTATCACCATACCAAATTTCATCAAAATCCCTCCAGTGGTTTTTCTATGATGCGGTAACAGACAGACAATATTTCTAAAAACTATAGGTTCGGCCTCTGTATGGGTAATAATGTTTATTTCAATAAGATTTAAAAAAAAAAATGTACAGATTCGGCTTAGTTACAATTTTATTATTTGTATAGAAGTATAGATAGTATATATTGATAGTATCCCCAATCGTCCGCTCCGCTGTCCGCAGTAATAGCGTGCGCGGCGCTGGCGTTCCTGCTGACGCCACTGTGCCAGTACGTGGCGGGCGGCTGGGCGCGCGGCGCGCTGTGCGGCCGCTACTCCGCGCCCGAGCTGGCCGCCGCGCTGCTGGCCGCCGCCATCGTCGCCGTCTGGGTGCTCACCGGACACTGGCTGCTCATGGATGGTGAGTTCTATTTGAAGTAAACATTTTTTAGGCACTTCACTTGGGGGGTCAGCTGGTGAATGCGTTACGAAAAAATGTACGTACGTCTGTTGCCATGGTTAACCGTTGTTATTGTCTGACTGTATTTGTTGATATTCTTTCTCTCTCTCCGGGTCATCTCACATCCCCGCAAGGGGCGTGGGGAAACGGTATCAGGGCTTAGCCCTCTGACCATGGCTTCGATCGCCGCCCACTAATATGGGCGCGGCCCTGGAGGAGTCCTAACTAATACTCGTAGCGGAGGCGGACAGGGAAGTGCCTTGTGCGTCGTGGGCGGTCAGCCCAGCCGGCTTTAGTACCGCTGGTGGGAATACCAGCTAGGCGACCAGCGACCGCGACAGCGGCTCATCACCCTGTCGGCTGATGAAGGAAATCCCCCGGGTACGCCCTCCTGTCCGATGGGCGGGCGTGCAAGAGGGCTATGTCCCTGATGTGCTCGAAAGATGAAGCGTCCGCCTTGGTGAATGCGCCTACCGCGAGGAGGCGCACGAACTCAATATCTTTCCTTAGATGATATGCTATAAATATATGATTGTAATATGCCTAACATGCGTTATTTTTAGTATCTAACCTATCCTAATTATTTAAAAATAAATTGAATTTCAAAAAGAGCGCCGATAACCTACAGACGTTTTACTTCTTGCGCGTGTACACATTCATACACGCACTCTTAAGTTTCTTTTTCATGTGAAACATGTATTAGCTCGCCTAGGGGACCGTACATTAATCACGAGGTTTTTAGCAACTTTTTAACTCTCTCCTCCCACCGGGTGATACGTGGTGAGATTTTAGACTAATTCAACTACTAAATTTAATTAATTTAATGACTTTAAATAATTTATGAACACTAATATGAACATATAGGTGTTTCATATCTGCCGGGCGTTCCGTGACGGCCAACTTTTTCTTATATTAGATTCACCCACAACTTTACAAATACACAAGAAATAACATTATTAAATAAAAATCTAAAAGGCAAAACCACTTATAGTAAACACACTTAAATATAAATTATAATTAGATGGTAAAAATAATTAAATTAAATTTAAATAACTAATAATAATGTTGGGAAATTAACACGCGTACGCGTCCGTAGATTGAACACGGGCGTAGCCGCGGGTTTTGCTAGTGTTAATAATATAATATGATTGTATTCCGCCAGCGATGGGCATGGGTCTGTGCGTGACGTTCATCGCGCTGATCCGGCTGCCGTCGCTGAAGGTGTCCACGCTGCTGCTCACCGGCCTGCTGCTCTACGACGTGTTCTGGGTGTTCTTCTCTTCTTACATATTCACTACTAACGTCATGGTCAAAGTCGCTACCAGGTTAGTGTACGATAAGTATATCGTTATGTTTAGAAGATAAATTATGTCATGTTTTTTTTTGTATTATTATGTACTAGCGACTCACCTTCGCTTCGGGTTCGTCCCTAGACAAAAACAAATCTATCCCACGGGATCTGTTTATTTTTCCGGAATAAAAAGTAACTTATGTGCTTGCTATTCCAGATTTTAATCTATCTCTGTGCCAAATTTCATCCAGATCCGATCAGCCGTTCTGACGCTAAAAAGTAACATCCATCGATTATCATAAACTTTCAAATTAATAATATTAGTAGAGTCTAAGATATTATTAAATGGTATACAAGATAAAAACATGAGATAATACGATTGAAACATTTTAAAACTTAACTATACTTATATAATTATACCTTGAATACAGACCATATTTTTTTTAATTTTCTTAACGATAAAATTATTATAATATATGTAAATACAAATACATAATTTAAGCTTATGTAACTGATTTTCAACTGAAGAGTTACATCGACTTTGAAATTGCTTTTTAATCATAATTATTTCACTGTAAAGATAAACTAAGAAATTCATATAAGAATACTTTATTGGTTCACTATTGGTGAAAACCTACATAAAAATGTATCTGAATTATGTATATCATATAAAATATATAACTCCAACAATATAACCAGGCCAGCCGAGAACCCCATGAACGTGGTGGCGCGGCGCCTGCAGCTGGGTGGCGCCATGCGCGATGCGCCCAAGCTTTCGCTGCCCGCCAAGCTCGTGTTCCCCTCCATGCACCACCAGGGACACTTCTCCATGCTCGGTCAGTGCACCACAAGACACCACTACCACCATCACCGATATTACCACCATCACCAATAATACCACCACTACCTACTAGCACTACTACAAATTTGTCATGTAAAAGCAGCAAAGTGCTAAAAGGTACACTTTGCCATACTTTGATAATTATGGATATTGGTTCGAAGTAACCGACCTCCAAATAAGTCTTGCAAAGTGATTGAGCAAGTAAATCATTGAATCACTATCTCATTATCGGGCTTATTAACCGGTCGCCGGATATCCGGCCATCCGGCCTTACAGATCACCGGATGTCCGGTATACAGGCAAACACAAACTATCCGTAAACTATCCGTCTCATCACTAGTAGTTATAATATAAGCCTGGTGTGGCTTCAATGTTGCTTCATGCGATAATCGAACCTGCTACGTCCGCCTTCTTTATAGCTAAATACAATACATTTATATAAATAAACATGACCAGGTCTGGGCGACATCGTAATGCCGGGCCTACTGCTGTGCTTCGTGCTACGCTACGACGCTTACAAGAAGGCCACTCTCGTCTGCCAAATGGGACAAGTGCCCGGACCACGCTCCATGGTAAAAGTTGCATTCAATATATTAAAATAAAGGTTTTGAAAGGGACTTCGCGAAAACTGCTGGCCGGAGTTTGATGGAACTTATAGATCAGAATGACACAGGTTATAATTAATAAAGATATATTAGATAACTAGCGGCTCACCCTCGCTTCGCTCGGGTTCGTCGCTAGGTACGTTTTAAATAGATATAAAAAGAAAAAATCTTTCTTTCTCACATTTTAATTATATGTTTTAATACTTACCTATTCCGGACTAAGAGAAATCCAAAAATTAAAATATCATAAAAATTGGAACGCGGTCGAACGGGATAAAAAGTATCCTATGTCCTTCTCCTGGCTCTAAACTACCTCCCTGCCAATTTTCAGCTAAATCGGTTCAGCCGTTCTTGAGTTATAAGCGAAGTAACTAACACGACTTTCTTTTATATATATAGATAATTGAACTACACGGGCAGCATCTTCTATATGAATAAAATATGTCGCTATTTTTCTATATACATGAATATATGTTTGTTTTTGTATGTAATATTGATTAGTGTTTTATGTGTTTTCTTGTTCAATAAATATTATTCATCATCTTCTTCCTGCCCATTTCCCAATCACTTGGGGTCAGCGCAGTACATCTTCTGTACTGCTGATGGGATTTGGCAAAAGTTTTACGACCGGCCGTTTATCGTGGACGTCTTGTAATATGCACATTCGATATTGTTTTCTTCTAAAACATAATTTAAATAAATAAATATTATAATCATAATGATGGTGCAGGGCTCCCGACTGACGTACTTCCACTGCTCGCTGCTGGGCTACTTCCTGGGGCTGCTGACGGCCACGGTGTCGGCGGAGGTGTTCAAGGCGGCGCAGCCCGCGCTGCTCTACCTCGTGCCCTTCACGCTGTTGCCGCTACTCACTATGGCATATGTTAAGGTATACTATTATATGTGTATAACAGTGGCGAAGGGTGAAATTTTAGCAGAGGTAAGCCGTTCCAAAAATATATAATTTTTATATATGTATTAATTAATGATAGGGACGATAACGGGCCACTGTCCCTTGAACAAACATTTATATAACATCGGCGCAACGGACACCCCTCTGTGCAGAGGGTGCCTTGGCGCTGAATAATCAGTTTCCCTCGTAATCCTGGAATGCGTAGCGGTAACTTCCCAACGTGAAGAAATCCTTGGACCAGTGAGGTCGCTCCGCGAAGCCTGTGAAGTTCCCAGGAGACTTATGCGCTTCTGGGCGGTGCTCGGCTGGCTAATATAGCCAGGATTCGCACGCACAACGGACCAGAAGGGAGTCTAAGTGCGGAAAACGAGTCCACTACACATTTCATTTCATATATGTATTAATGCAGAAAGAAATAAAGCTATTATATATACTGGACGGGATTGAATTTGTTATAGCCATGTATTATCCTATAATTGACGAGTAAAACTAAGTCGTGATCGAAGCTTGATTGTATTATGTGAACATGATAAGATTTTACCACATCAAAAACGGACCGAGAACGAATCGTGATCGGCACTATAGCATGGTTCAGAACTTAGGGTTTCATACCATAAATGTCAAATGTCAAAAATTTCGTCGTGTAATTTTATTTAGAGTGGAACGAGAGATTGTTGAGATTTGGTATGGTAGGTGTCTCATATGAATGGATAGATTTAAGAAGTATTGTGTAATAATACAACGAAACTAAAACAATCTTAATATTTTATTAATTATGGTTTTAATATTTTATTTTACTCCATAACAAATAAGTATGTTGAATCATTAAATAAATATATTATGCTACGCAATACAAACGCACACCAAATGTGTGTCAGACGCACTATTATTATAAAAGCGAAAGTTGTGTGTGTGTGTGTTTATGTGTGCGCATACAAATAAATGTAACAATCATTCGCAGGGTGATCTCAGAAGGATGTGGAGCGAGCCGTTCATAGCGCCGCCCGCGGGCAAGGGCGGCGCCGACTTCGACGTGTGACTGCCCCGCGCCGCCCCGCTGTGTAAACTGATATAGGTATATACATCATATATAAGTTGTACCGTCGTTATAGTAGCTGAGTGGCGGTTTTGTTTGTTGTATAAATGATTTGGCCGAGGTTAGCTCATTTGATATGTTTCACATGGATGGTACTATGTTAGAAACTTGTGCGAATGTTCGTAATATCTGTGTAAATTCTTAACTCCATTGGATGTGCGAGAAATTAATTTATTTATAAGATTTGTAAGACAAATAGTATTTTTTATTTTTTTTTATAGAAAAAAATCGTTCTCATTATCGGTTAAACTTGTATTTAATCAAAAAAAGCACTCACTCAGCTGGTAGTGATATGTTGTTTCATCACTCATATATAGATTGTTTTAAATTTTGTAGAAAATGTTTAATTTTAAGTACATATATCAGTTACGACTAGGCTGCAGTTAGTGTAAAATCTCTATGCAGACAGTCTACTTCTTTAGAATTCCTACATGTTCAGTAGACGCTTGATGTACTGTCCTGTAAAGAAGTAGCAAACAAATAGCCAAGTATGACTTGAGTTAGAGGGGCGATGATGCCTCGTATTATAGTAGTTTGGAATAAATATATATTATTATGTTAATAGATAAATCAAATATTCCAAATATTGTTAGAAATACTATATTAGTTGTCACAAATGAAATTACTAAAGACCGGCCGCGGAGCAGAAAGAATTTCGTATAATGACCTCTTTGCGTACTGACAGTGGTCGCGAACATTTTCGCACTCTTGTAACTTCTCACTATCACTGAAGTATGATATTTTTCGTTTATTTCGATTAGTAAGAAATAACTTTAATATGCGTGAGGTGGACGGTGCTGCTTCTATTTTAAAACAGTAAAGAAAAAGAAATTTAGAAACAATTTTAACTACGTACGAAAACTGAGCGATTACTAACGTATCCCAGAATAAAATGTCGATCTATTTCAAATTGAATAACAATAGCAAACAAGGCGTGGGTTTTTACTTTTTTGACTCACGACAAGATATGAACAGACCTTACTCTCGCAGGTAACAGGTTTTCAATCCATAAGACGGCGGTCATTGCATGTGTGCGAGCGCGACGGCAATATATTTAGCAACAGAGACAGGTAATAACAGGTTAATGTACTAAATTCTTCCTGCATCACGAATTTAGTATAGGTGTGATATATGTGTTGCTTACCTAACTGTACTGTACTGCACTCGGGCCTCTGTACATTGATGTTGACATAGAGATGTAAAGATAACATGTTAGGTTAGTGGCTTTCCTTTAATTTGTATATGAAAGTTACAGCACAGGGTAACTTTAAAACGAATAAGCATCTAATTGGTGTATGGAGAGATTTTAGAGATTACATAAACACTATATTATATATAAAAAATTGGATATTGTATTTAATTCGACTTCTAGATGAAACATTTTTATATAGTAAATATTCTTGTTTTATAGTGTTTTATGAACTGTCACGTCTCTTCGTATGACAAATGGGATATGGGCAGAGCACAGATTTTGGATATGTAACTCAAATAACATTCTTAGTGATACTTGCGTACTGCTGTATCTAAAATACTCAGACTTGATAGTGTTATATTTCTTTAGTAAGATGTAAACTTGAACTCCGTTTTGGTACTTCTTTAATTGTCATAAAAACTAAAATTTTCCTATGAATGTTTCTATGAATTTTTACATAAAAGATTTTTTATAAATAATAAAATCCATATGTTCAGCATAAAGATGACATGGAAAATTGTGTACAGGTTTGATGACAGAAAAGTAAGGTGCCAAATATCAATAACGAAAGTTATCGATAGCTAAACAACCACTAACATATGGGCATCCGTCTCGTTGCATACAAATTGGTGCAACATGTCCTATATCATTTTTACTATAATATATTTTTTCCAGTGAATTACCAGTCATTTTTATATTCCTTTCTAATGCCTATATTGTAAGAAAATATCATTACTTATCAACAAGGAACCAAATATTAGAGGAAATCTAAAGTTCAGAACATTCATCACTAAATATAGGATTTTGTAAAAGTTTTTTTTTTCTTTTTAGTTAATACCACCATTATGAATCTCATTTGTAATTAATCGTGCTTATACTCGTTTAAATAAACATTATCACTAAAATAATTACTTTTTAAAATATGTTGTTTTTAAAGTCTAAATATGAACAAATCCAGTGACTGATGAAGAATAATATTCAAAACAAATATATTGAACATCTGCAGAAGTAAAATACTGATTAAAATAAAAATGAAAACTATGAGAGATTTTAGGTAATTTGAAAACAATGGCATGTTGTAAATTAAAAAAAATATTATATGTAATATAAATTTTACATTTCTATTCTTGTAGTGTTTCTAAACTCTAAAGTTACTTTACCGTGAACAAACTTTGTTATCACTGCCTTAGACTGATGTTTTCAATGAAGATTTTTTCTATATGTTAATGGAGTATTATAGAAAAATGTTAGTCTATTTAGAACTTAGGCTACTGTTGTAACAGCAACGGTGTTGTTGTAAAGAATTTGATTGAATTTAATGAAAAATGTTATGTTAGATTTAAGTGTCAGTAGCAGGAGTGATTCGAATTTTTGTAAGTTTTTATTTTACTTACTTCCTCCAACTTTTTACTATTTTATTATATAATTATTAAGTTTATTGTGTGGAAGATGCAACGACTAATATTGAACAGTATTGTTTTGTAATGGAAAAGTGATATAATTTTATTGAGGCTTATGATATAATGTGATGATGGTTTTTGAATGGTTTTTCAATATTTTGTGTTGAAGTAATGTTTGTCTGGAATTAATGTTCAGGTACAGTATACAGTGACTCGTTCTGAAACATATTTGCTGAATGCCCAAACGATGTCTCACCAAATTAAATTATAATTTGGTGGTTTGTTTTTGGATATTTATATGAAATACTTCAATGTTTTTCCATTGTGTATATAAATGAATATTGTGAATTCGATGTAAAATGGTTTAAATCACAGTCTCATCACACATTTAAAAAGTAATGTATATATTGCCCTCACATGACATTCTACTTATCCACAAATATGGAAAAATGCATTTAATATTTTTATATGTATGTGTGAAATTGTAACAATACTTAATAAAAATATTAGATGAATACTGTGTTTTTTATTTCACAATTTGTTTTATTTACAGTCACCGAGTGTCTCACTCTCAACCACCTACCTGCTACAACTAAAAAAAAAAATTATTATAAAAAGCAGTCATGAGGACTGCCGTTAGAAGTGAAAACTTAAAACTATAAACAAACAGTTGCTATTTTTGGATATTCAAATTAGTTTGATCTTAATTAAAATTTGTAAATTAAAACTGTTTACGTTTATCTGGTTTAACGTCTATCGACACTGTGTTAGCGTTAACACGTCACGTGACCATGTCGATGACGACTTACATGAATTTACTCCATAACAAAACCTGTATAGAAGTTTTCACTTCAATAATGAAATGTCATTTTGTTTGTTGCTCTAGAACTTTGTTTGAATAGGCTAATGATGGCACATTTATATATTTTAAATAAGAACATAATTTTTTTGGTACTTATCACACTTAAAACTTTATAATATAATTTGTACACTACTTATTAAAAAATCTAAAATACCGTTGGTAGATAATGTCGTAAGCTATTATTTTTGATACTTTAAAATCTTACTAAAATAATCCTTTTTTTTTTTTTTAACGTTGGGAAATGCATTTACGCACGACGTGTGGGACTCACCGGCGTAATACAGTAAGTACTACCCACTAAAACCCAACAAAACCTTCCCCCGTCTTAATGGGGCGTCGCAGGATCGCTTACGCATTCAACTACGACGCCCCGACGGCAGGTCTGCCAAAGCAGACCAACACAACCATGGGGTTGCTCCAAGGTCCACTCTGCTATCAGAGAAGTACCAGGAGCAACCCGCATGGTATACCGCCCCCGAAGAAGGCCACCTCCCACCGCCCACCGAAGTGGGCAACCTCCCTGTGCGTTTCTTAGCTTCGCTACTACTACTGAGCCCCCCCACCACGACAAGGTGAACGCACGTTGGGGGGGTACTAAAATAATCCTACTGAACTACAGTCGAGTACAATCTGAACCAAAACATATTTTTTGACAAAATGTGGAGTTGGCTGGTTTGCCAATTAAGGTATTGATATGAGACAAACATCTGCAAAAAGTTTAGAGCTATAGTTCCAGAAACTTCCATGATTCATACTGATTTACATGGATGCTAGGTGAATTTTGCTGAACTTCAGTAATACACAGTTAGTGATAAACAAATCAGTGTGAATTTATTGAACATTTCTTGTCCCTCTTTAGCGACTGCAGCACTCTCTGCACGCCCACTATTATTTTTTCAAATTTTTGGGACAACTTGTACATACAAAGATTGGACTCCTTGTCTATATTGTTCATAATTTGAACCAATCAAGTAAATAGAACGTATTGGCAACAGCATATCAACTCAAGCAATTTCATCAACTTCAATTTCATACAAATCTCTTTGTCTATCTTTTAAAAATTACATAAGAATTAAGATGATGAGTTTGGCAGGGATGCCTTTAATATTATTATATTTAATATACTGTGCTGATTAAATATTTGTAAAAACATAAATTTTAGAATGATTTGGTATTTACTGTCACAATCTATTACATCAGTAATTAGTTAATTACTGATATGTATGCACTAATAAGATTACAAAATGATTGTGCAAAACTGCAGGTCATCTTATAAACAAAAATATAATAATTCAAGTTCTGTATAAATTATGACATCATTTATTACTATTAATTGCATTATTAGTATCTCTCTTTTCAATAAACCTTAGTTGTTTCTTTTTCATCCTCTTGAGCTTAGCAGTATTTGTAATAACTTGTACTACTTCTGATTTCTTTTTGTTTTCTTCTGCCCTTTTTATATTTTCCCGTCTCCTTTCTTTTTTAGCCAGTTCTTTTTCTTTGATTTGTTCAAGGATTTGCTTAGATAAATCTTTTGTTCTTTTAAGTTCTATTCTCAAAGAAGTTTTCCTTTGGAAATCAGGCCTTATCCCTTTTGTTTTTACAATAGTTGAAAATCTGAAAAAAAAATCGAAAATAATACACAACATGTTTTATTAATATTACATATTATAATTTAATTTCGGTATATAATTAACTTTTAGTTTTCTTGTTAACATATTAAAACAGCTCAGAAGGGTTTTCCAGGAAGACAAATATTTGGCAATTAACAATTATATTTCTTGCTTTTTCTGTATACTCATTTTACATTTATATTTTATATTCCTAACTCATATAATCAAAAATCTATTGTCAAAATCTAATACTGAATGTTACAATATAATGTGTCATTAAGTTTGTAATAAATAAGTTACTAAATACCTTTCTTTCTTAGACTTCCAAAATCGTCCTGACTTTGGTTTTCCTCTTATTTCATCTTTCTTATCTTTTTTATTATCCTTTTCATCGAACGTGTCTGTGCTTAGGGTAACAACTGAACTTTTATCATCATTGCTATTAGTTTTCTTTATGTCTTCTAATATAGATAAAACTTTATTATCGACATCTGTAGACATTTTATGATTCATATTTTTGTTAAAAACAGAATTAACGTCCACGTGCAAAATGTAAATTGCAAAACCAATTGACATTGACAAAATGAAATGATGACAGTCCCAAGTCCCAAGTTCTAATTATAAAAAATCTAATTCGTAAATGAAACAAAATAAATGACAAAAATTTCATATATTACAAACAATTGTGTCATAATATGAAGCGGAAGCAGTCTTAAATTTATTTCACAATATATTTAAGCATAAAATCAAAGAAAAATGAAACATTTTTTTAAATATCTAAAACAAGGATTTTATATATGTTCCTTATGGAATATATAAAATCCTTGATCTAAAAATACTTGGGTGTGAACTGTGAATTGTAACTGTCACAGTCAAATTGTCCATTTTGACGTTTATTTATCAATATCGGAGGCCGTTAGGCGATGACCAACTTATTTATGTGATTCATACTCCAAATGCCATTAAATTTATCTAGTTTTGGTAAATGAGAATACTTCAACTATTAATTCGTATTTTGAAATAAGTTATAAAAGAACTGTCAGTGTAACAATTATTTAAAATGCCAGTAAGTACTGATATCTCGTACCAACCTTTTTACAGTCAACAGGAAAAGATTAAAGAAGTCTAAATTTTTGAACATTTGCAGGCCTATCATTCAACATTAGTGGATTACGCTCAATCTGTTGGTAACTTAGCTTTACTTCCGATCCGTACGACTTTTCGAGGGCCGGCGCCTGTTAGTCCCAAAATAGAACTGGATATAATTGATGAAGCACTTAATTACTTTAAGGCCAACGTATTTTTTAGGTTTTATGAGATTAAGGTAATTTTTATTACTATTTCTAGAATTTGTTTCAATCTAGTTTATTTTTGTTATTTACAATAAATTAAAATACTTCACAATTTTAAAACCATTAACTTAAAATGCTTCAGTAGCTTTCTCACCTACTACCACAATCGAATCAATCAAATAGTCACACAAATTAAACTTAATCTTAGCCAAATTGTATGTCCTAGATGTTAAGACACATAATTACTTATTTAAAAATTATCACTCTTTCAGTCTGATGCTGACAGAGTGCTTATATATTTGACACTTTATGTTTCTGAATGTCTGAAGAGATTACAAAAGTGTTCTAACAAGAATCAAGGCCAGCAAGAGATGTACATGTTGGCAATATCAAAGTTTGACATTCCAGGAGAGCCAGGATTTCCTTTGAACTCTGTATATGCTAAGCCTTCTAGTCCTCAAGAAGCAGGTTACATCAAGTGTCTTTTTCAAAATTAGACATAATGATCACTTCATTTTTATGAAAAATAAAACTATTAAAACCTAATATTTTTTATAATAATTTTATTTTCACGATATTTTAGGAATTCAATGAATACTATGAAATATTGTAAACATAATCTGTGTGCATTTTAGATTTGATGAGACAATATTTGCAACAACTGAGGCATGAGACAGGAACAAGAGTCTGTGAAAAGGTATTAAAATATATATGTCATACAATTTTAGATTTAAAGAATTTTTCATTTAATAATATGAGAGCTATCTATAAATAAATTTATATATAAATCAGTTAAAACAATATGTTAAATTATTTTTTAAGGTGTTTGCAACTGAAGATGGAAAACCTAGCAAGTGGTGGTTGTGCTTTGCCAAAAGGAAATTTATGGATAAATCTCTCTCAGGACCGGGACAGTAATTGCAAACACTCTAATTTACTGATTATAGCATTTATTTAAAAAATGTAGTAAACTTTTGTTCTTATTATAATGATTTACATTTTCAAATACACATTTAATAGACATTTTTGAATATAATACTGTCTGTAAAATCTCTGAAAATATATGTTTCTTATTTCTTTTTTTTTTTATTATAGCTGCATAAAACCAGTTTCATTGTTGATTGTAAAGAGAGCTTATGAGAATTTAGTATTTTCTGATCTCAAACAAAACACGCTGAACAGTCCCAGTAACATAAGAATACTTTTTAACACCTTTTTATATAACAATTACACTCCAAAAAACCGTGTCTAATCAAAAAATGTATACTAATATTATAAAGAGGCTTGAGTTTTTTGTTTTAACGCTCTAATCTCAAGAACTCTTTTTTCATTAGATAGCCCATTTATTCAGGAAGGCTATAGAATATATATAATATATAGTCTATCTATTCCATACTAACAGTTAAAACATACCTAGGGACGAACCCGAGCAAAGTGATGGTGAGTTGCTAGTACATTATATTTCTAGTAAATCCTAATGGCAGGTGTAAACATATTGTTTCAGTGTTTATTTGTCCAAACGACCAATTTACCAATAGTTTTTATTTTAGAATAATTTACTTTAAATGTCCATTTTATTGGTATAAAATACACATTTTACTTTATCTATAATATATGTATATAAATCTTAGAAAGTTTTGTTTTTAAAATAGAGAAAAGAACTCTACTTGTAAAGTACAAAGAGTTATTTTAGTTTAAACAAATAAGCACTAATGCAATGATATATGAAAAAAAAAACAATGAATAAATGTGCAGTTTTATATACAATAGTTAAGACACAAAAATTATACAATTATAAATCGCTTATGAAACTGACTAAAATAAATTGAGTTGTACAAATATATAACAAGTATACAAATCAGTCTATATGTACAAATTTACATTAATAAATTATACTCCATATTCTTTAATAAGCTGCCCTGCAATAACGAGCCTCTGGATTTCTGAGGTACCTTCATATATTTCAGTGATTCTAGCATCTCGGTAGTGTCTTTCCGCAGGCATATCAGACACATAGCCCATGCCACCAAGAATCTGAAATATAATAATCATTTATTGCAAGCAATTCAAAACACATAATATGGACAGAGAAAAATAAAGACTAAGGAAAAACAAAATAAAATTAATTAAGATTGGTATTATTTTAACTATCAGTATTCTGACTATAATGAGATAATTCTTTAAATTGTAATACTTTCTTAGATTTACGCAAATACTTGACATTTTAAATAAAACTATCTTTTCGGATTTGTTCGCGAATTTATTTTGATTTTTGATTCTTTAAATTGTATTGGTTGCACATTTTCTTTTTAGAATCAACCAATTCATGAGTTAATGTTCTCTTGGATGTGGCTCCCAGTTACAATGACTATTAATTATTGATACAGTCACGGTAATGGATGTATAACATTACCGTGATTCAAGTGCTTATTTGATTTAGTGACCAATTTACTTATAGTTTTTATTACAAAATTATTGAATACACACTTTACTGTAAAAAAGCCTAAAAATGTACTTTATCCATACAAATATTTTATATTATAAACTAGCATTGCCCGCGACTCCGCTCGCGTTCAGATGATCAAAAACCAAATTCTTAGGTTTTACATATTAGTATACTCTTACATTGCAGTTTTTGCATTTTTTCTCAGAAATAAGGTATTTTCCTGGGGTAAAAAGTATCCTATATGTTGACCCAAATAACCAGCTATCACCATACTAAATTTCATGAGAATCCCTCCAGTGGTTTTTCTGTGATGCGGTAACAGACAGACAGACAAAAATTCTAAAAACCTTAGATTCAGTCTGTATAGATAATAATGTTTATTTCAATAAGATTTCCCAAAAAAATTTAATGTACAGATTCGGCTTAGTTACAATTTTATTATATGTATAGATGTGAAAGTGTGTGTTGTTTGTTGGTCCTTCTTTCACGTCGAAACAGAGTGACGGATTGGCGTGATTTTTTGTGTGGAGGTATGTCGGAGGGCTGGAGAGTGACATAGGCTACTTTTTACCGCGGAAGATTATCTAATTCACACGGGAAAACACGTTATAATACAATTCAAAAAAATATTTATGAATAGAACTTTTTTTATTTAATTTTGCTAGTCTGTGAATAAATCTTAAAAATAATGCTGTTTTTAAAATAGAGGATAAAAACTATTGTAAAATACAACGTGTATTGGAAGTTTGAACAAATAAACACTAAGGCGAAGTATTGTATGTTTAAATGACACTGCCTAAAATGGAAGGGCATATTAGCTCAACTCCAGCAAGGGGGACATATTAAGTGACCATACAGATTTGTGTAGGGTTCCATCTAACAGAAAATACTGGGGCCATCATGTTGTTTGTTTCTTTGTTGCTCACAAAGCTCTTTTATTATTTTTATAAAAATATGTATTTAAGGTTTTATATTATAGTTTTTGACTAAGAATTTAAATGATAAAGAAACTTGCAAGATTACTTATTAGCTAGAATATTCTCTAATTTGTGTTTTTTAACTGATGTATCATACAAAATGTATACAGATGCTAATTACTTAATCAGCTAGCTATTTACTGATTTGTTAACAATTGAAACTTCAAATAATTAATTATGTATTAGGTATGTAAATTTCAAGCAAAATCTAGAATATTAAATATTTTGTCATAAAAATTGCCAAAAAATACAAATGAGAAATTAAAATAGTGGTCAAATGTGAGTTGGGTTCTGTGATAGTACAAGATATATACTTGTAGTATATATAGACTTTTTGAATACTTTTGTTAAAGAAATTTTTTGTACAAAAAAAGGCACAAAATTTTGAATTTTATCCATTTTGAAATTCACCATCTTGGTTTTATAGTATTTGTTGTTATAGCGGCAATAGAAATACACACTCTGTAAAAATTTCAAGAGCATTCAGCAGCCTGTATCTCATGAACTGTAATAGGTAGATAACCTTTTACAGTTCATGAGATACTGTCTGCTGACAGACAGACCAACAGATAGCGGAGGTTAAGTAATCGGGTCCCATTGGCACCCTTGGGTGACGGAACCCTAATATGTTGAAATGTACCTGTATGCATTGATGTGATGTGAATGTTGCTGCTTCAGATGCAGCTAATTTTGCCATAGCTGCCTCTTTCGTATAAGGTTTTTTATTATCTTTCAACCAGGCAGCTCTCCAAGTTAACAACCTAGCTGATTCTAATTGTAGGGCCATATCTGCAAGTTTATTCTGTATGGCCTGTAACTTCATAATTGGTTTGCCAAATGCCATCCTCTTAGATGCATATTCCACAGCTACATCTAGAGACGCCTTAAATTATAAGTTTTCATCAGTATAATGTAGTATATACATAGACAGCTTTGTATTATTTTATTAATATAATAATTTTACTTACCTGCGCTATACCCAATGCTTGTGATGCGATACCAATTCTTCCTGCATCTAAGGTCATCATAGCTATTTTAAAGCCAAATCCTGGCTCCCCCAATATATTTTCTTTAGGAATTGCACAGTCTTCAAACATGAGTGAACAAGTTGAAGATCCTCTGATACCTAGCTTATCTTCTTTCTTTCCTAATTCTAATCCATTTATAGGTTTAGGCACAATAAATGCAGATATACCCTTGTGTTTCAAACTCTTATCTGTGGTAGCAAATACTACAGATGCTTTGCTCTCATAACCATTTGTTATCCAACACTTGGTGCCATTAAGAACCCACTTATCACCACCATCTTTCGCAGTAGTGGATGCTGCACCTGCGTCTGATCCATTACCAGGCTCAGAAAGAGCAAAGCAACCAATTGTGTCTCCTAAAATACATGAAATGTGTACAATTTTCTTATATCATACTAGAATATTATGAATTTGAAAATAATACAAACCAGAACAAAATGGTGTCACAAAATCTTTCTTTTGTTTATCACTACCCCAATGAACTATAGGGCCAAGATACAAAGAATTATTTACAGACATTATCACACCAGCTGAAGCACATCCTCTGGAAATTTCTTCTAACGCTATTGCATATGCAAGGTAGTCTAATCCCGAACCTCCTATGTCTTCGGGTGTAGCTATCGCCATGAGCCCTAATTCACCCATTTTTTTAATCGCATCTTTAGGGTATAAATGGCCACGATCGTACTTTGCTGCGTTAGGCTTTAATTCCTGTTCTGCAAAATCTCTGCATGTCTTATATAGCATCTGGTACGTATCAGGTAAAGACGAAAGAGAAGCTATACATCTAGAACCACGTATCGTCATAGGCACTGAAAAGTATAAATAATGTTTACATATTTTCCAAAAATATTTTTTGGAGTACTCAAATATTTTTTTACTTACCAAACGATAAAGCACTTTTACTTAATAAACTTAACATGATATATGCCTTAAATAAAACAAATTTTAATCAATAAAAACACTAAGCACAGTAAAGTTTACTAAATTAAATTGGTACTTTGAAGTTTGAACTTTATCAAGTTCAGAAATCTTAAAAAAATTATCAGTTTAACATGGTCAATGGTCATTAATAGTTAAAACAATAAATTTTAAAATAATAAATAGTCATAGGTGTGAACATGACAATGTAAATTAAAAAAAAAAAAAAACTCCTACAAAAAGCGAAACTGGAAAATGGAAATACATAATACGTTACATAGCACAGATCAATAGCAACAAGGTCACTTAATTATATATACTATAGCCTTTCAAGTTTCAAAAAACATTAAGCAACTTAATATAACTCGCGTCTTGTAAAAAGAACGCTGGAAAAAAGTGGAGAGGGTATATTTGCGCATGGGTATTATACTCGCGCATTTATATATTACTAGCGGCTCACCCTCGCTTCGCTCGGGTTCGTCGCTAGGTACGTTTTAAATAGATATAAAAAGAAAAAATCTTTCTTTCTCACATTTTAATTATATGTTTTAATACTTACCTATTCCGGACTAAGAGAAATCCAAAAATTAAAATATCATAAAAATTGGAACGCGGTCGAACGGGATAAAAAGTATCCTATGTCCTTCTCCTGGCTCTAAACTACCTCCCTGCCAATTTTCAGCTAAATCGGTTCAGCCGTTCTTGAGTTATAAGCGAAGTAACTAACACGACTTTCTTTTATATATATAGATGTAGCAATATACTCATACTCATTACTCGCACACTAAAGTACTAAGCCTATTATTTTATTTTTCATTGCATTTCGCTCGCGGCTTCATATATTAGTTATTGGTAGGGATATTGAAAAATATATATCATAAAAATATTATTTTTTATTTTATTTTAAATAGAATCATCATCCTTTGTCATTAAATAGAATTAAGAACATGTTTGTTTCAGTGTAAAATGTTTTAATCTTTATATATAATACACCAATTCTTCGTTCGTTTTACATGACGTGAGGTATACATTGAAAAATATATTAGATAGAATATATTAAATAAAATTCTATTCATTATTAAAATATGTTTCATTCAGTGTAGAATGTTTAATCTAGTTACAAAAAATTAAATTAATACGTTTAATACATTTTTTTAAATTATTAACTGCACTATTATCCGACTCTCTCTTTATAAAACAATATACGTCAAAAATAAATTTTCTCTCTTTTCTATATATATAAAACCATTTCGTAATTAAAAACTTTTATGTGCGCGATGGTATTTCGAACTGACGAACCAATAGTGCGCCGGCAAGCATGCGGCGCGTGCCCCGCCGCCCCGCGCCCCGCTTCTTCTAATTTTTCGTGTTGTAACGGGTGTGTGTGTTTGTGTGTGGGGGGGGGGGGGGTGTTCTGTAACACTACGGTGGGCGGCGTAACATGCGGGTTACTCCTGGTACTTCTCTGATAGCAGAGTGGTACTTCTCTGATGCGTGGGCGATCCTGCGACGCCCCATTAAGACGGGGTTGTTGGGTTTTTGTGGGTAGTACTGGCTTTTCTAGCAGATGAGTCCCACATAACCGCCTGTTTGTCTACAGATGCTATGCGTAAATGCATTTCCCAACATTAAAAAAAAAGAGCACGAAGCCAAGAAACGCACCCGGTCTAATTCAGTGAGCGGTGTGGTTTTTCTAGCTGGTAATTCCTACCTCTCCCCCCACATAACCACCTATAAGTATGTAAAAAAAGGTATAATAATAAATTCCTTCTATTTAATATTGTTAATCCAGTCTTTTAGTGGAATAATTTAAAATATGACTGGCCTATCTCGAACGTTCTCCTCTACTTGTCTTCCTCCTTCCTCAGGTTCCTCCAGCTAATTCAATATAGTTTCTACATTCTAGTTTCCACCTCCATTCAACATACAACGTAACATTGGAGAAATAATTTGTGCTCAAAGCTGGCACGCCTTAGAGTCAATAAAGAATTAAATAAATATTATATTAATTGCTCTTAAAAGAAATTTATTAAACGTCACAATGTTGGCAGTGTTTTTTTTTTGGAAAACAAACAGTATTTAAAATATTTACAAAAAACACATAAAAAACACCACATACACCAATAAACTCTCTACTAATATATGTATGTATGTATATATGGTTATGCATGAGCAGTCAAAAAAGAGGAAATGAAAAGTAAAAAACAACTTAACAAAAAAGAAATAATACAGAATATTTTACAATGAATTCATAATTAATCTAAATTTACATTAATTTTTAACATTAATTAATCTATTGTCTAATCCATTTTTTAAACTGTGTGATTGTGCAATCAATAGAACTTGGTACACAAAACATGAAAGTATTTTAAACGACGAAAAAAAGGAGGAGGTTCTCAATTCGACACATATATTTTGTTTTATGTTTGACCACGCATTACTTTACAGTGTATAATACAGTGTAGTCCGATTTCGATTATTCTTTTCAAAATGGATAGAGTATACATTCGCTAATGCGAAGTCGAAGCACATCGGCAGAATTGGCGAGAGATTGAGGCGTCTCCCTTCAGGAACACGTGCGTTTGGGTCTCTCTCCAAAGCTGTTTTAGGGAATTTCTGTAAGCCTTCTTTTCCAACTCTGCACACGCAGAATGACTCGCTGGCTCATACCGCGAAGGAGAAAGCCGAACTACTGGGCACTCTCTTCGCGTCCAATTCGACTCTGAATGACCAAGGAAACTCACCACCGACAATCCCGCGGTGTGATACTACCATGCTGGAAGTTCAGTTCCGGCAAAGTGCAGTTCGGTAAGCACTTCTTTCCTTGGACATTCATAAGTCGAGTGGGCCCGATGGCATCCCTCCGGTCGTGTTGAAGACATGTGCTCCGGAGTTGGCACCGGTCTTAACGCGTCTTTTCCGGTACTCTTATTCACTAGGCATAGTCCCGAAATCCTGGAAGGCCGCTTTAGTGCACCCGATCCCAAAAAAGGGCAACCGCTCGGATCCGTCCAATTACAGGCCTATAGCCATTACCTCCTAGTTCTCCAAGATAATGGAGTCCATTATTAACTGCCAGCTCCTGCGGTACCTAGAAGAGCACCGGCTGATCAGCAACCGCCAGTACGGCTTCCGTCGAGGTCGCTCAGCCGGTGATCTTCTAGTTTACCTAACACATAGATGGGCAGAAGCAGTTGAGACCAAGGGGGAGGCGCTTGCAGCCAGTCTGGATATAGCGAAGGCCTTTGATCGGGTATGGCACAAAGCGCTTCTTTCGAAGCTACCTTCCTATGGGCTCCCCGAGAAATTTTGCAACTGGATCTCCAGCTTTTTGGCAGATCGGAGCATCAAGATCGTTGTTGACGGTGCTTGCTCTGATCCTAAATATGTTAATGCTGGTGTTCCAGAAGGCTGCGTACTGTCTCCTACTCTGTTTCTTCTGCATATCAATGACATGTTGCAAATCAGCAACATTCATTGCTATGCAGACGATAGCACTGTGGATGCCCTGTACACTGGCCGCGCTAATATTTCTCGGGAATTCGTCGACGAGAGCCGGAACAAACTTGTGTCTGAAGTCGAATCTTTGTTAAATAAAGTCTCGGATTGGGGTCGACTAAACTTAGCCCAATTTAACCCCAAAAAGACACAAGTTTGCGCGTTAACAGCTAAAAAGTCGCCATTTATCGTAGCTCCTCAATTTGAGGACACTCCTCTGTCTCCCACAGCCAGTATCGGAATACTTGGCGTCGAAATCTCGAGCAACGTCCAGTTCCGTAGTCAATTGGAAGGTAAGGCCAAACTGGCCTCAAAGAAGCTTGGTGTGCTCAGCAAGGCAAGACAGTACTTCACGTCGCGTCAGCGTCTTATTCTTTATAAGGCGCAAATTCGGCCCCACATGGAGTACTGTTCTTATCTTTGGTCGGGAGCTCCCCAGTACCAGCTACTTCAATTTGACTGCATTCAACGTAGGGCGGCTCGAGTTATCGACGATCAAGCTCTCTCCGATCGGCTTGATCCTTTAGCTCTGCGTAGAGATGTTGAATCACTCTGCATCTTCTACCGCATTTATCACGGGGAGTGTTCCGAGGAATTGTTCGGACTGATCCCGGCTGCTGAATTTCATCATAGGACATCGCGCCAAAATAGTAAATTCCATCCACACCACCTCGATGTCCAGCGTTCCACAAGAGTGCGATTTTTAAGACATTTTCTGCCTCGCACAACCACTGTGGAACCAGCTTTAGCCGGCGGTCTTTCCGAACCGCTACGACCTGGCCACCTTCAAGAAGAGAGCGTATACTTTCCTTAAAGGCCGGCAACGCATCTGCAATCTCTGCGGTGTCGCAGATGTCCATGGGCGGCGGTGATAACTTTCCATCAGGTGAGCCTCCTGCCCGTTTGCCCCCTTAGTCCCATAAAAAAAAATTACCCCAAAGTAGTTCCCACTTAAATTTAAAAAAAAACCACCCCTAAGTGTAGAAAATAAGTGATGATTGATTTTTCACCTACTGAATTTTCAAAATACTTACTTCTTATGTACTACGACTACACTAAAAATGGAAAAATAAAAAGTATAAAAAAATAAATAAAAACCGACGGAAAAAAAGACACTAAAAAGTAAACTATAACTAATTCGTAGTTTTCATTTACTAAATATAGACACCTAATCAGATATTTTCAAATTCGGTGCTAGCCGATACAAATCAAACCATACCGATTTCGAAAATATCTGATTAAGTGTCTATAGTAAATGAAAACTAACAATCAGTTATTTTTTAGTTATTAGTGTTTTGTTGAAGTCTGTTTTTATTTATTGCTGAAAAATATTCATGAATATATTTAGTTCCTGCTCTTGGGATATAAAGCAATTTCTTACTTCTATAATGTTAACATTTTTTTATGTTGAGAAATGCATTTACGCCTACGACCTGTACGTGTACACATACAGGTGGTTATGTGGTTATATGGGAATCACCGCCTAGAGAAGCCAGTACTACCCACTGAAACCCAACAGAACCTTTTTTTTTTTTTTTTTAACGTTGGGAAATGCATTTACGCACGACGTGTGGGACTCACCGGCAAAGCCAGTACTACCCACTAAAACCCAACAAAACCTTCCCCCGTCTTAATGGGGCGTCGCAGGATCACTTACGCATTCAACTACGACGCCCCGACGGCAGGTCTGCCGAAGCAGACCACAACAACCACGGGGTTGCTCCACAGTCCACTCTGCTATCAGAGAAGTACCAGGAGCAACCCGCATGGTACACTGCCCTCCGAAGAAGGCCACCTCCCACCGCCCACCGAAGTGGGCCACCTCCCTGTGCGTTTCTTGGCTTCGCGCCCGGTTGGGTTGCCGGGCACTACTGAGCCCCCCCACCACGACAAGGTGAACGCACGTTGGGGGGGAACCCAACAGAACCTCCCCTAAGTGATAATTTGTGTATGCAATATTACACTTACGTGAAAATGTAATAACCATGGACGAATTAGAGACTGGACCTGACATAAAATACAAATGTATGAAAACTAGTTCAACCAAGTGACGCATTACGCACACAAAGATTTTATTACATTATTATAAACACTGATACACAATACAATATTTCTAGTGCTTGAACGTAATCGATAAAATACATATATCGATGAACTAATGAATGACATTTTAGACATTTGTAAGCATAGTCATCATATTTTACTACTTTTAATTTAAAATATCTGTATTTATATAATAAATTAAAATAAATGAATTAAAGAGGCAATAATAATGTGTCAAATAATAATTAAATAATAAATAAATAAATATGTTGGGACATTAACACAAAGCGCCATCTAGTTCCATGGTAAGCTACGAGGCTTGTGTTATGGATACTAGATAGTTGATACACTACACATATATAACTTTAAATACACACATATTATAAATATAAACACCCATGACTGGAGTACAAACATTTGTCATCACACAAATGAATGCCCCCAGCGGGACTCGAACCCGCGACCGCTGGCACAGCAAGTAGGGTCACTACAAACTGAGCCAAACATGTCATCAAACATATTTTTTTTAATTTGATTTATATAAATACGATGGCATTGATGGCTACATTCTGTTGGCCTATAATAATGTTAATGAACAAATGAATATCGGGTGTATATTCCATTAATATATAATAAATATTATTTTGTAAAGATTAAAAAAATATTAAGCTAATTTAATTAAATAAAGTGATTTTGTTGATTCTGTTATTGAACTATTTTAATTGGCAATTGATTGTCTCGGGTAGTTATAAAAATGTGATACTTTCCTAATATTGCTCAGTTCTTAATAAACATTTGTGAAATTAGGAAAAAGAAAAAGTGATTGCAAATTGTGAAAAAGTGAGTGTTGGATCGTGAAAGTAAAATAATTAGTGCAAGTGGTAAAGTGTTTTATTACAAATCGCCAACCCAGAAGTTTAGTGCTAAAACATTATTGTTTGATTTTGTGTAATTTATGTGTTGAAATAAAATGATCTTTATTATTATTACAATGGAATAATATTCCAAAGTATATAAATGTGGTATAAAATAAAATAAAAAAAAGTACACATACTAATTATAATTTTTGCATTTATATTTTTATTTGATTCAGAAAATATTATTAATTTATTGTCATCAGATTGTATGATACTGTGATAAAATATTTTATGTTATTGTACTGTACAAATAACACAATTCGTTCAGTTAGTTCGTCAAATATCGATATATTTTTCGACATTGTCAAGCACTAGTCGATGTCAAATGGACTCACTCGACAGTTTTGTCATTTGTTCTGAATGGTATAATCCAGCCCGTTTATGATGGTTGTCAGATGTCAACAATACATAGAAATATCGACTATATTTAACATAGTTGGATAATATGACATTTTATTTTAAATTAAATTGAATTTTGTGATAAATAACAATAAATGTAATAAAATAATGTATTTACAAGTGAAAAGAAATAGTGTTGCTTCCGCCGTTATAGTTTTTACACCATTTAACAGAACATTTAGTCATTTTTGGGAGATGTTTTGTTGACAAGTAAGTGCTTGAGACTGACACAAAAAACAAACGACCTAGGCTAAAATTACCCTGGTTACTAACATGACCGGTGAAGGTACGTCCGCTTATATGTCTGGTCCAGTGGTTAATTCGTTCATGGTAATAACCATACATTACATAATATTTAAATGTAAGAAATTATCACAATAGCATGTACACAAATTATGTTAAAGTCGTTCTGTAAAAACAAACAGAATAGATATAAATATGTTGGGACCTTAACACACAGCACTATCTAATACCACCATCCATGGTAAACTAAGAGCACAGAGTACTTTGGTATATACTAACAAGAGGCTTGTGTTATGGATACAGAGAGTTGATACACTACACATAATATATAACTTTTTTGCGACCGCTGGCGCAGCAAGTATCGATATCATATATCGATTTATTTCATCCGATATTCCGATATATCAAGTATCGTGAGAAATTAAAAGCACATTCCATTTCTTTTTTTATATTAATTCCTTTATTTATGGATGGCAACTTGAGTAAGAATAAAACGTAAAACCCCAAATTATTGAAAAACTAGCCTTTGCAATAACGGAACGCAAAGACACGAAAATCGAAAAGTATTCTCCTACTCTCCGTGAAGGCAGACTAGCAGTAGTAGAAATTTTATAATCTGTAACTGTGAGTCGATATATTTATATGATATATCGAAAAATATCGGTATATTCTTTACATGAACATCCCTAGTGGACCGACGTGGGAACCTTGTGGTGGAACGCCTAAAAACTAGACTAAAAACGCCTAAAATGCGACTTTGTCAGCTTGGTAAAGTGTAATACAGATGTATTAGGTAATTTACATTCAAGCATTTATGTAGTTTATATGCAAATGAAAATTTTTTTTTATAAATGTGTCTATAATGAAGAATGAACTTATTTTGAATTTAATGGTCTGAATAACGGGCCAAAGTAAATGCATATTTTTATTTGTCATTCATGATGCATATCCTCAGGAACACGGTGTACAGAAGCGAGTTTGATTCGCTAGTACTTTTAATAATGGGGAAGATTTCTCTAAAGGAAGGCGCTACACGTATGGCATGTTTACATTCTCGGAGGTTAAGCAATTTATTGATATCTCTTTTATACCTAGTTTTTTAGGGTTCCGTACCTCAAAAGGTAAAAAAGGAACCCTTAGAAGATCACGTCGATCACATCGTCTTTCTGTCTGTCCGTGTTTTTATCATTTGTGTTGTCAAGTCCGATGATCGTTAGTTAAAAATGTATATCTGTTGTGTCAAATAAATGAAATTGACACATTTGAAATTTGTCAGTGTCAAACAAAAACCAAAAACATTTATGCGTTACGAAAAAAATAATATTTTACAATGATAAAATGGAGATATTCTTAAGATTTGTCCCTACAAATCCGTTAAGATTAACAGCATCTAGGATACTTTTAACGCATGTAGCTCATTATACCCGGTAAGTAAGAAATTATTATAGCATTTGAATAATTAATTCGTATTGCGTACTTAACCTATGAATATTTTTGTCTTATAAGACTTGCTGAAGTGGGAAAATTAGAAGCACCGAAGACATCTGGCAAATATGAAACTGGGCAGTTAATTCTGCACAAAGTATTTGGATATCGAGGCGTTATTTTATTTCCATGGTTAGCAAGAGTGTATGATAGAGATGCTTCTAATAAAAAGGAAAGCCCGGAATCCTCTGGAACTGTTGATTCTTCGAGAGATACTCTCTCGAACGTTGGCAAGGAAGTTAAGGGCAGAACTCATACATTCTATCAAGTTCTAATTGATACCAGAGATGCGCCTTACATAGTAAGTTTATAATTCTTCCTATCAATCTTACTATTTAATTTAATAAGGTTTTGTTGTTTTACTTTGACTATATACTATTCAGATAAAAATCTGGACAAAAACCAGACTAGGGAGTAATTTTTGCAGAGCCTTGTTTGCCTTGTAAACTCTGTCTTAACCTTTTAAGTCACAGTCAATATCTCAGTACGGTCTATATGAGGTCAATCAATATTAACTTTAACTTCTGTTTAAAGGCATTAATTTCCAAAGTATGTGTAACATTTATAACCATACAGAACAAAATTTATATCATAGTGCAATTAATTTTCATTACTTGGCATTTGGAAGGCCAATTATTTAACAAAAAGTCAATAATATTCTATGCAAATGTGATAGTATAAATTTAGTATCCATACTTTAATATATTGTAAATGTGAAAGTGTGTTTGTTTGTTTGTCTTTCTTTCATGTCGAAACGGAGTGATGGATTCACTTGATTTTTGGTGTGAAGATAGTTGGAGAGCTGGAGAGTGACATAGGCTACTTTTTACTGCAGGAGATCATCTAATTCTCACGGGAAAACATGTTATAATACAACCCAAAAAAATATTTATGATCAGAATTACTTAAAACTTAGTATTCATTTTCTTTAATACAATTAAATAAATATGTGTTTTAAGATATTTGGAAATTCATCCTGTAAGGGGGATAAAATAGGGGATGAAAGTTTGTATGAATCCTACTTTTTATACAGATTTTTTTGTAGTTTTAGCATGAGAGAAGCTGCAGGTGCTGCTAGTAATGTAAATAAATGCATTATTTGCACCATATATTTTCTACAATATATATTATAATCAGAGAGGCAGTGGTAGCCCAGTGGTAACACGCTCGCTTGGGAAACTGAGTGAAGCGGGTTCAAATCCCGGGTCTCGCACTACTGATATTTTCACGTGCGAATCATTTCTAACTTGATTACCACTTGTCTTAACGGTGAAGGAAAACATCATGAGGAAACTTGCATGTCTGAGAAAACCTAGCAAGTTTTCGAAAGACATGTGAAGTCCGCCAACCCGCACTTGGCCAGCATGGTGGACTATGGCCTGATTCCCCTCGTACAGAAGGGAGGCTCATGCCCAGCAGTGGGATGTTAAAAATGGCTGAATACAATATTATAATCAATGCTGCTTTGTTAAAACTATATTGCAGTATTTAAAATACGAAGTTTTTTTGCAATATGAATAATTTCCTATATATATGAAAGTACACAGTAGAAAACATATTTGCAATTTAAAATATAGTAGTAATTACTCTTCGCTTGTTGAAACTTTTTCATCTTTTACTTATCTTTAGAAAGCATTTTTAAACTAATAAAAGGCAGTTAATAATGATATTTCAATATTGAGAGAATGAATGGAATTGATGTATGAGTATTTATGCAAAGCAACTTTAGTAAAGTAATATTTAATATTTTTATAGTGTTTTATTATAGTCTTGAATATATAATTTTTTTATATCTGTTATATTTACTTCATACTACAATATGTATTTCATTTCTGGAAGATTTATATTTAAGTACCATTTTAAATATCGTTTTTAAAAATCAATAATATTTTTTTTTAAATTGTATACAGTAAAATTAAATTATATTGCAAAGAGTATTAAATAAAAAAATCTATTTTTGACTGTGCAAACAAACATCGACATGAGACCTGAATGGAAAAAAAAGGTATTTTTATATGAATCTTTATGTGGATTTTGTAATAATAATATAACTAATTTTCAGGGTATTTAATCCTTAATTTTCGTACATTATAAACATAATACATTATAAAACTACTAATGATGTGCATTTCACTGGTTTGAAACAGCTTCTCTTTGTACTGTACACTTTTTAAAATTAAAATAGATCTTTTAAAATAGATATTTAAGAAACAACAGAATTATCATGCATGTATTGTAAATGTTTATAAAATAAACATTAACAATGACATATTCTTAATTCATCAAGTTTATCATAAAATTTAGTCATAATTCAATAATAAAATTATTTTCGGGACATGTAATATGATTAGAAAAAGCATCAAATAAGATAATTTATGTAAATATTGTCATTTACATACCAGTTAGCAAGATTAGATTGATATCACTTTTAAAAATATAAATATATACATATTTTAAATTATATATAATGAGAATTTATTATATATAAATAATGATTGCTTATATATTATTATTGAAGATATAAATACAAGCGAAATATGTATGTGTTTGGTTTGTAATAGAAAATGATTGGTTTTTGCTGTAATCATATGAATTTATAACTGATATATAAAAATAAATTCAACAAATATAAATCAATAGAAATAATACAAATTTAAATCAAATTATATTGAAGAAATATGATAATGAGGACAAATAATTCCAGCGTGCCCAAACTGAAGCAGTAACATTCCTCGGTAATCAAGAATCAAGCCGCAGTTTGTATGCAATACCAGGTCTGGACTATGTGGCTCATGACGACATCATACCCTACACGTCAGTGGAGCGCGTGCCTCTGCAGCATGAGCTCTTCGATAAGTTTCTCATGCACAATCCTGATAAAGGTAATATTCTTCTTTCTAGATACGTTAATCGGACTGGATATCATTGTAAATAGCAATAAATTGTAACAAGTATGTATGGGCTGAATACAAGTATGTATGTGTTTGTATGTCTGTTACTCATTTACTCTGAAACGACTCGGATTTTGATGATATTTTGTAAATTGATAGATTATAAATTAAAGTAAAGTAGTTAGAAGTAACACCTAGCCTACGCATAGGCTGTTAGGCATCTAGAGATGCATTCGGACGAAACGAAGCTGATAGTAATTAATATGGCTGCAGAGAATGATTGTTTTTAACGTCACAGAGAATAGAAACTCGTTGCTGGTAGGTTTGTGGTGACACACCCTCGATCCTCATAGAGAATGTTAACTTGACGGCTTTCAGACTAATTTTTCACTAGCCGCGTCGAAGTCATTCTGTTGGATTAAGATAGTGATGATAAAAGCAGTATATCTTGACACTTGCATACATACACGTGTGTATGTTTTCGGATATACATATTTCCCTATTGCCTACGTCATCTTGCAATTAAATATTTTAATATATTATTTTGTGTAATTAAGTAATAGGTGGTAAAAAGAAAAATATACTTTTAATGCAAAATAGTGTTTTAAAAGATTATTTTTCCTATTGCTCCATTGTAATTATTCATCTATATATACCTATAATAAAATTGTAACTAAGTCGAATCTGTACATTAAATATTTTTTGGAAAATCTTATTGAAATAGACATTATTATCGATACAGAGTCCGAATCTATAGTTTTTAGAATTTTTGTCTGTCTGTCTGTTACCGCATCACGAGAAAACCACTGGACAGATTTTGATGAAATTTGGTATGATGAGAGCTGGTTATCCGGGTCAACATATAGGATACTTTTTACCGCAGGAAAATATCTCATTTCTGAGAAAAAATACAAAGACTGCATTGTAAGAGTATACTAATATGTAAAACCAAAGAATTTGGTTTTTGGTCATCTGAGCCGCGGGCAGTGCTAGTACATTATATAAGAAACTCTAAAATAGCAAATACTAAAAACCAAGACTAAAATTAGACTAAGCTATCTCTGTGCCAAATGACTTAAGATTTGTTCAGTGATATTATCGTGAAAAGGTTAGGGCCGTCACACTTTTGGCATTTCTAATATAAAGAAATGCAAATCTCTTGACTTTGTAAGACAGCGCCGACGTAATAATATTATGTATTGGTTTTATATTGTTCGCATCGCATCGCGTATTATATTGTTAGTCTATATTCTATCGTTCCCTTACTCGTTGTTTCCCATATCCATAGGTAAAATAATGGGATCTGTTACAGAGAATAAGCTCACCATCGTTTATAATTATTGTAACTTAAAAAACAGACGCGTATACATATTATGTACGCAAGTAAGAAGTTATACCTACTTCTTTGGCGTAACAGAACAAAAATAGCTAAAGATTTCATCCTGTATATCACAACTCACTGTTCCTAAAAGGAATGCAGCTTTTTGGCTGTCGGTGTGCGCACGCGTCGTAAAAATTTTAATCTCATAATTTTTGCACAAGAATTTGCCAAAAGAAGTATAACTTCAAAATATATAATAATAACAGTATAACCTTTATAAAATATACTAATGGTGGGCACGAGCCTTCCTTAAATGCGTGGAGTATTAGATCATAGTTCACTCTGCTGGCTAAATACGTTTTTTATAGAACTTATGTTTACGTTTTAAGTAGAACTAATAATATTTTCGGATTTTTTCGCGAATTTATTTTGATTTTATTTAAAACTAATGAAAGTGTGGCAATGTCCCGCGGTAAAAAATAGCCTATATCACTCTCCAGCCCTCCAACTATCTCTACACAAAAAATCACGCCAATCCGTCTCTCTGTTTCGACGTGAAATAAGGATAAACAAAGAAACAAACAAACACACTTTCACATTTATAATATTAGTCTATAGTATGGATGTTAAATATTTGTGTAAATCGAAGAAAGTGTTATATTTTCAGATCCGCCATTTATAGCCCAAGAAACACTAAGAGCTTGGCAGAAAAAGAACCACCCGTGGTTGGAACTAAGTGACGTGCACCGTGAGACCACCGAGGGCGTGCGCGTCACCGTCATACCCTTCTATATGGGCAGCCGCGAGTCGCAGAACTCGGCTGTTTATTGGGTAATGTCTTATGTTATTGTTAGTCTATGCCAGTTTTTTTACATTTTTCTCCTTCGTTGCACTAACGGTGTGGAAGATTTGAATTCAATTTTGTAATTTGTAAAAGTTGAATTGTTACTTTTGTGGGTTTTTTCTAATATAGTAGGTTTTTTATTAAATAATTTGAGAATGATATGTCAAAGAGTTTTCAAGGTAGCGTCATAATTAACTGTTATGGCTAATAGCGAAGTGAAAACGGTATATTTTTTCGATTTCACCCTTCGCCACTGCTAAGTAAATAATAAAAAGGTATCAAATTTCCAGTGGCGGTATTGTATCCGGCTGGAGAACCTGGGCCCGCAGGCGGTGCAGCTGCGCGAGCGGCACTGGCGCATCTTCTCGCTGAGCGGCACGCTGGAGACGGTGCGCGGGCGCGGCGTGGTGGGGCAGGAGCCGCTGCTGGCGCGCCACGCGCCCGCCTTCCAGTACAGCAGCCACGTCAGCCTGCAGGCGCCCAGCGGGCACATGTGGTGAGTGAGAGGGGGGGCGGGGGATTGGCCTTCCCTGGGCGGCAGGGGCGCGTGACCTTCCTTTATCCCTAGATGGTACCTGCCGCCCTGCACGTCGCCGCGCGTGTAGCGCGATCGGGGCAATTTCTCAATCGGTTGAATGGTAACTGTCACACCCTGTATCTCCTTTTCCTGTTTTTTTTGCGGTAGCACCGCAGAAAGAGTTAAGGCTATACCGATCTTTTGATTTTTCGATAATACTGGGGCTAATTTTAACGCGTGTGTTTAGCTTAATTTATACCAGAGCACTGAATAACAGCATGTAGAGACAATTCTCATATTACCGCGATCGCCGTGAGCCCTAGATCGTCCCTGCGGCAGGTGTGTGAGTAACCCGCTTATGTAGTAGGTATAGGAGGAACATTGTGAAGGGGGTATGCGGTGTGTGTGGGAGAGGGTCAGTGTGGAGGGGGCACGTGTCGCGCGTGTCTGACGGTCCACTAACCTGATGCGTGTCTATGTGCTATGAATAATGTAAAACTTTCTTTAGCTTCTTTCTTTCTTATATATTCATATAAATGGAAAACTTATAACGTTAGATTCTAAGTTTTAGATTCTTCGACAAAAGTAATCGTAATTCTTAAATTATATCGATAATTGAATTTATGTGATCAGTTGACGTAATCTTTGGTATGTTAAGAACATTTTCTTATATATGCCAGTGTAGATACTTCAACACTAACAAAATTCTATAATTTTATAATAGGGGAACATTCAGAATGGAGCGTGAAGACGGTTACACGTTCGACTGCCGCATCCCGCCCTTCTCGCTCGAGAGCAAGCCCGACGAGGGCGCTCCCGTCGCGCCCACCGCCGCCGCGTGATGTCACCGCCCGCCCCGTGACGTCACCACCCGTTACGACCCGCCTGTGACACTTTCCTGATCCGTGACGTCATCACTCGTCACCGCCCGCCCTAGCGTGACCCCAGCGCTCCACACATGACACAGACTAAAAATGATAAATTGCAAATAAACAAGTACGATAATACAAATAAATTATTTTTGCAATTATTATTATTATATTTGAGATTAATGTGACTGTTTGTGACAAATAAATTTTCAGATTCTTTAGTACTTTATTATGGCTAATAGATGGGTAAATCCATCAGATTGTTACAATTTTTTTATATCTCATTCCCTTATTTTTGATTGAACAATTATAATATTTTTGTTAGAAATTAAAATAGATTTCATTTTGTGAAAATATTTATTTAGGTTGGCAATTTATCATCTTTAGCCGACTATATCTATTTCTTGATTATTCTCATGCTATTGTGATGCTCGCGCTCAAGTTATTATTGTTAGCACTAGCACTATTTATTATGAAATTGAAGCCATTACCGTCTAGGCTATGATCAAAAAAATCTTAGTCATTGTAATAAATGTCTAGATCTTTAATAAATTACAGTATTCTGTTGATCTGGATTTTATTTTCATTTTTTTCTGTTATTTGTGTAAATTGTCCAAAATGCATAAAATAAAAGCTAGGATTTTTTTTAATACTAGAGACGCGCCCAGTCATTTTTTAAAGTGGCACCATGTATGCATAACTACTACATGTACTTTCTCGGTGGTCTAGTGGCAGCGTGTACGGCTGCCGATCCGTAGGTCCTAGGTTCGAGAACTGGATTTACTTAACCATTGTTACTTACTGGATTTTTCTATTACGGAATATTATGATTAGCAAACCGAAAATGACGGTGCTTAAATCTACGTGCCTCGGAGAGCACGAAAAGCAATCAAATGAAATATTAATAAGATCAATATTATGGTTATTTTCTATATCCTATCAGGATTGTTTAATTAAATACAGGTTAATATCCTCAATTACAAAAGTACAAACGTAAATGTATATAACCCTAACTTAAAAAAATATTATTATTTTATTTCTAACTATTCAATCAGATGGATCTTCTATCGTATTGAATTAATTAATAAAACAAAACTACACTTATCGCCATTCCACACAAGATGACAACTTAAGAAAACTCATTATTAAATAAAACTATCTTTTCGGATTATTTCGCGGATTTATTTTGATTTTTGGTTCCCGACGTTTCGAATGCTTTACAGCATCCATGGTCACGGGAGAGACTGAGGTGTTACATGTCTTAAAGATATAGTTGTTACAGACAGCCTACCCACAATCAACAAAATGAAAATTGCACCAATTACATTACAATATTTTAACTTTAAACATTTTTATAATTTTAATTATAATTGAATATGGAAAATTATTTATTTAATTTTTGCTATTATTTTTATAATTATTACAATTTTAAAAATATTAATTAGTAATCTATATTTAGTGTTGCCATTATTATATTTATAACCATAAAGAAAAATATAAAATATAGTATTAATTATTTAAGCCATATAATTTCAATGAGTAATTTAAAAAAGTTAAAATTAATTAAGGATTACAATTTTAATTTAGTTTGCTATTATTTAAAAACAACTTACTAAGCAACACTATTAATATATACTTTTACAAATGAAAAATGAAATTTTTATTTTTCTTACACATTGAACAATTATATGGCTTAAATAATTAATACTATATTTTATATTTTTCTTTATGGTTATAAATATAATAATGGCAACACTAAATATAGATTACTAATTAATATTTTTAAAATTGTAATAATTATAAAAATAATAGCAAAAATTAAATAAATAATTTTCCATATTCAATTATAATTAAAATTATAAAAATGTTTAAAGTTAAAATATTGTAATGTAATTGGTGCAATTTTCATTTTGTTGATTGTGGGTAGGCTGTCTGTAACAACTATATCTTTAAGACATGTAACACCTCAGTCTCTCCCGTGACCATGGATGCTGTAAAGCATTCGAAACGTCGGGAACCAAAAATCAAAATAAATCCGCGAAATAATCCGAAAAGATAGTTTTATTTAATAATGTCAAACATTCGCGTAAATCTAAGAAAGTATTAAGAAAACTCAAGTATTTTATATCAGAACTGGCAACTTACAGAATCAAATATTTATTTTACTTAAATATAAATCCTATTTTCATATAAATTAATAATTTATATTATTATTAGTGTGACAATGGCTCTCAATAAAGATGTCGTTCGAAGTTTTGGCTTACACTTGAACTTAGAACACACGTGCTTTTTTAGTTTTGAAATTTATAATTATTTCTCGCTTAGGAATTTGTGTAAACGCACCTTTCTTGATCATTACAAATAAAACTATCTTTCCCGATTAAATACGCGAAAAAGTCCAAAAAGGTAGTTTTATTCAAAACTAGACTCGTCCTCGCTCCGATCGGGTTAGTCCCTAGTTACGTTTAGTATAGATTTCTTAGAGATGACGTATTTTCCCGCAGTAAAAACCAACCAGTTATCATACCAAATTTCATCAAAATCTGCCCAGTCATTTTTTCGTGATGCGTTCCCAGACAGACAAATATTCTTAAGCCTATAGATTCGGCCTCTGCATCAATAATAATGACTATTTCAATAAGATTTTCAAAAAAATATTTAATCTACACATTCGACTTAGAATTTTATTGTTAAGTTATATAATATAGTTGTTACAGACAGCCTACAGCCACAATCAACAAAATGAAAATTGCACCAATTACATTACAATATTTTAACTTTAAACATTTTTATAATTTTAATTATAATTAATTATAATTATATATATTAATTTTAATTATAATTATATTATTATTAACTTATAATGTATTGTATTCTTTTATATGTTATATCTTTTTAATTTTTATCCTTCACTTATCATTAGAGGGTAAACAATAAAATACTATTTATCGATCTAAGCTTTATTATCTTAAAGGAGTTAAATTGGAATTTAAAAGAATCACACTCCACTCATAAATTAAAGCTGTACATAACGTTTGTACATGATTCTTAAATAAATAATAAATTAGTTCGTTTGAGATGAAAATTAGTCTACTATAACCAGCAATAATACTCACTTAAAGATAAAATTTCAGTTATAATGTGCGATTTTTTTAATATTTGAATTAGTAACGTTAAACAATTTATTTTGTTCTAAGTTATGGCTGTTCTAAAATGAAAATTAAATAAAACTAGGTATTTTTATGAAGGTTGTAAGACCTCCGTTATTTTAAAAATACTCTATATCAAGAGTTGACAGAGAAAAAATTACCATTTAAAAAAAAACGAAAAAGTAACATAAGTGATTGAACGTTTATCTTATGTGTTCAATAAACATAACCTATACTTTTATTATTCAATATGCCTATCATTCATAGTAAGTATCTGCAGCTTGAATACTTACTAAAAATAAGATGTCTGCATGAAAAATACAAAAATATTTGTTTCCAAATTCATAGAACATCATACCAAATTTCATCAAATAGACAGACAGCAATATGGTTGTTAAAATTGACAGTATGAAAAGAACCTTAATTGGGATTCTGAGGTATATATAATATATATATTTTGGTGTAAAACAGATAATAAAGAACTGACCCAAAAATAATTTTGCTATATTTTCAATTAATAAACTACAACTAAATTCTGAAGGAATATCCAAACGCAGGTTTCAAATTTCGAATAATGTGTGTGCGTCCATACTTGTTTTAAAAATAACATAACAACATAACTACGATAAACATACGTCACGACACAAAGGCGCAGGTACTCAGGCTACAGAAATAACGCTCTTACGATACAAAGGCACTTTAATTTTTCTTTGGTTTAGCACTCGTGTATCGATACAGGATCACTTCACTATTTACAAACATATCTACATACATACATGTGCATATTTTACAATATTCTTTCGCGTTAATTTTATTTATTAAACATCTTATTTAATCTAGAAACAATTCTTAAACAGATCAGCTAATAACAATGTTCAATCTAATATTGAATTTAAAATTATATTGACGACTCCATTTCGACATTAAGGGGCACTTGTGGCAATGATTTTAATTTCAGTATAATTCAATTTTCTATTTAATTTAAGGAGTACGTACCCTCCTAAGTAAAGTAAGGAAAACTACCTCTGTGTATAAAAAGTGACCGCTGACAAGCATCAAATTGGTAGCGCCACAGAAAAAAAGTAGATGAATTTAAAACATAGCGTCAAATGTATAAGATACAAGGTTTTACAGGTTATATTTACGGAATTATTTTGTACTACGTAAATAGTTTAGATTTTTATACTGCAGTTTTATTAACTACATTGGCCAGCAGAGATGTTAAATTTTTATATTCAGCACACTTCACTCCGTTTAAAACTGCAAACTTCACATCACATCTACTTGCTACGCTAGCGCTATATCGGTGAGTTTCTGAATTACAATTGCTGCTCACCACTGGGCATTTTTCCAACTTGTTTCCTATATAAGACGGTTCTCCTTACTTCTGCCCTCCGTAATTTAATGTCTTCGAAACGTGTCAGTTGAGAACAGATTACTTCGCCAATGTCACGTAGAATGGAGAAGACAAAAAGGTGATTGGGCGGTTAATTTAAATTTATGTCTTAATCCCTTCACGACCGCGGACACTCAGTTAACAATAGATTTCTTAGAATTTTAATTAATTTCTTAGAAATTTACCTGGATGTGTTAATATGTTCGGTAAATGTCAAATCGTACAATTTGACGTTAAGCAAGTATACAATTCAATTGTTTAAAAAAGCCAGCTAATGTCATGTAAAATGGAGAAGAATTCTCTTGTTACTTTCTTCGAAATGTTCCAGTTTGAGCATAAATTAAACTATATGAAACAAGGACTTGGTTCAAATTGCCCCTAAAATTATTGATGCAAGAGTTCCTAAGTTCGGTTTTTAGTTTATTCGGTAAAGATAAGAATCACTACAGCAGAGATTTCAAAAATATAGCGTTCGATATAATTTTAACAAGGATTTCCTATCATACCTATGGTAATATTATATATATACAAGTGATAAATTAACAATTCAAAATACCTCCAACCATCTTGAACCGATTTTAATCAAACATTCCCGACTAATTCACCTTTCAAACAAAAAAAGAACAAAATCGAAATCGGTTCATCCGTTTGGGAGCTACAATGCCACAGCCAGATACGCACACACACAGACACGTCTAACTTATAACACCCCGTCGTTTTGGCGTCGGGTGTTAAAAACAAAGTCGGGTTTGTTACAACACTTATAACTCGAGAACTGTTGGGCCGATTCTTATGATCTTTATTTTGTTGGATTTGTCTTCACCCCGAATAGCAGAATAACTATTAAAACATCGGAAAAATTCACGAAAAAAAATCACGAAAAACTATTCCATACTAAGCATCAAAACGAACCGGGGGACGAACCTGAGCGAAGCGAGGGTGAGTCGCTAGTATTCTAATAAATATACGCCACGCATGAAGCAAAATTTCATACAAGATAATCGAATTTCATGTATAGCAAAGGAATCAAAACTACCAAATTAAACTACTTTTCCCTAACATTTAATCACAATGAAGATTGGAGTCTTTTGGAGTCGTCAATATATAAATACCATATATCTAATACTACTATATTACTAGTGCTCGTAAGTAAGCTCGTAAGGCAGAAATTTATCTTTTTTTCTTCTTATTTAAGCAGTTGTGTGCGTAATTTATGACTAACGCACACATGCAAGCATGATCAATTCTCGCGCATGCGCAAAGTCTCAAAAGTAATTAAGAGATATATAGACGTATTAGGTATATGGCAAACATTTCTTTCAATAGTAAATACTGATGTAAAACGTTGGCCTCGACTGGCATGTGCAGTACAATATAACACATAATATAAAAAATAAAACAATGCTGTAAGTGTTAAGTTTCGATCAAAGTTTGCTTTTGTGTGCATAAAAAAAGAATTAATTACGTCATATCAAAATTTTTGTTAGAATCACCTAGTAATTATTTCACAGTAACTACTTATGTAGCAATAGTCAAAGAGCCAAATATTATTATTTTGACAGCTGTCAAATATTTAAATCAAACGTCTGAACAAACCAGTATCTTAATTTACTTTTTTATAATATTTCTTACTTCTTAAATAAGCATTTGACGTCACTTAATGTAGTTTTAAATTAATAAGTTAGTAAGTGGGAAGATATTGGAGATTACCTCTTCCGACATACGCATGCATTCGGCTCGGGATTATTTCAAAACCAAAATATACATATCGGATACAAATAATCAGATATCCGAAATTCAGAAACAATAAAAAAGATAATATAATCGTACAACATAATATCTACAATAATAACAGTTAATTATGCATTTTAATTTTAAAAAGCCTTATCAAATTGTTTAGAGCGGTATGATTCGACAAAAAATGAATGATGATAAATGAACAATTTAATTCATGAATTTCCAATGCCGAGTTAAACGTTTCTTAAATAATACTAATATCAGGTTGTTAGCGCAAAAATGGCAGAACTTATATTTTTTTATATTATCTGTGAAAAAAAATTTAGAGAAATATTCCCATTGCAAATCCGTATTAATATTATAAATCTGAAAGTTTGTGAGTATGGATGTTTGTTACTCTTTCACGCCAGAACGGCTGAGCGGATCTGGATGAAAGTTGGCACAGAGATAGATTATAGTCTGGAATAACACATAGGCTACTTTTTATCCCGGAAAAATGTACTGTTCCCGTGGGGTAGGTTTGTATTTGTTTTGTAAAATAATAAATAATAATCATGTTAATACTAAATTTTTAGATTTTATTTTAATAAATACACATATCACTTTTTCAATGAAAATCATTTATCAAAGTTAGGCCACTTTTGCCCTAACATTCCCTCTATTCCAAACTCATACATACATACAAACAACATTTGTAGGAAGTCAGTATATAGGAAGCGCTACATATTACCTAGCAAGTTGTATGATGAGGGCTGCGCACATTTCAAAGAACTCCATAGTGTGGTGGCCTTGGGGCTGTGTGGGAGTGAGAGGGGGAATGCACGGCGAGGGGGAGGGAGCGAGAGGGGACATCTCGTCATCTGGCTCCTCTTTTTCTCCGGAGAGGGATTTGAAGTCCAGCAGATATGACTTGTAGTCCACTTGGTATAGCTGAAGCGACATCTTCACGTGTTTCTGAGTCATTTTGTTCAAAGTACGCACCCTGGAAGGGAACAATTAATTGTTATTTAATTACTCTCAGTGTTTAAATTCCACAGTGACTAAGCGCGGATCTATTCCTTCTTCCTCAAAAGTGGTTGTGGTCACAACCATCCGAAACACGGGTAAGTACGAATCGGAGTATAGACTTACTTGCGAAGTTTACTTTGCTTAGAATAAAAAAACAATCTCTCTGCGGTAGTTACGCAGACAGAGACAGACAGACAGAGACAACAGTATTCATATAAGGATTTTTTTTATTTATTGAGGCATTAGATATAACATCACCATATCGGTCACAATTTCTGTTGTGGGCATGCCCACCGTGCCCATAACGGTGTATCTGCGCTTGAATGTCAGTGACTGGTTTCAGAACAAATGACAGCACTTTCTAGTACACTAACTTAATAATAATATTTTTATTTTGTCTATATATTTTATATAGACTAAAAAGTGGACGTTAGTGACATTGTTTGACAAGGTACAACGTACCGTGGTATAAAATCTCATCACACAATTTTTTATGCGAATTATATATATGTACATACAAAAACTACTTTTATAGATGCCACCAAGCAAAGCGAGGCTAAGTCTCGAGTTAATAACAATGATTAATCGTTTGAAACTAAACTTTCTTTTCGGATTTTTTCGCGGATATATTTTGATTTTTCGTTACCGACGTTTCGGCACTATCTGTGACAACTATATACACCAGGAGTTCTCAACCAGGGCGTAGAGAGTTTATTTTGTATAACTTAAAATTAAAATAAATAAAAGTTGTTAACACGTCCAGGTAAATTTTTAATAAATTAATTAAATTTCTAAGAAATCTATTGTTATCTGTAACGCCGGCGTGTCCGCGGTCGTGGAGGGATTAAAATAATGTGTTTTATTATAATAAAGAAAATAAAGATATGTTTTATAATCCGAGGAGGCTCAACAGAAAAAAGGTTGGAAAACCCTGACATAGACCTTTGAGAAAAAATCCGAAAAGATAGTTTCATTTAAAATGTCAACTATTCGTATAAATATAACAAAGTATAATGTTTAATTAGTTTAAAGTTTAAATTTTAGTAAATTTTAAAGAACTTACCTGACATGATAAGGGTTAATGACTTTCCACTCATAGTCCAATGCCTTCATGGCGCGGAACACTTCTAACATAATATCATTAGGTTTACTTTGCGACCTGATACCTAAATGCCATTTAGCCCTGAAATAAAATTATTAAAAAGATAAAAACAAAGCAATTTCAACTCAAAAATTTTTGAGTAATTAAAAATAATTTTAGTTAAAAGAAAACATGTGTGTACTTATGAATTATACTTCTTTGGTGTAACAAAAATAGCTAAAGGTTTCATCCCGTACGTCACAACTCTCTGTTTGTAAAACGAAAACAGCTAACTTTATCATGTCGCTTTTTGTATCGTAAAAATTTTACTCTCAAATTTTTTTTCCAAACGTGCCAAAAGAAGTATAACGTCAAAAATAAGACAAACTGGAATTAGTACACTTTGTCAAAACGTATCATATTATACTAATCTCGGAGATTTTACTGGTAGCTATTGAAGAGTTCCCATAACCATATATATTCCCAACCACTATCTCTTTTTCGTCAGATCAGCTAGATGTTATCAAGTAAAGCTATCCTTATTCGGACTTTTTCGGATTGAGTGAATGAGTAAGTGATTGAGTGAATGAGCAAGTGATTGAGTGGACGAGGAAGTGTTTGAATATGAGTGAGTGAGTGTGAGTAATTAAGTAAACAAACATTACCGTTTGACAGGCGTGCCCTTCTGCTTGTCCTGCGCGGGCTGCGCAGCCGGCGACGTCTTGTCGCGCAGGGGCGCGATGCGCTCGGGGTGCGGCCGCCCGCTCTCCGAGTGCGCGGGCGGAGAGCTGTCTGGGCGTCGACAATGTTATAGCGATTCGACTGTATATATTATATTTCAAATTTTATACAAAACATATTTAAATTTATATATGTATGTATGTACAAATCACAAGAATGTAACCCTTCCCTTTCAGTTTATAAAACTCACGCTAGAATCGAAAATAAATATGACGGCACGTTTGGCTCAGTTTGTGCACACCCTACTTGCTATGCCAGCGGTCGCGGGTTTGAGTTCAGCTGGGGGCATTCATTTGCGTGAGAGCACGAATGTTTGTACTCTAGTCATGAGTATATATAATATATTTATAATATAAATAAATAAATATGCTAGAACATTAATACACAACACCGTCTATTTCCATGGTAAGCTACGAGGCTTGTGTTATGGAGACCAGATAGTTGCTACACTACACATATATAAACTTTAAATACATACATATTATAAATATAAACACCCATGACTGGAGTACAAACATTCGTGTGAATTTAAAGTTATATATTATGTGTAGTATATCAGCGAAATTAATAGATAGAAATAATAGATCCATATTGATATCATAGATCAGCAGGCATAAACAGACAAACATTTTATTTTGAGCTTTCGTATTCACCAATAAGGGTGAAAGTAATGGAATTACTTCATTGTATACTATACATTGAAGTTGAGTTTGTTAGTACCAATTACAGAAACAACTGTACGAACTATATACTTAAGTATTTGATTCCCCATATAAACTTTCAACTCCCTATTTCACTGGCTTCAAGTTTTATTTTCGCGACAAAAAGAAGCTTAATATGTCCCTCTCCAAGGTACCATCTACTTATGTACCAAAATTTCCATCATCCGTTAAGGCGTGAAAACGTAACAGACAGACAGAGTTATATGCACTTATAATATTACATAATACTTTCTTAGATTTACGCGAATATTTGGCATTTTAAATAAAACTATCTTTTCGGATTTTTAATTTTTTCGCGAATTCATTTAGATTTTTGGTGCCCGACGTTTCGAATGCTTTACAGCAATCATGGTTACGGGAGAGACTTTTACTTTTAATATTAGTTTGGATTAGTAGAACTTACTGGCAACATAGAAGTCCTTGATCTCAGCTTTGGCTGCCTCATCGGCTATCCTCTTGTTATCTATAATTAGATGGTACGCGATAGCTAGTTGGTCGTGAGGGTCGCCACTTAGCAACGCGTTGTGTACTTCATTCTCGCGTACACCGAACTTGTCGCACACTTCGGATATGGCCTCTGTGTCTATCACGCTGCTGTCCTGTTGGGTTTGTATTGTATGTTAAACTAGCTTCTGTTCTTGGCTTTGCTTGTTTAGTTTTTAAAGTTCAATATGGTTTTATATGAGCAAATGGTTAAATTGGACAAAGAAGAAATACATTTTGTTATGTAAATAAAATGCATTATCATGATGGTCGTTATGACTCACTATTCTTACATGTTTTGCTATTCACGACTTATATAACTAGCATAAATTATAAAACAACATTTAAATAGCAAGTAAAATCTATCTATATATTCAGAGTTTATGTAAAATCGCTTTAACTATACCGATTCGAATATCTCAAAAATACCCTACGCGGGAATCAAACCCACGACCAGTTTGACATAATAATGACACAATCTTACTTACAAAGAGAGTGCTTTTTGTATACAGGAAAAATTTATGTGGTTGCCAACACAAGTGCAATTTATTTCTTCACACTCAGTTCAGTTGAAGAAATTTGATACAATCGTTGAGAAAATAGGTGTAGACGGGACGCGACACGGGCTTTGTCCTGGCACAGGGGTGTAATGTCACTAAACTTCTAACCTCCAGGCTGCCACCAATAACTATTTTAGTATGACCCGGGACTCAAACCTGGGCTTTTATGATTTGCAGGTAAACATGCAACTATTATACTAACAAGGCAGTCCAGTTACACATACATATTATATACAGAAGACCCACTGCCGTCCTAGAATACTTATTAAAAAATAATGTACAGTAATATTAAAAGTCAAATCATTCAAATTATTATGTAAAACAAAAACACAATTTTAAAAACATTATCTAATATACATACAACACATATTATATTATAATAATCACAAAATATAAAACTCTGGTGACCAAACAGTTAGTTCCCTTTTTTTTTAAAGTTTGAAAAAAAGTCTTAGTGTTACCTTCAATATGACAAGCCAAAGTCAAAAATATTTATATACATAAAAATCAATTGCCATTCATTAGTCTCGTAAAAACTAAAACGATTCGAATAATTCTTTTGTTTTGTTGGGGTATAAGTATAAAAAAAAAATTGAAAACCCAAAATAAACACTGGAAAATCAAAAAGTTCAGATTTTTGTACCTATGTATATATAATATATAATCTATCATTCCAAACTAACCAATTAAAACATACATAGGGACGAATACAAGCGAAGCGAGGATGAGTCGCTAGTCAACTATTAAAATTGAATATTTCTTTTAGAGATCATTTTGTGTCAAGGATTTGCTTAAGTTTTTATTCAAATAATGAACATAGTGAATAAACATTTAATCAAACATTTGGTCACACTTGCATGCTCAAATTTAAAATATTCACTTTTCATATCTTAAAATAGCATGCAAAAATACAGTGACACCCATTTAGAAACAATTCCAAAAATATACCTAAGTCCTACATAATAATAAATTAATTAATATATTAATTAAAAAAAAATAAGGTTAGTTACCATTGACCGCTATTCAAACCTATAGTTAGTGAAAACTCAATAATTTTGATTACCACCTGCTCCACTGGTGAGGGGAATAAATAACCCGGTAGATCTTTCTGGAACCACTCATGTTTTTTAACATCTTCAATAGTTGACCTTTTCATTGGATCAACTTGCAACATGTTGCAAAGGAGACTCACAACACTCTTGTTTAAGTACTCTGGTATTGGGAATATTCCAGACTTGATTTTCCTAAACAAAGTAGGCACATGATCATCGTCAAATGGTAGTGTACCGCACAGTAAGGCATAGAGGATGACTCCACATGACCACACATCAACTTCTGGTCCAGCATATAGTTTTCCTGATATGACCTTTAATGTAAAAAATATATATAATTTTGTATTAAATGTTTTATATTGTTATTTATTACTTATTAGTAATGAAAATATACATTTAATGTAGTATGGATTTTACTACAGTAAAATTTGCCAATGGCAAGTAACATGTACATGAACATAATAGAGAGACAGATGACCATATAATAATGATTATATAACCATTAGGTTTTTAATTACCAGTCTGTAAGTTCCATAAAATGATATTACATCATTTGTTGTTTTTAGTAGTAATAAATTAAAACAAACATATAAATTAGACTTTAGTTATGATATAATTTGAATGAAAAATTAAAAAGTTAGTTAACATATATTAAAATTACCTCTGGAGCAGCATAATTCGGTGATCCACAGGAAGTCCTCAAAAACTCACCATCCATCATCATATTGGATAAACCAAAGTCAGCTATTTTTACATGCATATTGTGATCCAGCAATAAGTTCTCTGGTTTCAAATCTCTATGGACAATCATGTGTCTATGACAGTAATCGACCCCTGATATGATTTGTTGAAAGAAGCGCCTGGCCTCATGCTCTTGTAACTTGCCTCGTTTTACAATATAATCAAACAACTCCCCACCAGAGACATACTCCATAATCATAAATATATCTGTTGGTGTGGATATCACCTGTAATATGTGTTTATAAATAAGTACATTATAATGTATTGGTATACATATTTATAAACAAGAATATAACAAAATTTTCATTTGTTTGAAGTCAGTTTCATTTTCAATATGTATTAGATCATACCTGATATAATTTAATTATATGGGGATGTCTAAAAAGCTTGAGGTTCTGTATTTCACGTCTAATCTTTCCGACGACATCTAGAGATTTGATCTTTTGCCGGTTAAGGATCTTCACAGCAACCTTGTGTTTTGTAAGTTGATGTTCTCCAATTTTTACTTTACCAAATGTGCCTACTCCTAAAGTATTTCCTAATGTATAGTGTCCAATCTTCACAATAGGCTGATTGCCACTCGCCACCACAGGTTTATCAGACATTATTTACGACTAATTTTTCAAGATCAAGGAACAAGGTTGTAATAGGTTTGTCCTACACTAGATAACAATCACATAAGAAATTAAATTTATAAAAGTATAAAAGTCATATGAGGGAATAATTAAAGCAGCAAGTGAAAAATAAACACTCAGGAAAAATTATTGATACCTTGAAGCACAAATGACAAAATTTTTATCCCTGTTTTAATTGTCAATGTCAATTTTTTTTATCAAAACATGAGACTACCATAGGTAAATAATAAAACTCTTTAAAGTTTTGTACAACGCGACACAAATGTCATTTGCATTATATTATTCAAGATTCTAGTTCTAGTAATTTAAAATTAGAAAAATATTAAATTGTACAGTAATAATTTTCTTAAACACTTATAATAAGAAAAACTGTCTTTAGGCGGTTTTCTGATCAGGATTTATATAATATATGGTGTAGTAATTTACTATTATACAAGAAAATTTGTAAGTCATCACTTGCTTTTATGTGTTTTATTTCATAAACTATGCTATACATAAATGGATAGCAGTAAAATGTTATAATTTTACTTTTATGAATCATAATTTTATGTTAAACGCCGTTGAATGGGTATGTCCAGCGTACGTCAATAAAAAAACAATAAAATTTTAGGGTATATAATCTATGTTTGCCTGCCCCACTGTGCCCCACCCCGCTTCTGTCTGTGTCTTTTCACTGACTAGCTGTCGTATAATGAGTAAAATACTAATATTGACGGAATTATTGTTGTTTTTATTAATAAATTGAAGAATATACAATTCCACAATGGATAAATGTGGAATCTGCCTAAAGCCTACAGTTGTAAGTACTCTTTAATATTTATTTAATGACTATTTCGCTGAATATATTTTTGTTTTCTTTTTGGAAATTGTTACAAAAATAACATCTGAAATCAGATTTCCTAATATAAGGGCATTAAAGTAATTCATTTGTGCCTAGTTTCCATTTCTATTTAACTACAATCTAAAAATGTAGCACCTTCCTGCAGTTGCAATAAAAAACCTGCATTCGAAACCTGCCCGCGGTATTTTTTTTACTTCCCTCGACCGTCGGTCTGTTTTTTTACGTCTGGCTCTGCGTCGTATAAAAAACATTTGTGTTTATTTTTTTCTGCTCGACAATATCGAATGCTAGCTTTCTGTGTTTCGATATCTCATGGTAATAATTTTATAAATTGAATTTGTTGTTTTATTATTTACATAAAAATTGCAAATGCCGGCTTCGGTGGTTTTATTTTTTAATGTTATGAATAGAAAATTTTAAACTGTATATAATTATAATAATTTTTCAAAATAAATATCTGCTTATTATTTTATACTTTTACTTCTTTACACCTTAAAAATAATATTTATCTAAATAATAGATAAGCCATTACCTTTTTTTCATGTACATATTTAATTTTTTAGACATTATTTGAGACAGGCAAAGATGGTGTATATGCTTGTTTTAAATGCCAGCCTTTGGTACCAGAAGTAACATTAGATGATGCTAATCCAGAAAGTTCAGATCAACAGCCACAGTCTCCTGTGAAAGAAGAGGTAAGTTGTTTTAATCTTGTACTTTAAAATAATTAACGACTGACTATAAGAAAAAAAAATGTTTCTTTGCTTTAAAGCAAAAAATGAGTATATTAGCATATAAGTTTTAAAAGTTTTACATATCTCTATAAACGTTTGGTCTTGTCTAAAGAAAAAAAAATTCTGCAATTTAAAAAAATACAGATAAAAGTAAAATATGGGTCAAAGGCGAGTGAGTCTAAAGAAAGATTTTATTTCAATTACATAACTATAACTTTTTGTATAAGTGTTTATTGTTTCAGTAGATTTGACAAAAAAATGATCAAATCTACAGTATTTATCTTATAATTGTGTCACTCTTTAGTATTGCTGGATAGTAGTCAAAAATAATATTGGTCAGGCACAGGTCCAATTAATGCATTTTATAATCAATACCAAATCTAACCAAAAAACTGGATAAATTCATTTTGGATTGGTGTTCAATATTATTTCCACAAAATTATAGCTTGCAAATTATAAACATGATTAATTTCTGAGCAGCAAAGTTATATTAAGAATATGATTACTTTCTGAACATAAATATTATGTATTTAGATGATTCAAAAGTGCTTGTAATAAGTCTTATTGAACAAAGTTTACTTCATTTCATTTTAACTGGTGTACTAACCTATACTAATATTATAAAGAGATAAAGTTTGTGAGTTTCTAAGGTTGTAAGGTGTAATCTCTGGATTTACTGAAGCGATTTATATGAAATTTGGTAAGAAGATAGTTTGAGACCCTAAAAAAGACATAGGATACTTTTTATCCCGGAAATGAAACCAGGGATGAACCCGAGCGAAGCGAGGGTGATTCGCTTGTATTATGTATATATATAATAATTAGCATTATCATATAAATTCTTAAGAAAACATATTTGCTTTTGCAGGAAAGTGAAGGAAATCTATACTGTGGTATTTGCAATAAAACATTCCACAAAAGCATGCAGCTGCAGAACCACATGCGCAATCACCGTGCTGAAAGGAGATTTGTATGCACCTATTGCAATAAAGGTAAAAATTTTTTACATTTATATTTAACTAGCAGAACCCGCGGCTTCGTTCGCGCTACAGAAAATCTCTAAAAAAAGTAGGTTTCATACAAAATTTCATCCAGTATTTTACCCTTTTATGGGATGAATTTCGCAAAATGTTAAAACACTTATTTATTGCGAAAATCGGTGCTGACACGCGGACAGACAGACGGACAGACGAACAGGAGAGACACAAGTGAGTGATCTTATAAGGTATCATCGAACTCGGATCTCATAAGGCAGAGATATCCAATAGCTCTTTTTGCCCCTTTTTGGAGGAAGTACCCCTCCAATCAAAAATCCCCGACGACAAAAAAAAAGTATAAAATCGTAAAACCTGTATACCAATCACCAAGTTTCGTCTATATTGGCTGTAAAATACGTATAAATAATAAGTAATAAATTATATAGAGAAGTACTAACAAATAGACAGAGGAAAGCAAATTTTGTCAGACTTGATGCAGAGACGCTTCGCTCGCTCGGTTAATGAATGAAATAACTATTGTGTTGTTTGTATAAACTAATGTCTGGAACACAGATTGTAATAAATAAAATAAAAAAATAGTATTGAAGTAAATAAGAAACCTAAATTCAAATAATAATATTAATGTTTTTAAATCAAAATCAACTTTAATATTTTGAATCTGGTTTTAATCAATGCAGGTTTCATACCACAAGAGTTGCAAATGTTGAAACCTTCAGTGCTTGTGTAAATCATATTTTATTTACATTATGAAAAAGTTAACTTCTTGCTTTACATTGGGCGAGCAAAAATATTATATTTCAAAGACATGAGTTGAAAGCAAAATGGCATGAAAAAAGGTTATTTTCATTGTATTGTTCTAGCATTTTCTCAATCGAACAATCTCCGCGCACATCTTCGTATTCATACAAACGAGCGACCATATAAATGTCAAGAGTGTGGGAAGGCTTTTACTCAGGTAACCACATCTTATCAAAATGTAACATAATCCGACATAATTTATAAAAAAAAAATCTTAACATATAAATAATATAGTTGTGAAATAAGAAAAGTTTTTTTAAATATAAAACTAAATTAAAACTAAAAATAAGTATGTCTTCAAGTACATAGAGTTATTTATATGATATCAGTACTTAATCAACCCTAAATTAAATATTCATCTGCTTGTCTTTCTGTTTATTCGGGGGGTGCCTTTGGAACTGCTTAACCAATTGTAATGAATGTATATATATATTAAATATTTTTAGACTGTGTCTTAAAGGAGGAAACGTTCAATTTGCTTGCATTTTTTATTGTTTTGTTTGTAATTTACGCAAAATATAAGTTTTGATTAAATCATTACAAGAGAAGCTAAACGAATAATATTGATTTTCAGGTCACAAATTTAAACAATCATGTCCGTCTTCACACTGGAGAGAGGCCTTTTGTTTGTCCAGAGCCTGGTTGTGATAAAGCATATGCTCAGGTGAGGTACCTTATTATATTGAAAAAAAAAAGTAGAATTAAATATTAATAATATTATTACGTTTTATTCTGTTTTAACTTACATAATTAGTTAATAAATGGGCTTTACGTAAAAAGAAGTAAAACTTCTTTGGCAAATATCGCAATTAAAACAAATCAATAATAATTAAATAAGGCATATTAATTAGGCATATTACAATCATATATTTATAAAATATCATTTAAAGAAAGATTTATTAGACAGTAACAATGGTTACCATGGCAACAAACAGTTATCAGCTAACTTCATCATGTCGCTTTTTGGCTGTCGGTGTGCGCGCGCATCGTAAAAATTTTGCACTCATAATTTATTTCCAAATGTGCCAAAAGAAGAATAACTTCATAAAAACATTTTCCCATACACAATATTTATTTTATTAATCTATACAGATAAATTAAATTTAAGTGTCTGTTTGTAATGTCAGAATAACAGCTTTTTACTAAATGCATATAGAATTATATACGGTATTTATACGAAAAACACAATTCTTAGAATTTTGGTCTGTCTGTCTGAAATGGCTGGGCCGATTTTGACGGGGCTTTTACTGGCAGGTAGTTGATGATATAAGGAGTAACTTAGGCTACTTTTATTTTAGTAAAAGAATTAGGGCTCCGCTGAAATAATTAAAATGTACCGACGATGTAGCGACGAACCCGAACGAAGCGAGGGTGAGTCGCTAGTAGCATAAGTAAAGTTGTAGCGATAGATACATTAACACTGAATGCGAAAGTGTTATACTATTTCACATTGTAATATCTTAATGGATTTGGAAATTGGGTGATGTTTAAATTGAAGCTATATTTATATAGGTAAGATATATTTTTAACGTACTTCCAAATAGAAGGAGGTTCTACATTCGTTTTTATGTATTTTTTAATGCCGAATCATAAAAAAAAAATTTAAACTGTAGTCCAAAATAAAAATATTTGTGGTGGACCACCCTTATCACTTAGAGGTATGAAAAGTAGTTTCCACCCTATTCTCAGACCGAATATACACACAAAATTACATAAGAATCGGTCAAGCCGTTTCAGAGGAGTTTTGTTACAAACACTGTGACACGAGAATTTTATATATTAGTTAAACTACCTCGGTGGTCTAGTGCCCAGCATATACGTTTGCAGATTCGGAGGTCCTGGGTTCGAGTACCGGGCTCGGGTTACATAGCCACGGGTAAAAACGAGCATTAATATATTATCGTACATTTGTCAGGTGACAAATCTAAACCAGCACCGCAAGCGGCACATGACGGGGCGGCCCGTGGAGCAGAGCTACGACTGCACGGTGTGTGGTGAGCGCTTCACGCAGCGCAACCACATGTACATGCACAGGTATCAATAGTATTGTGTTGTTGCACTGAGATTTTGCGCTTCCACGTGAGTAGTTGCAGATAAAACGCTTAGGCCGCGATCAAAATGCAAGTCATAATTAGTCCGTCGTTGCATTTCGTACCGTTTAGACGTCTCTCGTGTAGTTACCTCATTTATTATCAATGTAGGAGATGCTGTCATCTCAGGTCGGAATGTGAAAATTAATAAATGATGTTTATAATTATTTAAAAATACAGTTAATTTTATTTTTATGTTGATTTTATTTGTATATTGATTTTATTTTATTAGAAATTATTAATAACTCCTCGCTAGAGCTAGTGGGCGGAGTTAGACAGTTTTCTGTCCTTATCAGTTTGTATGCTAATGTGGGACAGAGAAAGCGCTTTGCATGGTTCATTGCGGGAATGGAGTATCGACAAACAATCAACGACAAAAAATGTCCTCACCAAATGAACGTTCATTTGAACATTTGAGCGCGCTTTTTTTTGTGAAAACAACTTTAAGCGTTGCATTTAAGGTTCAATTTACATTGTTGTATATTTATTTCAACTAGAATATTTACCTAAACACAATTGGTGACAGTTTTAATGGAACTTTTGCGTGGGTTTGTGTGTCTAGTACTTTTTTGATAGATGGATGCCAGCGATGAAATGTCAAGTCGAAAGTTAAGTTTATTATTTCAGAAATTTTGGGTTTTTGAGAAGATTAAGTCTTTTGTTCGGTTGATTTGTGCAATATAAAAAATTAACACTAATAATTGAAACTTTTGATGTGAAACATCTATTGGCGCGTATTGGCAGACCGACTCGTATGCCGTGACGGCAAACGGTATGATGGTGCTGTCATGCCATCATACCCCCTCTATGTCACAGCTTTCGACTCTCTCATGTGTGCGCGCGCGTATACTATACACGCTCCATTGTAAAACAGGCTCTATTAAAAATACTTATATATTTTCTATACTTGTATATATATATATATATATATATATATATATATATATATATATATATATATATATATATAATTAATTTTATTAACGAACATATTATGGAATGTTAACTCCATATTTGTTATAGCTTTTTATTAATTATGTATTCTAATATTAACATAGATCTTTCACCTCTACCGGCCGTTCCCTGACAACCAACTTTTTTTTAATTGTAAATATCCTTGCTGAGACAAAGATTATAAGAAAATAAAGTGTTGTTCTATACAAGTTATGTATTGGAATTGTTCATTAATGGTCACTAATAGGGAATATGCGTGTGATTTAAATAAGTTTGAAATATTTTTTTATAATGTTATTGCTTTTGAATTAACCCTATATTAATATTTGTTGATGTATTTTCTTTTTAATTAACAAAATAATTATTAAAAAAAATATACAGTCGAATTGAGAACCTCCTCCTTTTTGAAGTCGGTTGAAAAGTGCAAATATAGGTGGGAAACTCAAAGTAGTCGAAACGCACGCCATTGGTCAGATCGAATATGACGTCAAAGTATTATCCTAACAGAGCGATTAGCGATTTTGACGCTACAAATTGAGTCGCCATTTTTCTGTGTATAGCATACTGTGACTCAGGCCAAGCGCGCGAAATGACGCGCGTTTAATGTATCCGTATCGATATAATATTTTTAATGATTTTTTTATACTAAATTTTATTTTTTTTGGAGCTGGATATATTTTTTTATACAATAGTTCTATAACGATGTTAGCTTTTGTATAAAAAATATCACGTGTATTCCCTATTATAATGTGTGCAATTCCCTATCGCCAGACGAGAGGCCCACGACGTGAAGTCCCCGGTGCGAGGCGTGGGGCGCGCGGCGCTCGCAGCGCACGCGGACTCGAAGGACGAGGAGGATAGCAGTGAGTTATATTTAAATATGTATATAATATTTAAATTTATTTGTTTAAGTTTATATATTTATTTAAAACTACTTACCTTCGTTCGCTTCGAGTTCGTACCTAGACAAAAAAAACTATCTTATGAGAATCGTACATTTATTCGGGCTAAAAAGTAACCTATGTGCTATTCCAGACTCTGTGTCAGATTTCATCTAGATCCGTTCAGCCGTTATGGCCTGAAAGAGTAATATTCATTCATTCGTCCTTAAAAACTTTCACATTTATAAAATTAGTAGGACTGTTTATTTAAATGTATTTATTTCAATTTTCGGAACATATAAAGTGGTAACAGTATAAATATCAGGTTGCTCGATATCTGGCCATCTGGCCTCAAAACAAAACAATTATTCGTTTTATTTTTAATATTTACTTTATTGGTTTCGCTTCGCAGGAACGTATAAGGTTAGGTTTTTTTGAGTTTTTTTTGCGCCAGGAACCTTCGCAAGCGTATGCAGGTTAAGCCACTAGAGTTTCATCACAATCGGATCAATGGTTTAGGAACGTATAGAGGACAAACACACGAACATTGATTTTTGTCCGACTGTGGCAACTGTTACCTTGTAATTACTAAACGATTTAACCGATTTTAATGATTCATACATCGTTTCGTCTTGTTAACGCGGGTGTAATAGGGTATATAATAGATATTAGGGTATATAATAGATAGTCGAAATTTGTACATTAATTATTTTCTGGAAAATCTTATTGAAATAGTTTTTATTATCGATGCAGAGACCGAATCTATAGTTTTGCTCGGGTTTGACCCTAAGTACGTTTCAACGGTTAGTATGAAATACAAACCTTTGAATTTCTCGGCTTTTCTGTATATAATATGCATGTATTATACATATAAACCTTCCTCTTTAATCACTATCTATTAAAAAAAACTGCATCAAAATTCGTTGCGTAGTTTAAAGAATTAAGCATATACAGGGACAGACAGACAACGGGAAGCGACTTTGTTTTATACTATCTAGTGATATAGAAGATATATATATGTGTGTGTGCGCGCGCAGAGTGGGGCGTGTCGTGCGTGTTCTCGTCGTGCGGCGCGCGGCTGTCGTCGGCGCGCGAGCACACGGAGCACCTGCTGCGCGCGCACCAGCTGCGCGTGCTGGCGCAGCAGCGCCGACACGCGCCCTCGCGCCGCGGCCGCCCGCCGAAGGTACGTACCGCCTGCCTGAGTGGATTTGCTTTTTTTGGTTTTGTTTACTCTGCTATGGGAATGCAAGGGCTGTGATTTTATCATTCTGTATATCAACCGCTTGTTTGTTTTTCTTTATTTTGTTTTGAAGTAAAACTTCTTGACTAAACTTGAAAACGCTTGACTTGGGGAGTAAGCTGGTGAATGCTTTACGAAAAGTGTAAATCGGGCGAGGCGAACGTTTTTAGCCATGGTAACCATTGTTATTGTCTGACAAATGATATATAATATATATAATATATATATATATATATATATATATATATATATATATATATATATATATATTCTTTCCTTAAATGGTATTCTATAAATATATGATGGTAATATGCCTAATATAATATGCGTTTAATTATTTTTGTATATAAAGTTACCTAAAAACCCTTAAAAATAAAAGATGTTCTGTTTGTTTGTGTTTACCTGTGATTTTCAAATATGTTGTGTCAATTAAAGAAGTTTATTGAATTTGTGTATATATTTCTTCTATTTGACATCATTTTTCTAATGATTTTTATATTATTTCAGATCATAAAAGACCCCCTCGAACTCTCCAACTCAGACTATGATGAAGTAAGTCAAGATATTTTTTATTACTATTTAATTTTAAGTTAATAAAACTATCTTTTCGGATTTTTTCGCGGATTTTTTTTTCATTTTTGGCTTCTGACGTTTCGAATGTTATAAATACATATGTGTTCTTGTCATTTAAAATGTCAAAAAATCGCATAAATCTAAGAAAGTATTACTTCAATTAAAAAAACTCTAATTCAAAATTTATATAAAAAATATAAAACAACGACCGACCGCCTCGGTTTCATCCTACTTATACTGTAGGATACTTCTTCAATTTGAATTAAAAGAATAATTATGTATTTTAATTAATTCTAATGAGTAAGTTAAAATATGGATTTTTTAGAATTTTCTAACTGGAAGATAATATTAAAATAATGAGACATACATATTCTTATACAGAATTTAACGCTCAACAAAAAAGGTTTCTTATGATTTTTCGCTTAGTCTACTGGTTCAAAAGTTATTCAAGCTCAAAGTTTCATTTTTAAATAACATATAATTTTATCAAGTATGTATATTTATAAAATAAATTATCGTAAACAGCTAAGGACCACCCTTAATTGTACATAAAGTTTTAAATTCATTTTAAAATTACTAAAGAAACTTTCTTTTATTTTTCAATTTCGATTTACAAATTAGATTATTATTCTATAAACATAATCACATGGGGCTTTTGTTCTTGTATAAATATAAGTATACTATAACACTCATCGAGCTTTAATTCAGAACATTTGTTAAATGCAATGGTTCTCAAAAATATCTATTTTGAAACTAACAGACACTTTTGATTTCGCATATATACATTAGTGAGAATAGTGAGATTTAAATATTTTTGATTTTCAGGTAAAAATCATTAAAGAAGAGCCACAGTACTTGCCCAAACTAAAAGTGCAGAGTTTGTTTCAGTGATAGCAATATATAAGGACTATTTTATAACCATAAAAAAACATAATGAATAAAATATTTTAGCAAGACTATATTGTAAATCTGTAACGAATAGGATCGATTCGATATTGAAATCAATTTTCGAATATCGAATGTCTTTTAAATCTGTAACGAATAGGATCGATTCTATATTGAAATCGATTTTCGAATATCGAATGTCGTGTAAATTTGTAACGAATAGAATCGATTCTATAATGATTGATTTGAATGAGATTCGAATATCGAGTGTTGTTTGCTAATAATCGTTGATTTTAAGTAAAAAAAGAATGTATATCATATATATTTTTATATGTTATTATTTTAATATGATATTAATTGTGGGGGAGTAAGTGATTATATTTTTATTTCAAGACATTGATGGGAAATAGTAATGCCTCAAATCAATCAAGTCAATTTCACTTTACACACTCTGAACTATAATGGTACAATTTTCACAAAATAAAGCACAAATTAAACGGTACTCAATCAATAATACGTTTTGTTACACAATTAATAATTTGACGACACGTTTGGCTCACTTTGTGGGGACACTACTTGCTGTGCCAGAGAGGTCGCGAGTTCGAGTTCCGCTGGGGGCATTTGTTTGTGTGATGAGCACGAATGTTTTTTTATGGTATTCAGTGACAAACGAACAGACAGCCCACCTGATGGAAAGCGGTACCTGTCGCCCATAACACCTAAGGTTCATGCACTTACGTCTTATGTTACAAAACTGCAGGACCGCAGGTGCGTTGTCACTGTGAGGACTAAGATGATATGCCTCTTGCCTGTAATTGCGCTTGCTATCTTATCCTTTAAACCGGAACACAACAATGTAATCATTGTTGCTTGGCGGGAGAAATGGATAGGGGGGTGGTACCCATCCAGTCGGCCTCCTCAGGCTTGACAGAGTCTTACCACCGGTAAACTTGTATTCGAGATGTCGGTGTTTATATTTATAATATGTATGTATTTAAAGTTATATATGTGTATCAACTATCTGGTATCCATAAAACAAGTCTCGTAGCTTACCATGGAATTAGATGGTCCTGTGTGTTAATGTCCCAAAATATTATTATTTATTTTATTTAAAAATAAGTAATTCGCCCTACACGGTGCACGGGCGGTCCAAATCTGACGATACCCTTATTGTTTTTCTAAATAGTCAAATTTATTATCTATTTTAATTTCTTTTTAAAACCTGTCGGTTTGTATCACCCTGACCATCGATCGTTTTCCGAATTCCGGCTATAGTGCACAGTGGAAGCCTGGTTCAGACTGAAATCCGATGAGCTTATCGGAAACCACCAGATGGCGCACCGAGCGCGCCGTCAAATATAAAATAATGTAGTCGTTGTTTATTGAAGTTAAAACTTCTATAGGCAGGTTTGGATGAGGAGTAAATTCATGTAAGTCATCATCGACATAGTCACGTGACGCGTTAACGCTAACACTCAGAGTGCCGATAGATGTCAACACCAGATAAATGTGAACAGTTTAATATCCAAAAACAACTGTTTGTTTTTAGTTTTAGGTTTTCACTTCTATCGGCAGTCCTCGTGACTGCTTTTTTTAATTTAATTATTTATTTTTAAAGGCTTACTAACTAAATTTATACGAAACATGAATTTAACACAATAATATTTCTCTATTATCTATATAAATTTTACTTAAAAGTTGCACAGCTTTTTATAGAAATATCTTATTTAAATTTTATTATCTGCTCTTCTATGTTGTACATAGTCTGTGTAATGTGTAAAAAGTATAGATCGAAGTATAAACAAATTATAAAGTAATTAGAACTTTTGAAATTACTGAGTAGTATCATAAACCCTTGTCGTTAGTTCCGAAAAGTATCACCAGAGGAATCGAATCTCCACCAATATGCGGTCAGTATTCGATGTTTGAATATCGATTTCTTTATCGAGTATTCGTTACAAGTTTAGTACTGTACTTAATTGGTTTACATTTCATATAATTCGGGGAATAACCGTAATTTTAAGTACTATGTTCAAGAGATCTATAGATATGGTTAACTTTTTTTTTTTAATAATAAGTGATACATGTAAGTGCAATTTACTTTTTAAATATATAGATTTAATAACTAAATATAAGATGTAAAGTTTTATCATAGTGTAAAGGATATGTAGGCAATAATTTTTTGGGCGACCAAATTTTATCCAAAAATATTGATTTTCTTTGAGGTTTCTCATTTTTTCTGGATGAAAATTATGTTGAATTTATTTCGTCAATTACATGGACAATTTTAAAGGTTACAGCATGTAGACAAAATGTATGTATTGCCAGATTTTAATTGTAGTGACTAATATATATTTTCTTATACATACCATAGAGTTATTTTGCATAGATTAAATAGCATAGACATAATATACATAGATTATTGTTCTATGATTAATTATAAAACCCTTTGGGGAATTGTAAACTTGGTACTTAATATGGGTAAAGTATTAAAAAAAATGACTATGGCGGGTGACTACAGCGAGTTTACATTGAGAAAACGAAGGCCTTTTTTTTGATTTGTGATACATACGATAAATATTTCTATTTATGCTTTAGAGCTGAAACTCAAATCTTTTATTAGGTCTTGATCACAATATTTTTTTCGAAGTTATACTTTTTTTGATTGAAAAAAAAATATGAGAGTAAAATTTTACGATGCGCGCGTACACCGATAGCCAAAAAGCGACATGATGAAGTTAGCTGCATTACTTTTACACACAGAGAGTTGTATCATACGGGATGAAATCTTTAGCTATTTTTCTTACGCCAAAGAAGTGTAACTTCTTATGTGCGTACATAAGTACACACATGCGTTATTTTAATATAAAAACTAAAATATGTGATACTGGCGACATTATTTTCTTTTTTTTTTATTGAGTTACTTGCCAGTTCTATTGTATATTATGTCTGTAGAATTAACTAATTACATTATTTATATACTAAAACCTATATTGTTATTGAATTACATATAATATGTATTTGATTTTTCTCGTTTGAAATTATATTTTTTACAATTCATGTATACTTTTTGAGCATCTTCCAGACGACATGATTTAATTTCCTAAACTAAATAACTTCATTTATTTCATTGCATTTATTTATATACAATGTGAGGAATTCAAAAGAAGAGTTTGCGCCATTATTTTTAATCCAAGATGGCGTAGACACAATTTAGTGTTTATATTATTATTAAAAGTACTAATATATCTTATATTCCAAAATAAAATATGTATACAACCTAAAAAAAAATTAGCTTCACTTTTTTAAGTTAAATGATGTCATCTGGAATAATTCACAGCTTTTTGTAGCAACATTTAAAAAAATTATGCAACATTTTCTATAGCGTTTTGTTCTAGACTAATAGTAACTAACGTTAAATGAATATGTTTATATTAATTTGATAGAAACATACATCTCAAGATGTTATATCATTATCTCATTGTAAGTTCTTAATATGGAGGGTAGAGGTAAGGAGAACTATCTCCATGATAAAAAAATGTTCGTCGAAATGCGTTAAATTTGGGTGGCGCCACTGTAGCAAGTGGGTTCATTTTGAAGAATGCGCCAAATGTAAAATATTAAATTTTTCAACTCGGCACACTTCACTCCGTTTACAGCAGTTAAATTCATAGCATACCTTCTTGCTACGCTAGCGCCATTGTGGTGGGTTTTTAAACTGTTATTTACCGCTCACAGATGGACACTTTTTCAACTTGTCTCCCATACAAGATGGTTCTCCTAACCTCTACCCTCCATAGTTCTTAATCGTTAAGTACAGATTAGTAATAGTTGTCTGCTTGATTTATATTGGTAAGTATTTTTACTTTATTACTCATACTGAAAGTATTATGAAGTTTGTGATTGTTGATATTTAGATATTTGCACAGAAAGTGAGCGATTTCAATCGTTTAAATATAATAATTTTTTTGGTTTTTTTTTTGTATTTAACTTGTGTGTAATATGAATGTAAAGAGGTTGTATATGAAGTCGGGTCTGTCGTTTGAATGTTGTGAGTCTAGCACTAGTTTGGAGAGAATAAGATTTACTTATGGACTTTGCGAAAGATAAAATATTTTTTTTAGCTCTTTTTTTAAATTGAAATTATTGCTTAATATATTTAATATAGCGTAGAGGCGATCGCATTATTTCCAAGGTGTGCTTATAAAATTATTTATTGTATTGTATAATATTTTTAGCACACAAATGTTCTATAATATGTTTTTTTTACTTAGTTAAAGCAGTTCTTTGAACTATTTTCTGGTTTGACGTTTCTTTTTATAAAAACGTATACATTGTCCATAAAGAGTCGGGTTTGAATTCTAAATGTTTTTTGTTTATACTAAACCGTCTACAGTTGAATTAAACATTTACTGGAAACAATGTAAATATAAAGCCGTTTCCGATCTCAACATGCACATAAGGCCTTAAATTTATCTTAATTTTTTTTTATTTAAACCTAGAACAATTATTGGGTAGTAAGCGTAGGACAGTGCTATTATATTAAATTTTAGGTATAAACGGTCCCTAGTCTCGCACCTCTGATATTTTCATGTGCGAATCACTTCCAACATGATGACCACTTGTCTTAACGGTGAAGGAAAACATCTTGAGAAAACCTGCATGTTTGAGAGAACGTCGCAAGTTTTCAAAAGACATGTGAAGTCCGCCAACCCGCACTTGGCCAGCGTGGTGGACTATGACCTGATCCCCCTCGTACTGAAGGGAGGCCCACCCCCAGCAGTAGGACGTTAAGGGCTGAATATATAAACGGTGACAGATCCGACGTAAACAAGTTTTACTTTTTTTTTAATATTAATTTTGCCAAAAGAATTTCCATAAATTTTTAGTAGTTTAATAAAGAAGATGTCATAATAACATATTAATCGTAATGTAAAGAAACATGAGTGAGAAAACAGTAAAGTGAATATGAATGGCGGCAGCACATTTTAATATGGTAATAA